CAAGCGGTGTTGTTTATTTAAAAACGATACCGCGAGTAAACCCAACAACACCGCGGATTAGAAAACGATATCGCGAGAGGTCTTGGTAAGCGATATCATTTAGTTAAAAACTATACCACAGCGGGTTTGATTTGGGCGAGGGCGGCCCGACAAGCCCAACAGCACCGCCACCGCAAGACGAGAAAAAACGGTACCGCTTGGTAGAGAACAATGTCGCGGAATGAAAAACGACATTGTTTGATGGGACCAGGACGGAGCAGTTCAAGGTCGGCATCGATCAGTGAAAAGCGATGCCGCGGAAAGATTAAACGGCGCCAAGGGATGAGAATTTGACCGTGTGGCAATAATGAGCCGGTTTAATTAATTAATCTGTTTAATGATTATTTTAGACGGTGTTGTTTGACTAAAAACGCCGCCGCGAGAGAAAACAACACCGCGGAGTATAAAATGACAGTGTTTAATATAAAACAATGTTGCGGAGAAAAAGTAGACAGAGCTGTTTAGGGAATAAAACGACATCGCGTGAGATTCACGCCAACCAGAGCGAGGAGGAGATCAAGATGGTTGAGACACGTGGGAGTTCACAACGGAGCAGTTGAGGAAGCGGTTTCACCGAGCGTGAAGACTACGAAGATGTTTTTCGAATAAAAGCAGTGGAGCAAGGAGAGAGAAAGGGACAAAAAAAAAACACAGATCAACTATGTTCAAACTTTACCTTTTCTCTGTAACTCCTTCGCGGAGCTCTCCTTCCAGGAAGGATCTCCATAGTTTTAGTCTTAGTCGTAGTCGCGGAGCTCTCCACAGGAATCTCCATAGGAGTAGCGGTAGTGTAGATTCCTCAAAAACTCAAACACCGTCGTTCGAACGTAGTTTGAAGAGGTGCGAACCGTAGTAACGGTCGCGTTGGTTAGAAGTCAGAGGTGCATCGATCAGATCAACATCGCCCGGCGGTAGATATTTGACGGTCACGTTGATTTCATCATTCAGAGGTGCATCGATCAAATCAACATCTCACGGCGTTGGATATTTGACGATCGTCATCGTTTTCAGAAGTCAGTTGTACCGATCAAATCAACACCGCCCGATGGATATTTGACGGTCGTCTCGATTTTAGCAATCAGCGGTGCTTCCGATCAAACGACACCGCAAGAGTTTCCACCGCGAAACATCGAATCAACATCGCCGTAAACGAATTCGGCACCGGCAGTGGATATTTGGTCGCGGGAAACAATAATATAATTCTATGCTACATTTTGCTGCTGGGCACATGTTATGTTCTGTTGCTTCCTTGCATTTCCCGTCAAATATGCTTAATTAGAAGTTCTCAGAAATGCACCAATTTAATAGTGCAAAAAATTAAACCGGGATAAGAGAAAAGAAGATCGTTCATTAGAATAAGGGGATTATTGGAGGAATTAATTAGACCCGCTAATATAATGCACGTGGCCACTTAAACATATGTGCACAAAATTGAGAACCTGGGCTGTCCATCCATTACACCATTAGCATTCCAGCTAGGCTGCTCATTAGGGTTTTAGTTCCTAATCTCAATTTAATTTCAACCCATGATCTTCCCACCAAAACAAGATCTTACAACTTTATGGCAAAATTTTGTACATTTTTTTTAGGTATAGATTTAGCATATAGCTCCTCACTTATCCATCATGTATAACTAATCTCCAGTTAAAACGATTTTGTATCCTTCTTTTTAACTTAGATTTCAAATTATCTTGATGATGGTCTAGAACCCCATAAATTTACAAATCAAAGCAATAGAGCATAAAAACTAGATTCTATAGCCAATTTTCTTTCTGGTGGAAAAATTGATTGCGATGTTAATCAAACCTCCTCATTTATTATATTTGATTAATGAAATTATAGATTACAGATCCCAATGAAATCTACAAGATTACAAAAGGTGATCCAAAAGAAAAACAAAACGAAAGGCTGCTGGTTTTCAACTAACCTTTGCCCGAATTATTTTTTTTTTTGAATTCATTAAACTATGGGTTGAGCAACTCAATGTGAAAACAATAAGAAATTTGAATCGATCAGGATTCAGATCACTGACATATACTGAAGTATCTGCAACTTGCAAATAATTGTATCTGGTTGACAGTTATGCGCACCATTTTTACAACCACTATCCAAAACACTAGTTGTTGCCCTGTTGGATATTGAATATGAACGCAAATGTTACACCTTTGAATTTGGGTCATATGGTGTACCTTAACATAAAACAAAATTAAATTTCAATCGTTGTAATGTGGTTAATACAAAAGATATGGCATAGAATTAACTAATTTATGCATTTTCAATCATCAAATTGTCCTCACTCTGATCATTGGGAAGAATTTGTAAATTTGTACCAAGTAACTTTCATAAAAGTAATTAAAATGCAAGCAAACCATATATAATTTCGCATAAATTTACACATTTTGGGTTATAGAATTGAAGACTAAAATGCCTCATTTGGTCACTGAGATTACTAAATTATATACGTCATGTTTAGGCACTAGAAAAAATTAATATCAAATTTGGTCACTCGAATTACTGAAACATGTCACATTTATTCACTCTCCCGTTAGTTTCCGTCCAACTCCGTTAATGGAGTTGGACGGAGGCTAACGGAGAGTGACTAAATGTGACATGTTTCAGTAATTCGAGTGACATTCATAAATAAAAAAGTAATTCGAGTGACCGGAGTTGTACGGAAACTAACGGGAAAGTGACTAATTGTGACCTGTTTTAGTAATTAGAGTGACCAAAATTTATATTTATTTTTTATAGTGACTAAACATAACACGATTTAATAATCCCAGTGACTAAATGTGGCATTTACCCACTAAAATTGTTTTAAAATGTATCAAAATGATTATTATGAAGTTGGAATGGATAACATACACACATAATCCTCTAGGCCAATACCTTAGACATGCAATATGAAATATATAAAATTATATGTAAAATTTGTAATAAATTTAGCAAATAAAATTTAGATTTTTTTACCCGTACAAAGCTGACTGGTATTGTGGATGGTCTCAAAATTTCCTGAAAACTAGAGGCTACGAAAGTTCTTCTATTCATTCACAAGAAGCAACGTAACAGCCTCTCATCAATTTCTATATAATATAATTAATATTTCCTCTACTACTGGTCTACTACTACTGTTGCTGCATGTGTTGGTTGTGTTGTGCAAATCTCTAAGTGTGCGGCTCCGAATCTACAAAAAATACAAATCAAATAAACATGTAACCAATCGCTTTCGTAATAATGTAACACCAAAAACGACCCAAAAGACTTTTGATATCCTTCCTTCATCGACGTCTAACTGGAAATGGACCTGCCGCACTAGCTATAGCACGATTGATGTATCCAACATGACAAAGACCGTTTAATCTTAACGATAGGGCATCCGCCAACAACAACCGAGGGGGATTTGGTGACGTCCCTAAATTTTGGGAAAATTATTATCCAATTTTTTGTGGTAATTTACGTCTAGACAAAAAAAAATTATAATTGATAATGGGGACACCCATGAAATTTGGGAAAAAAAATTATCCTACTCTCATATTTTAGTTTGCGTATGAGAATATAAGTGGTAGTGTGGATAATTCAAACATAGGGCACTATTATTATTAATAAACATAATTTTCTCATCATGCTACAACTCATTTGTTGTTAGATTTTAAACATTGTAATAGTAACATTGTAAAAGGACATCCCTTTATAAAATTTCTGGATCCGTCGCTAAATGACCAATATAGCTAGCCAGCTAGGAATGCTGGACATTTCCCTGTAACAAGTCAATGAGGGGATGTATAGTCGCTAGCAGTGGCGGACCTAAGGCAAGGGAGGGTGTGTCGTCCGACACACCCTCGCTCGAGAATTTTGTGAAGGACCTACATATTTTTGGTACAAATTTTTTTATTTCGAGATAGCCGACACACCTTTAATAATTATAGCCGACACACCTTCATTATACTCGAAGAATCTATTTTCTGAATAAATCAATCTTAATCATAATCCTTTTTAATTTTGTTTAAAATAACTCATAAATCATAATCCTATCAATTCCTATTAAAAAAAACAAACTCTCAGCCCATACAATATACATGTGTGATGTGTGTTGGGCCTCGACCTATAATTAAAAGAGAAAAAAAACCCACAGGCCTAATGGCCAATAGCCCAGGCGGCCACTAACTCCCCATCATTACCTGTTGCAACGACAAGCTGCGAAAGAACATTTTTAGCTATGAAGATAATCAAGAATGATCTTCGAAATCGGTTGAGTGACCCATTTATGAATGATTGTTTAGTTGTGTATATTGAAAAAAAAATTCTTTGCAGTATAAGTGATTAATGTATTTTAGAAACATTTCATCAGATGAAAAGTCATCGTGATTCGTTGTAAACATGACATTGTGAACTTTATGAATTAATTTTTTTTTTAATTTCTACTTAATTTTTTTTTAATTTTATCGACGATACACCTCTCCGACAATTCTGGGTCCGGCACTGGTCGCTAGCTATATATGTTGATGTGTATGAAGGCGATATTTTGGTGATCTATCAATTATGTGAACAGTAGTAGTTGAGGAGATGGGCGCATACATGAATCGGGAAAAACTTTGAAGCAGCAAAGCTTGGCAACTAGTGTCGCCTTCACTGGAACTATATACACCATTTCAATTTCCCAACCCTACCCCTCTTTTTTGTTCTCTTTCACAGTTTTCTTTCTTTTGCTGTTTGTCGTGTTTAGCAGTGTTGGGAATGCGAGCTTTGATGCCATTCCTTAACAAAGAAAACCATTTTTTTTATAACTTTCTGGGTTTTAATTCATTCATCCCTTTTATTAGCTGCAGAAAATTTGTCTCCCCTGACCCTAAGACTATCAACAATATTAGTGATAACTTAGGATGATAACATATAATCGTAATTCGATTAACACCGAAGAACTAGAGTACGATAGGGCTCAAAAAGCTTAATGAAAACAAAAATATATGTATGTGTTTGATTGTCAATGCTGATATACTTAACAAGCAAGAAACCAGATGCCGACTCAGTAGTAACTCTCAAAAACAAAAACCCAGAAGAGAGATTGATGATAAGAATGAACAAACTACAAAGAAAATGAAATGAAAAAAATGAGAACATGGTATGTGAAAACTGTAAATAAAAAAAAAGGACACAAACCCCTTTTTCTTTATTCCCTCTCAATTCACTGGAGAAAAAAAGAAAATAAAGAAAAAACAAATCAAAGGAAAAAAAAAACAGTCACTTGAGACTCATGAAGAGCAGCTTCTTCATCATCACCTCCTTAACCTCCTATTTGTTTATATGCACCCAAATGTATTATAATTAAGCACCATCAGCACATGGGAGGAGGATTCTTTCTCTTTATAATCAACATTCAAAAATTAACAAACACTTGGGAGGGAAAAAAAAATATTAAATTACCAAACTTTCTTCTTCTTCTTCTTCTGCATGGTTGTGGGGAGGTGGTGGTGGTGGTAAACCTTTGTATGCAGAAGTTGCCATTTGCTAGCTAGTTGTACAAGCAATATCCAATCTTGGCCCCACTTCTTCTTCTTGTTACTAATCACTCTTCAACTTATCACCATTATCATCACCATCATCATCAAGTTCTCAATTGAACTGTTGGTGCTCAAGCCATGGCCAAAACCCAGACTGATCATCCATGCCACAGAGCATGGTGGTTAGGGTTTCCTCCTTCACAATCTGTTCAATGTTCTTGTGACACTGGAGGCCTAATTGGGGATGGTGTTGACTTGAAGATGAAGTGTTGTTGTTGTGGAAAAGCTGTTGTACTAGACCAGATGGAGCTGATGGAGGCCTAACATTATTATGTTGTTGTAATTGATGATGAGATGATGTAGTTGGGAAGAATGGCCTGCCACTGCTTGTTGTTGTGGTTGGGTGTTGACTTGATAGAGGACTGTCAATGGCTGCTGGTGTCCTTGAGATGTCCAGCTTGATATCTGAGCTGCTCTCACTTCTGTTGCTGCAGGACCCTTCAGTCTCTTTGTTCAGGTTGATTGCTTCATGTGTTGGTCCCCTGCTTTTCAGTGCCAATATCTGCCCTTCCCCACAAAGAAGAAAAATCATAATTTGGGCCAATCAAGTCAGAGATGGGATCATGCATGAAAATTGGCTCAGAAAAATATGAGTGAAGCTTGAAACTATATATGGCTTCAGGGTCAGTACTCAGTAATAATCAGTACCCTTTGCTCATCTTTTGACCATAGCAGAGAAAAGGGAAAAAGTTTGCCTTTGGTGACAGGTAAATGAATGAAAGCTTTGTAAAAAAGGTCATCAATTTCAGGTTTCAAGGTAAGTGATCATAATAATAGTCATCAGTATTGGATAAAAGTTCTGAACCCAAAATCATTGCAGAAGAGAGGGGGAGAAAAGTAAAAGAAGCTTTAACCCCTTGGGAGAGAAAAAAGAACATGACCATAATATGTGTATGATTGCAGCTAAGTTCCATTTCCATTTTCCAGACCCCTCTTTATTAATTGTGGCTTTCTTCCATGCCAAAAAAAAAGGGATCAAATCCAGAATCCCTAGAAGAAAAAAAACCCCAAAACCAGTAATTACCTCAGCATGAAGCTTCTGGTTGTGGGCTTGAAGAGCTTCATTATCAGCTTTGACAGCTTCATACTGTCTCTTCAGGACATCATAATCTTTCTCAAGCTGCTTGGTCTTCCACCTGGCCCTCCTGTTCTGAAACCAAATAGCAACCTGCCTAGGCTGCAACCCAAGAGCTCTAGCCAGCTGCATTTTCCTCTCTGGTTCAAGCTTGTTCCCCAACTCAAAGTTCTTCTCCAGTGTCTTCACCTGCTCCATGTTCAGCCTCCTCTTCTTCTCCCCTGCCTGTGACCCATCATCTGACAGCTCATCCAGCTGATCCCCTCCATGATTAACTCCATCCAACTCATGATCTCCAATCCCTGAACATGACATGGATCTCTTCCCCAGAAATGATGCCATCCCTGAAAGATCGTAACAATTCAAATCAGCAAAATAAAAACCCAACTTCAGAATTTACCAAAAAACCCAACTTTAATTAATTACCATGGAAGTCCTGTGGTGTGCAGGAAGGGAGCATTGGGTTGAGAGTAGTTGGAGGCTGGTGATGGTGATCTTCTTCTTCCTCATCATGATGGGTTTGGAGCATGAAGTTTGTTTGGAAGAAAGCCATCCCATTGCAAGTCATTTGACTTTATATTATGCTAGCTCCTTGTAGTACTGGACTTTCTGCCACAAATCTCACAGGCAGTGGACATAGCAGTCTGGTTTTCTCATGCTTCCTGTTGTTGTGAAGAGATTGCAGAATGACTTTTTTCTCAGGATGTGTGATATGTGTAGCTAACCCCTCCCCCAGAAAGGTGGAATCTTGATCAAAAACTGAGAGAGAAAGAGAAAGAGAGACAGGGAAAGATAGGATGGAAGTGGTATTTGGGCAAAGAGGGTTGATGATATAGACAGCTTATATACCTTATCAATTTCCTTGGAGAAGAGTTATTATTAACTTCTCTTTCATACCAGATTTTGTGATGGAAAGAGAGGGGAATGGATGGGGGATTTTATTAGAGTGAAGGAGGGAGAGAGAGGGAGAAAGAGGAAGGAGAGGGAAGGGGAAGATGGTGATTCTGTAGTTATGCTTCTCTATATATGAAGAAGAAGGAATCCTCTTGTTTTTCTGTGTGGGTTTACTGTTTCTTATAATTATAAAAAAGAATACCATCTTTAAATAATAATAAAAATATCTGAAATATACCAGTAAATAGTCAAATCAATCAACAGTACTCAGACTGTGACCTCCCTTTTCTTGAAGTAAGCAAGAACCTCTCTGGATTTACTTTTGTCAAGAGGATGAGATTCACCCACCCATTTTTCCCCTTTTGATTAGAAGAGGATGGAAATATGTGTTCATTCATAGATCATCATAGTAATAAATAAAAAAAATGAGAGGACTGTCAAAGAACTGCTGAAATCATGTTCTCTGCTGCAGAATTGTGCCAACTTGGGTGGGCTGTGTGTGATATTTTATAATGTATATTGCTTTGCTTTGCTTAGCTGCCTCTGCCTCTGCCTGCATGGATGGAATGGTGGTGCTGTGTCTGTGGCTCTGCCATGCAAATACAATATAGCAATGCAAAGAAAGTTCCACAAATCCCAATGTCATTTTCAAGGGGCATTAATCCCTTCCAAACTCTGCTTTCCCTCTTTTCATTTTCCCAATATGCTTTTTAACAGACATAATAAACTAATTTGCTGTTGTTCTTAAGAAAGGACACTTGTTCCATAATTACAATACTTAATTCAATCATATTCCTCTTTTTTTGGTAACTCTGATGATTATTATATTGGGGACTTAATCTGAGCTGGGTGACTCTCAGCTGCCACATAGGAAGGGAACTAATAAAGTAAAAAAAAGAAGAAGCAATCATCTCCAAATTATTGTTCACACTAGCTTGATCCTGATTATGATGAAAAACAATCAATGACAAGGCTAGTTGTTCTATGCTATACTTTGTCCTCTACCTTTTATGAATAGAAGAAGAGATAAAAAAAGAAGGGGCTAGGTGGATTTAAGCTAGCTAAGCCAGGAGGTTGCTTGCTTGAGATCAAAGTGACCAAAAACCTCATTTGGCTGCATCCTTCCTTCCTTTCCCTTCCTCCTCTCAAATGGTCCTAGCTAGAGAGAGAGAGAGGAAAGGGCAATGCATGTAGGGAATCTAATGTGAGGAGAGAGAGAGAGAGAGAGAGAGAGAGAGAGAGAGAGAGAGAGAGAGAGAGAGAGAGAGAGAGAGAGAGAGAGAGAGATGGGTCCAATGGAAGAGAGGGAAGGGGGCAGAGGTTGCTACCTAACCCACCAACAGGTATCATGCATCAGGGCCAGAACCTCTTTCCCATCCCATTATCCCTCCTCAACCCTTTCTTTCTTTCTTGCTTTCTTTCTTTCTTTCAATACTCTTATCAGTTTTCCTTTGCGTCAATTGTGCAATGGAGAGATGGCTTTGTTGTGTGTTTGTGAAAGGAAAAAAGGGCTGTCAAAAGCCCTAGCAAAAAACCCACTGGTCTTTTTTGTCTTTCTGCCCCCACTCACCTCTGCCACTCACTGCCTCCAAAATTTGGAAATGGCATTCGTCACCTTCTTCCCCCCCTCCATTCTCACCTCCCTAGCTCATTCCCATCAATATTCTAATACTGATATCACATCTTGCACAAGTTACTAGCTTACCCTATCCCACTCTAGCTAAATATCATCAGCATTCTTCCCCGGAATAACACGAATGTATGAAGGTTGTCACGACGTGCTTTTTCTAACATTCGAGACGGGTTGTGTAGCCCGTATTGATTGATTTCAGTCAGCACACATGTGACAGAAACCTATCTAATTATCGGTTAACCCGGAACCGGGACGGTTCGAACAAACCCTAGTACCGAAGATTGACTTGTCTCTTTGAACCTTGGCATCTTGCTAATGGCATATATATACATGTAGGTATAAATGACAATGATGATGATATGTTTTGATTCTAGCTAGCCTCTGTTCCTTACATTGTCTTTAATCAATATTGCACAGCTCCTGTGAAAGGGATTGCTGTGTTCTTCTCTCATGACAGTTGCAGTAGCAGGGCCGCCTCTGGACGATCATTTCATCGTGCACTGATTATCTCATCTGAATTAAAACCCTACCAATACGTTTGTAACCATGTGTAACTACAACAACAGTTGTGTTTTTTTTTTTCAATGACAGAATAAGAGCATGTCCTATCCTTACATAAAAAGCAGAGGCCCTCTCTCTTTCTTTCTTGTGGGTGTCGATCAGATGAAAACATGGGGAAATTGAAAACTTCAAAAAGCTCAATCAATGAAGCCTTTGAAAGAACAGAAAAAAAGTAAAGAAAGGAATCATCTTCATAAAGTTACAATTACCAGCAGTCCACCATTTTACCCCCATCAACTTTTTTCTTTTTTCTACCCAAAAAGTATACTTGATGATGATGACCCTTTTCTGTTTTTGACCTGGCTGTCCATTCTGTACAATTTTCATTGTTCACACACACTGAAACCAAAGGATAGCTAGGAATTGAAATTGGTTTCTTCTTTCTTCTTGTTTCTGATTGACAGAGAAATGCTCCCCTGTAGCTGATGAAGCTGCAAGTTTTACTGCCTGATTGCCTAACTACAGCACACCAGAGGCAGGAGATGGAGATGTGATTTCTCAGTGAGGCATTTCATCGAACAGGTAAGAGAAACTGAAGCTCCACACCACCACCCACTTACCAATAGAACAACCCCAAGTGTGACAAGACTCTTTGTACACACATTGTTGATACTGTTATCACTATAGTGGGAATATGGTGTGGACAATTGAATTATGTGGCTTTGTACACAAAAATGTGATCAAATCACAGAACATGAAAGAAAGTACAAAAGGGAAAATCAGAAACAAATTAAACAGATGGAAAAACACATCAATATACTACTGTTATTTCAATATCTCACTTTTCCCCCCCTAATTTCTAGCTTGTAAAAAAATTGGGAGACACATTGGACCCATGAAAGGGAATATTGTTTTTTTTTTTCAACTGGAGATGGACCCAAATGAACAGTGCTGTTATACAATAGCTTCAAATCCTCCTGCTGGCTGTATTTCTTCACTGGTCTTCTTTCTCAAGTGATTGGAACAAAGAATTGAAACCCATCAAAATTAAAGGCCAGGGGGGGAACTGAATTGGGTCTGGATTGTGACACTAGCTAGCTAGGCATGCCAAAACCCTCCCATCCACAACACAGTTTTTGCATTAATATGCTAAGTTATGCATTATTATTCAAATAATTGTCATGTAATAGTTGAGATTTGATGTTAGAGATATTTCTCAAATCATAATTTCAGTTGTTAGTGGAAAAAAAAATCTAGTTAATGGGTCCATCCGACCTCCTGATGATCGTACAACTTCTTCTCTATCTATAGTTATTGAATCACGTTAAGATTTTCAAACACCAACCGTAATCGGAGTTATAATCAAATTGTTGGAGAAATGCATAGCAGGAAGCACAATGATTGTGGATATGAAAAGTGAAGCTAGCCATATATATATTTCTTAGCAGAATACTGTTTGATCCATTGACCTAACCAAACCCCCCCCAAAAGAAACCGTTTAAAGTGAGAGGGGGAAAGGAAAAGGGAAGTTGAAAAGCAGGTGGTGTGCATGCATGGGAAAAGCTAGCTAGGGTTCTTGCTAATAAATTTATAAAATATGAATGAATGGATTAATAAATTTAATTATTGTTTGCCTTTTTTCTATCATAGCTAGATAGCTAGGTAGATACTGGGTTTTTATGAAAAAGTGTAGGCTTGTGATTGGCAAAATCATTAGTAAGTATATCCTTCCCTCCCTAGAGAAATATTATTTTTTATTCTACTAGGGATCGATGTATCTATCTAAATAGGAAGAAATGGGTATATATGTAGGATAGGGTTGGGAACCTCTTTTCCTTATTTTCTTTTGTTTTCATTGGTCTTCCTAGTGTATCCGATGCAGATGAGTCGAGTGAAATTTTGATGTAGTTTGGGTATAATTCTTTAGTAAATTAGCCGAGCTCGAATTTGACTCATGTATCAGAAAAATGAGTCCAAATTAGGTAACTCAGCTTATTTATTGAAATTTTGACTCGTATTTGACTTGAGCTCAACTTGACCTAAACTCGTTAATGAGTAGAGAGTTTAAGCTCCACATCGAACTCGTGGATCATCAATCAGTTCATGATCTTGACTCGAGCTCAAAAAATCAGTTCGTGATTTTTTTTACATTATAAATGAGATATATTTTCATCAAGTACTGAAAATACTAAACATCATACGTGGTGAGATATATAATTTTAACAATTTAATTGATTATCAACAAGTCAACTCATAATCTATTGATCGATTTGCTCATAAATTGCTAGTCGAGCTGGCTTGCTAACTACAGTTTGACCTAATTCAAAATAAGCAAACTAACTAGTTGAGTTCAACAATGCACCAAACCGAACTAGCTCACAAGCCTTGCGAGCCGAACAAGACATAGGTCAAACTCGACTCATTAATAAACGAACGTTGAACCGCTCATGAGCAATGCGACTCATTTACCTCCCTAGCTAATGGTATCACATATGTAGCTTGCTTGCTTTGGAACATATTAACTAGCTAGGGTTCCTACATGGAAATATATATTGTGAAGGAAGTGGGGAAATGCAACATAATTAAAAAATAAAGAGGGGCAAAATTTAAATAAGTGAAGAAAAAAAGAGAGGGGGAAAGGACAAGCAAGCAAGCAGCAGAGTCGCAGCATCACATGACTTTATTAGTTGGAAGCTGAAGGGATACCCCATTGGAATTGGGTGGATCCATGCCCATGTTCCCTTTCCCTTTTCCTTCAAAAATATAATCAAATTTGTGACAGCAAATCCAGGGGGAAAAAAATATAATATTTTGATATGTCTTGTTGATTCCAAATACTCTTCTTTACAAATTTGTTATTATTCATTACCACCCAATTATCTGGAATAGTACACCCCATTTGTGTTAATTAGTAATTAAAAATAATAATCAATATGCCCGCATTTGCAAACAACGTCTGTGGGAAGACTTTTTATTGGTTCAGAGGGGAAGAAAATGAAATTAATTAATTAATTAATTAATAATAATCCCATGATAATGGGAATTAAAAGGAAGAAGAAGAAGAAGAAGAAGAAGAAGAGAAAGGTGAATCTTCTTCTCCACATGCCTTCATGTTTTAGCTTCACACTAGTCCATGTGCCCTCCCAATAAAACCATAATAAACAAAAAGGAGAAGGGAAAAAAAAAATGGATTTCCATGTGCCCTTCCTAAGGGCTCCTCTACCCTTTCTGTTTTGCTTCCCTTTGCTTTGGTTGGTTTTATGTTACTAATTAGACATGGTTAGGATCTATCTATCTTATGATTTGATATATTTAGTTATTTGCTTGATTTCCAGATAGAGGAAAAATGTGTAGTAGTGTGATTGTGATTTATCAACCACTGCCCTCCGCTAGGGCCAAAATTAAGAAAATAAAAATAATCAATGTCTTTTTATAAATAAATAAATAAATAATGTTGTAAGGCTGTGGTGGGCTTGCTATGCGATTGCTAGACTCTTCTTGACTTTTTCCCAAATACAGGTATTGGGCCCATTGATCAGAACCGTCCATTTCGCCCAATTTTATTTTCCTCCAATTGGACCCCCTTTCCTTTCCTTTCCTTTGCTGTGTTGGTTTGTGGGTTATCTATTTCTTTCTGAACTCTCTAGGAATGATTAGGGATGGTAAATGGTTAGTCGGTTATGAGTTTTAATTGATAACTGAATCGGTAATGATGGTTAGTGTGAGTTGATTATCAATGGGGTTTTTAGTAGTTTGGTTTTGACTAGCTGTATTTTATTCAGTGGTTTAAAGGTAAGACGAGAAATTCAAAGCCAACCAATATTGCAATTCTAGAACATCTCAATTCACACCTATTGCAAACAACCATCCACTCAAAGTTCGCAAGTATGTTTAAAGGTAAGACGAGAAATTCACCCCTCTCCTACTCTCCTATGTAGGCGATAGAGCGAACCTCACACCCAAGTAGTCTTTGTTTCTTTTGTTTTTTGTTTTGTGAATGATGATGATCCTGTGGTGCTTGTCTTTGATGTCTTGCTAGTTGTTACACGCTAATTGTATGCAAACGTTTGATTATTTGTAATTTTAAGCGCGGAATTTGGAAGTGGAATATGATGATTTCACGATGTTGTATTGATGCTATTTCTTATAATTATTATTGTATGTAATTAACAAGGTAGAATTATAGTTAAATTGTTTTGAATTATTCGTATGATTATACTTTATTATTAGAAAAGATACCATATATAATTTCAAAATGAAAAAAATAAAAATGTAACATGGGACGTTGTTATTAGTTATTGATTAATCACAAAACTACCCGCAAATCCTACCGATAATATGCGATTCAACTAATAAACCTTATTTGTTCGATTTTTGTATGCATTTTTTGCTTATAAATTAACCACTAATCCCAAATAAATTAGTGATTAATATCTTCTTAATTTGTTCCTCTGCTGCCTGCTTCCTGCTGCCAACTACTATTCATTTTCCCCTAAACTTTTAGCTTCAGCATGGCCTACTACTCTCAAGTCTCAACCGACTTCCAAAATATAGCTTCTTTCTTTCCGCACGTTGAAAATGGCATCATTATTTGTCCCACAGAATTGACGGGTACCATACTACCATTCGCCAAAATTTATGTTCAAACCTCGAGATCAATTGTGTAAAATGGAAATTATTTAGGTGAAATTTTCAAGACAAGAGTAAGAAGAGTTTAATTGTTTTTACCCATGTTTTTGTCCGGCTTCCGCATCTAAGAATAAAGGGAGTCGAAACATGTTAGGTTGACGAGAATACTCACACACAGATGAAATAGATCAACTCGAAATTGTCATCCTAACTCCTAAATATAATATCATTTTATATAAACCTCATATGTTTTTTTACTTTTGTTTTCCATTCATCTATATTATTATACATCCCCTATGTTTCCATATTCCAAATAACCATACAAATGAAACTGATGACTTATGCAGTCAAGAGCGCAATTCTGCGTAGACACATTTTGATGGTCTAAAAACATAAAATTTTAACCTTTTCAACTTTAAAGTGTGATTTTGACTACATTGGATGAATATGAAGTAGTGTACGTATAACTCTTCGTTAAAAGAAAAAGTGTACAATCAGTGGCACTCTTCATTAAAAGAAAAAGTGTACAATCAGTGACAGTTTAGTACTCCGTTTATCTTATGTAACCAATTCAAAAAAAAAACCTTGTGTGAACTTTAATATGATTTTTTTTTCTTTCCCCCTCCATTAGTGCAGTTGTTTGGAAGCCAAGTTTTGATGGTGAGTAAGAAAACGACTGTAAGGGCTAAGGAGCAGCAAATGGATGTGGGGTTTAGAGATATAAAATATATGTACGTACTTGTGTGTTGCTTAGTTAGTGATCATAATCATCATAACCCAAGATTCTTATTTATTGACAAAAATAGGAGTAGCTAGGAGCAAAAATAACTCAAATTTGAGTGAAGTGGGAGCCTTGGTAATAGTGAGAAATGATGGAATTCAAAAGGAAAGCTGTGGGGCAAGGTTGTCAAACCGGTTTATGCCAGTGTGCCGGTTTAGCATGTGGAATGGTTCGACCGGTGGCACATACCGGTTTGTGCCGGTTCATGCCGGTCAATATTATAAATAAAATTATAAATACTCATATTGAAACATGACATTAACGTCAATACCTAAACATTTATACTTGAATCCAACAAATAATATCAATATTTAACTTTTATACTCATAAAATAAATAATAAAATAATTTTTATCAATTAAATTCACTAAAATAAGGTCATTTTACTTGGAGATTCGTATATCGATCATGCCGGTCATACCGGTGGTGTCACGCCGGTTTTATGACCGGAATCGGTTGAACCAGGTACAACCGGTGGCACACCGGCTGGCGTGACAACCATGCTGTGGGGCTAAAAACATTGATTGGCGACATATTTGGCTTAGTGATCCTTACGAATTATAGAGAGGGCCGGCCTTATCTATGTTGGCGATATTCACCATACCACCATCACTATTTAATCAACGCTTATATTCAACAAGAGCTAGATAGCTCCCACTCTACTGTTGCCACGGATACCGGGGGTTGATTCTATGGCTAAGAATGATGAGTTGTATCCGTACGCGTTGTAATTAGGGCTGAAAGTTTGGTATCAGTATTTGGATATATCGAATACCGTATCGAATTTATCATTATTTGGTATCATCGAATATCGGTTTATTTTTTAGGGATTGGGATTGTGATTCATTTTGGAGTGCTATTCGGTATTCGGGATTACGGGATTGGAATCGGTATATACCGAAATACCAAGAAATACCGAAAATTAAAAATTAATTAAATATAGCACACAACCTTTAGTCATTCCTCACTTTTTCACAACTTAGAAGCCCCCATCCAACTCAATTTTGACTTTCCCGTTGAAGTCAACTCTTTTTATTTTCATAACACCAAAAAGTAAACACTATTATAGTCGTCTCTCAGCCTCCAATTCCTCAAATTAAAGATTACCAATGACAATAATTTGATATGCCATCATGCCACATCTCCTCCATTCTCCTTATCCATATCATAGCTCTAGGCTAACTCAAGACTCTTTGCTTTGTCTCTGCTTTAAATTAAACAATCAAATCTAATTTATATTTTTAATTATTAATTACAAAGGTAATCAATTTCTTATTCGATAATACCGATTGGGATACCGCAATACCGATTGGGATGCCGAAATATTTAGGGATTGGGATTAGGATACCGAAATTATTTAGGGATTGGGATTAACTTTATGGTGTAATTCGGTATTCGGAATTTCGGTATTCGGTATTGAGATACCGATTCTGTACCGATTTCCACTCCTAGTTGTAATTGTATTTATTGAAAGTTGGAATTGTTGGTAGTACTAACAATAGTAATACGCAAATCTTGAGTAAAGAGGGTTGTTATGTCGCTCTAAGTAAAGAAATTTGTAGTATGCTTTAATAAGTTTGTAGTATGCTTTAAGAAACATGTAGTATGCATCAAGAGACTTGTGGTATGCTTTATGAAATTTCTGACCTGTTTTAGGAAACTTGTGGTCTCTTTGAGTTTTCTAGTATGTTATAAATTTGTGGTGTGGTGAGGTTCTTTCCTGCTTTTTAAGATTTATGCTTTTCTTTAAGACATTTGTGATGCAGTTTGTTATGTGTTTGGTCTGTGTTTTGAGATTTGCATAATACTTGTGGTGAGGCGCGAGACACAAAATATTTGTGTAACGCCACAAGCATGTGTCCCCAAATTTTTAATAATGACAAGCGTACCCTTCATTTTATAAATTCATATTAATTAACCCCTTAATTTAAAAATTAATCAAAACAAGACGGTTTCTATTGGCTGAAACTATGTTAGTTGCAATTAATATAGTTAAATCGCGATTTAAAGTTTAAAAGGTTAGTCTTTTACGCAACACCTCTAGTCCACCAAAAACACTTCGATGTAGCATCGTGGCGAGACGCTTTTGACTGGATTGTTTGTTGCAACACTTTGACATCTCCAAATCCCCACTGCATAACTCTACTAACCAATAATAATACATTGGTACAAGTAATGACTGTATACGCTCTTGTATTGAAACTTTTTGCTGATTTTTACATCTTGAAGAATTAGGTGACGACGTGAAGTGATGGGCCATTAAAAGAATGAACGAATGCGAGTTGTATATACTCAAATTACAGAAGCATATCAGTCTGCCTTACCCTTGTCCGTAAGAAGGAACATCGTTCCTCTGGAACTGGAATTTGTATCTTTCCTTGTCAAAAACATGCAGGTGATCCTGTACAAAATGCACATACCTTGTTTCAGTTTTTCTAGCCAAAATGCATACCGGTTGACTGGAAAGAATCCGCAAGATTTGGCAGCTTGAGAGTTGCGATCACACCAGCTGCGAACGAGGCTACCGAAGCAAGGACAAAGGCAGGTATGTTGCCTCCACCAAATAATGCGTCCCATGGACCCGCACCAAGGGATACGATCATCTGAAGACGACCAAATCAATACAAGCGATCAGCATTGTGCAGAAAGATACCGAAGCAAGCGATGGAAAAGATTCATCTATCTACCTGAGGAACAACAATTGCGAGATTGAGAACTCCGATGGCCAGTCCTGGAGTAACAGAAACGGAATTAGGGATGATGGACTTTTGTGCTGGTATTATGTGGAGAAACGACAGCCAGATGGAAAGTCGAGTAAGAGTACAAACCTTGGCCACCACCAGAATCAGCTGTCAACTGAGCTGTGACTGAGAAAGGGACGCTCAACGTTATCTGTCAGAGAGCACACGGTCAGTAGATGCTTGCGGAGAAAGAAACCAAATATCGAAGATCTTGCAAAGGGGAAATGGTACGTACAGCAAGAGGAAATCCGAGAAGAGCAAAAACAACCAAGGAAGCTATCTTGATCGAAGAATTCCCTCCAATGACATGTTCAATCCCTCTGGAATATTCACTCAGAGATATCATGCTAATGACGGAAGTACTGGCCATGCAGACAAAGACAATGAAATTGCTCATTGCCCATACAAGTCTTGCCCCCATCTTCTGACACATTGGTTCGATGAGGAAAGAACTGATACCAAGAACAACCTGTTCCGGATTTGAAGAGAAAGCAAAGGATTAATGATAGAAAGGAAGAGAACAGAATCGAGATTATGTTTCAAAATGATTTGAATGCACATTTTCCAAAGTTCATTCCACAAAGTTGTAATGAAAGCAGTAGATCAGTGGCATCAACACTGAAAATCATGCAGTAAGGAAAAATTTTTCCAAATGCAGCCTCATTGATATCCTAATGCTGGCCTCAGTTCCATAATTTCTTACTCTTCAGGCATAGTCATTTTGGCAGAGGTGAACTTTTCAAACTTGTGATTCAAGGATATATGACAAAAGTGAACGTCATAAGAATGCAAGGAAGAACACAGTCATGTAACTAGTAAAACAACTGAGGTAGGGAGTTGGACTGATAATCCAATATGTCGTACTGATGCCTGGGCAAGTAGCTAATATGCTCAAATTCGAGTTCTTACAGAGTTCAATAGCAAACCAAATGCACCTTCTCTGACACCTTGATCATACAAATTAATCACAACGGCATCCCCCTTTGGATCTCCATGATAAACTTCTCTGCCCATCCAGTCAGTGTCGAAAAGAAAGAAGGGGAACCAGGATAACTGCAGATAAAAGAGACTTCCAAATTAAGAGAAATGTAATAGCAGTTGCCATGAACGAACATGTATTTGGTATAATGCTAATTTGAAATTACCACAAAGCTCCAAGAGTAACTGACAGATAATTGCACAATTGAAATCCTTACCCAAGTAAGAGCCATAACAACAAGTACTGCATGCATCCCAGGGGGTAAATGCCTCAAACTGGTCAACAATTTGACGAGAACTGCTCCAGGGCCGTCATCAAAACTTTCACTCGCTCCATCCACATGTTCAACATTATTATGAATATAGTTCTTCTCATACCCATTTCCTGTATTGTTCGCAATAGGATTCCCTATGTGTTTATTATCAGAATCGAATTTTGATAGTTCAATGCCATTCTGTTTAGGACTGCGCAATAATGGAGCATAATCCGCTGATCCACGAGGTTGACTTGCACTGAGTGGGACTTCATCAGCGAAATAAAGGGTAACAAGTGTGCAGAGGGTGAGGAACACCTGCAAAGACATCACGTACAAATACTCATTCTCTTCAAGAAGTCTTCAAAGTGAAAGAAAGAAAATTATTTCCAAGGTCAGACAGTTCCCAAATATCTAAACACCAATATAGTTTTTCAGCAAGCTCAACCCATTCGAAATGCATTCCAAGAAATTTGTAATATATAAACTCTTCTAATTATCTCTGCCGAACTGTCCATAGAACTATATTGAGTGGGAAGCTAAGATAGAAGCCAGATTAACAGATAACTGCCCGATATCCAGGCAACCAGAGCACAGCTTAACAGTTGAAGAGAGAAAAAAAAAAAAGAGCATAGCTTAATACTAAATTCAGAGGCAATTGGTTCCCGGAGGAAAATATGTTCTCGTTTGCAGTCGCATACCACTGCTACAAGAAATGCTGCTTTGAGATTTCCACAAGCTTCGCAACAAGCTCTACTCATCAGAAAAGGAAACCACCTGCCAAGAAGTGATCATCAGAAAAGAACAATGAACTAGGCATCTGAATGAAAAATATCATAAGAGTAACGGAAAAAGTATATTACGAAGTATCTTCTGCCTGCTCTAGCATTTCTAATACTTCATACTCAAATAGAAAGATATTGAAGCTAAGCACAGAGATTTGAAAAAAAAAAGACGTGGGTGCATGCATTTGCTCAAAGAATAGTCATTACCCCAGACAAGCTTTTATTACTTTTACCTGTTCCAACTACCACTAGCACCAGCAGAAAATCCTAGAATATTTCCAACAGCCATCCACAAACAAAAAATTGCATTTGATGTGTTGCGTTGATCAGGGCCTAAAACAGATGATATCACAACATCAATATTTGATAATAGCATCATATTGAACCCAAAACTCAACATCTTTGCCCCCAGAACACAGTAAAAAAGAGATACAAAAAGAAGAAAGAAAAGAATAGAGCTTAGGCAGAACCTCACCTGATAAGTCAGCCAAAAGAGCTCGAGCTGGTCCCTGTAAAAAAAGTAAAGGTCACCCGCTTGCTCTGTCTTTTTGACAAAGAATTAGAGGTTAATAGAATAGAAACCATGTTGAGATGAACTTACCTGAACTGTATTATTAGCAAGATCCAGCATCCAGAAACCAATAATGAAGACAATTGCTGCCCCAGTTCGAGTTCCTTTGAATGTACTGCATACCCAACGGGAAGTTGGTTAGTCTTAAGCTCATATCTATAAAAAAGAAAAAAAGTAATCCAATGCAAGAAACTGAGAGGAAGAGCAGAAACCTGCAATGCTCCTTGGTATCGCCTAACAAATACCCTATGTCTGCAGAAAATCCGATAATTATCACCTAAATTCGCAACACTTAGTTTAGCTGAGCGGAGATTGCCACAACAGATAATAAAATGTGGAGCAAAACAAGAATGCTCACGGCAATGGAGATCATTAGTGATCCTGAAAGAATGTAAGGTCGTCTCCTTCCATATTTTGAGGTGCACTTATCACTCCATATACCAACACAAGGTTGCACCTATGAACAAAAAATATAACAGCCAAGGCAAGCAGCCCTTAGTTAAGCATATATGCTACATGACATAAATAGCATTATTTTATATTCGTTGCTAGTTTGGTAAACAGAAGACTGCCCATTTGAGTCAAGGGATCCTCAACTAATAATTAGGCCTAAAACTGTCTATGAGGTCCAAAACAAGCTCCAAGTGCAAGAATCCTAAATTTCAGGTTGATCAACTTACCACAAGGCCTGTGATAGGGCCACAGAGCCAAATGAACGATGAGAAAGCATGCTCTATTCCAAGTGTCTGCAGGGCAACAGAAGCCCAAGGTTAACAAGAAGATGGAAAAGCTCATAATGAACTGAATTCTAAGCAAATGCACCATTGACATTATCCATTTCCATAACCGTCAAATTACAGCAATCTCAACGATGAATGCAAAAACCCTTACGCATTCGGCTTGTAGAATTCAATTACGGAACAGGAAATCTTAACTGGAACTAAAAATTACTCAATATACATACGCGTAATAATACACTGGCGATCTTCCTCACTTGCCTGAATATATGGAGTCAGGAGAGATAGCTGCAGCGCCCAACCAAACTGAACCCCGGCGGCGACCGTACAGCTAAGAACAAGAGTAACCAAGCTACAATGCTTAGGCGCCTGTGATCTGACTTCGGTGGAGTCGGCGCCATCAGGAGTCATTTTCGACGATCGATGAACGGGAGAATCCAAATCGATCCGCTGATTCGGTTGCAGGTCGAGGTCATCCATGCTCGCCATTTCCACCTCCTCATCCTTGCTCAGGTTCTTGTACGGAACCCGAATCGACGCCGGATCCATCATCGACCTCCTCTCCTCTCAGCTGGATTATTATGGCGATTCTGTCCACTGCTCGAGCATTTGACGTCGCGAGTTTTCTCAATTAAAGCCGACGAGATTCGACCGCTCCCGGCAGATCTGACACGACTCCGACAAAGATCTTCCTTTCCGTCAAAATTCTTTTGGGCGGGTGCAGGGAGAGAGAGATTGCTGCATTCGAGCGAGCCAACAAAACGACCGAACTGGGCGAGAGAGGCTACGGCGCGTTCGGTTCATCGTGGAACCATAGGATCGAGTAGTCGCACGAGTAAGATCGACGTGAAGGCGCGAATTGACTACAATCTGCCCGTTGGATTCATCTCGTGGAACTTTCTATTACTTTTCCGGTTTTCCCGCAGAAGGATCGCCGCTGATGTGAACCCCGCCACCGCCGCCGTGGAGTCAATTAGTATACGCTTTGGAAAACTTTATTTTTCTTACGTCGCGCACTAATGGACTTGAAAGTTGAAACGCGTGACCACTTTAGAAAATTAGGGCTTGCTAATTGTCGCCCTAACTTTTCTACAATCATCCTAACTAACAAGTTCAAATTACACTTTTGTCCTCATATCCTTTTTATTTTTAAAAATATTTTATTATAATAAACACACTCCGGAAAAATTGACTGTTGTGCGGCCGTAGTATTCGTCGCAAGGTTGTCAACCCGCGACCGCGGGTTGACCCGGACCCGGTCGAGCTAGTGGGTCAAGGGTTAATGGGTCAACCGTTTTAGCGGGTTGACCCGGACCTGGTCGAGCTAGTGGGTCAAGGGTTAATGGGTCAACCGTTTTAGCCCGGTTTGGCCCGAAAATATGAAAAAAGTCATTATATTGTACTTATCCTTATAAATTATATCAAATCTTATCTAACATATGAGTTATAGTTAGTAAAATACGGTACGGGAAAGTTACGGATGTAATACGTACGGGTATTTTACTTCATCTCTAAGCTAATGTTACGTTTAATAGTACGTTAATAGTCATAAATATATAAAATAAATTATTTTTTAAAATAAATAAATATATAAATAATAGTAAAGTTAACAATTTAATTCATTAAATACGGATATAAAACGTGTTATACGGATTTTATACGTGTTTAGTACGGGAGCCACCAAATGAACGGACAAAAATGAAACGGCTTGACAAAAATACGGATACGGAAGTTTTAAACGGATAAAGTACGTACGGGTACATATACGTGTATTAAACGGAGTATTTACTAACTATACTTATAACATATAATATTACACCAAAATAACATATCGTACTTAGATCCAATATATAATGAAAATTCACACACACTTATATAACATAAATATTCAAATGTTCAACTTAGGATTCCAAAGATTGAGTTGGGCGAAAAGAAAAATCGGAAAATAGGCGCATTTCGCAAATCAAGAAAAAAATTACACAATTTGACCTCCAACCCGGTACCTTATAGCGGTCGGCCCGGCGAGTGCGTGCGGTCCGTTTTTCTCATCGGGTCAGGGTCAACCCGCGGGTTGACAACCTTGATTCGTCGCCACCACTACCCGCCCGATTGCCCCCTTCCTCAACCAGCAACCCACTTTGGTCACCGACAGTAGCCTGGCTGCCCCCTTCCTCTCTGTCATACCATATTTGGTATTAACATCATTAACCCACCATTCAATCCAATTTTGCTTCTCAATTTTTACATAAGGGACAACGAACGAAATAATTGAGAAGACCTGGTAGAAGGGTCGACGGCAGGATGGAGGAGAGGCTCTGTGGCAATGGTGAGAATGATGATGATAGTAGGGTGCGCTGCTGGAGGAGAACGGCGATAAGAGGACGGAGGCGGCCGGATTGGGTTGGTTGTAGCGGAGGACGTCTGCGGCGTCAGATTTGCAGTCTTCCGGCGGGGGAGAGTTCCAACGACGACAAGAGGATGGAGGCGGCGGGATTGGGGTGGTTGCAGCGGAGGAAGTCGCCGGCGGCTGATTTGCTGTCATCCGGGGGAGAGTTTTGTGAATTAAAAAGCGTTTTGGTTTTTTTTTATTGGACTGTTATGTAATTTCAACAAATAAGTTAGGGCGATACTAGTAAAGTTAGGGCGACGTTTAGCCATTCAGGAAAATTAAGCTTGCTTGCAGGAGTTATAAAAAAAAAACTTGCAGGAGAATAACGTTGAGATATTGGTTCGGTTTTTTGTTTAAATCGAAACCGTCCGTGTAATGTAACTAGCTTATCATTTTGAGTTTTCGGTCAAAATCTGTTTGTATGTCAATGAATTTAATCTTGTGATAATCTCATGGTTCTGGACCTCTGGTGGAGAATTACAATTCGAGTTTGGTTCATTCTAACCAAATCGAAAATCGATAAGGAGAGTTTTCGGTTTTGATTTTATCAGGGAAGTGCAAGTTTTGGTATTCAGTTTGGTTAACCGAACCAACACCCCTAGGGGCTAGGGGTCATTATCATGTCAAATATGTTGTGATAGATGACGGGTATTCATCTTATAAGGTATATGTCAATAAACTGAATAACAAAATGTGATAATCAATGTGCATTTTGCCCTTTCGATCTTTTATATCACGTGTTTGATAGTCAATTTCCCACCTTCCACAGACGGAATTATTAGTAACTCTGTCATACTCATCAGTCGTCAACAAATGTTTCTACGTAACCCTTTTGTTACCGGACGGCTAAGCAGGCGCCAGGCAGGACGAGTTTCTATACAAAGAGTTCTTCATTTCAGCCACCAAAATAAGCTTCTGAGTTCTAGAGGTTGACCAACTGGGACTGAATAGGGCTCAATGCTGGGCAGCCCGGCTACCCAAATCAGAAGCGTAATCAGCAGCCCGATTCAGAGCTCCCGATACCCACAGAGCGCCCTTCGAGAAGTAGCTACTGCTGATCACGGTGTTTGCTGCCGATGCTGCTGTTCTAGCCGTGGCAGATACTGCTGATTTGGTTGTCTCGGTGACATGGTACTTGTCGTCCACGGCTTTGACAGCTTCCATTCCGGCAAAGAGCTTGTCAGCTAGGCCGATTCTCTCAGTGAACTCGGCCACCTTTGCTGTTGCAGTCGCTGAAACTTGATGGGACTCGTCGAATTCTTTCGCTTTGCCAAGTGCATCTTTCCCCAGAACGTATCCCATTGCTAGCATTTCATTCACCACTTCCTGGGCCTTTGTCACTGCTTGTCCTGCATCGCTGGTGAATTGCCCTGTTTGCTGGTGTTGCTGCTGTGGAAACAACAGGGTATGTTACTGAAAGAGTTGGTATGGGATCGATTAACCCAAGCTTCTAAAAGTGTGGTAGATGGATATCAACGATGTTCTTACAGTCGATTCACTTTCATTAGCCGTTGTTGTTGAAGGTTTGTTCCAAAAATCGAATTCATCTTCGTAGTGTCCCCAGCGTGTTATGCACACTCGTTCCTCCAAGATGGTGGCACCCTGTAGTCACAAGAACACAAAAGAAAAGAAAAGAAAAGAAAATAAATTGTTGTCACAGAGCGATAAGGGAAGGTATTCTGAAAGAGTAAGAGTCAAGCTCCACTCGGATGGCTCGCTAAAATAAAAACTACATTGGTCATGGAATAAACCCAAATGAACAAGAGAGTCCACTGCAAGTGGATATTTTGAACTTATCAACATCCATGATATGCACAAAACAGGACTCGTTCATGTGTGTTGAAATGCACCAAACAGGAGTAAGCAGTTGCCGCAGTAGAGATTGCAACGACCTCATGCGTGCTTGAAAACAAACTAACGAGGAAAGTTGCAACACTTAATCTGGTTCATGGTCCTGTCCATATTACGAGGCATTGAAAAAAACACTTGCATTGCCGGAACCATGTATGCAACACTTGTCAATTGACTTACAAATGGCTCTATGGTAGTGAGCAGATCAATAAACTAACTCTACGTCAATTGACGCGAAGACTATTTAGAATCGAGCTCCGATGCTCCCAAGCTGGAAAGTAGGAAACCATCACACTGTAGCAGCAAAAGAGCTGCCGGGCTATGTGCTTCTATGCACAGATCAGTAAACCTAACTCTACTCCAGTACATGTGAAGATGATTTTGAACCAAGCTCCCGTATTCAGAAGCGTGAGAGTAGGAACAGATTACACAATAACAAGAAAAGTACTAGTTCCAGGACCAAAAACCAGTGATGTCAAAGTTGGGGAGAAATACTTACACTGAGCAAGACAGCAGTCTCCTGGGCATATGCATCTTTGAATGTCACATAAGCAGTACAGGCGTAATCACCAGACCTATTCATTCCACAGAATTAGAAAAGCCAAAACCAACAAAGAAAAATAACAGGTTGGAAAGAAGAAGCAAAAGAAACCCAGAGTGTTTCCTCTCTTCTGATCCTTCTTCATTTTCTTTTCTTCTTGCTTTCTGTTTACCTGACGATTTCAACATGCTGAATGGTGCCGGAGAAGGCAAAAAAATCATGAACATCCTTCTCCGTGGCTTTGGGAGCAAGCCCCGTAACTTCAACAATATACCCACCTTCGTGATTCATGATCTCCACCCCAAGCAAAACTAGAAAGGTCAAGAAGAAACCACACCAAGTCAAGCTTCCCCCAAAACCAGAGATTTTTCCTTCATACCTTGAACCAACAATTTAATTCACAACCCAAGTTAAAGCCAAAGCAGCCACCAGCTCGAACAACAAAACCCCCAATTTCCAAAGGAATCGTCTAGTAAACCAAAAATTCGAATCAAAGCTATAATCTTTCTCAGCTATCTCTTTTTACTGGGTCCAAAACCTCGGAGGGGAAAGAAACCCTCGACTTGAACACAATCGAAAAATTGGAATATGGGTATGCGAGGTATGGATAAGCGGATGGAGGAAAAGGGGCAGAGTAGGAAGGTGTGAATACCTGGTCAGAGATCCGGCGAGGGAATGGCGGAGGGTGCAATGGAGGCCGGTGGATCTTAGCGTACGAAGGAGAAAGGAAAGTAAAGAGACCAGTTGTTGAAGTTTTTACAAGATTTGGGGAAGGGTTGTTTGGGTTGTCATATGTTATAGTTGCTTAACGGGGTTTGGCAGTTACAAAACTTGGCACCAGCTGTTGTAAGGTTTGGCGGGCTTCGTTGTTTCGTTGACATTGCGATTAGGGCTAGGGATGGCAATGGGTCGGGTTGGGTCGGGTTTTGCCAAACCCAAACCCAAACTCATGGATTTATCCATGAAAAAAATCCGGGGTAAAACTCATTGGGTTTGAAAACTCAAATCCAACCCAACCCGCTGGGTATCCGCGGGTTCATGGGTACCCACGGGTTTTTGTCGTAAAAATTTACAATAACAAGTTCCTATCAAAATTAAAGTCAAATATCAATCTCTCAATACAAATTATCCATATATAAAACACCATTCTAGAATATTCAAACAAATCACAAATTAACTATACAAATTGTTCAAAACCAATCTAGAAAACTCAAGAAAATTGAAGCAAATCAAAAATTATCCATAAATAACATGATTAATTGAAAGGTTCTTCCTTTCAATTAAGTTTCTTCACTCTCCGCTCGATAACATCAACTTCATTCTACACAATTAGAAAGAAAAAATTAGACATGTCTCCACAAACATAAATAAGATTAGTTGTTTAGAATATTAAATATACCGAAAAATTAATTATATTAGTGTGGGCGGGTACCCATGGATCGGGTTTACCTAAACCCAAACCCAACCCGATGAATAGTGAACGGGTTTAAACCCAAACCCGGCCCAAAACCCGTCAACACGGATTTTACCCGCGTTGGCCGGGTTGGATCGGGTGGGTACCCGTGGGTTCGAGTTTTGTTGTCATCCCTAATTAAGGGCAAAGTGAGCTGGTTCCAAAATCCAATTGAATTGCTTATTGGGTCAGTTTGGAAAATGGAGGTGAGACAAGATCTAACAGAATCAAAATTGGTCCAAATTTAAGTTCCATACTTCCATTCAACTTGTTCCATTCATCAGTTTAATTTTTAAATATATTTTATGATTAAATCAAAATTTTATTAAGCTCGGGCATCTTAAGAAAATCTTAAACGCCTCTCAAACAATTACAACCATCAAGTGGAAGTAGGGATGCCAATCAAACCCATGACCGCGGGTACTCGACTGCCCCCGACTCAGTCAACGCAAGGAATAACAATCAAACCCATGATCGAGAGTACTCGACTGCCCCCGACCCAGTCAACGCAGGGAATCTCCACATTGATTGGGTATGGGGCGGGTATGGGTAAAACACTCAAAATGTTTGATGGGTATGAGGCAGATATGGTTTTATTCTCCCCGCCCCATACCCATGCCCATGGCGATGCGTCAGCATTGAGCTTTATAGTTTATAGCTTCATACGTCGACTATGCTAACCACCCCCAATTTAGAACAAATGCACCCTAGATTAACGAAGTAGTATAGTGGTGAACAAAGTTGTATTTCTCGAGAACTCTAGATGTACTACTACTTTTGGTCTCGGTCTACTATTTGGCCAAACAAGATGGTTGGAGTTTAAGTGTGACCTACCTAACCAAACCAAGAAGAACAAAGCTAAGAGGAAAATCACAAGAGATAGAATATTGTTTAGATTGAATTCCTATAACTATAGGTTGACAAAGGTTATATGCAATGCAAATTCGAGGTGGGAAGGTTATTACGCTGGAGTCAGTAACTAGAGATGGTTATATGCCCTATAAATGGATTCTACACGTACGCAAACAAGTTAGATGAGTCATTGGTCATGCACTCATCTAATATGCATAATTAGGCGAGCTCCTAGCTAGAGAGGATGGTCACCTTTTCCTCTAACGAGGCCTCTAGATAATCTAATCAAGGTATGGTAAATTCAACATACATCTGCATGGTTGAACCTAGAGCTAATTCATACAATATACCATCTCATGTGTCCAAACCATTGATAGAAGCATTAATAACACTGATTAAACACAAATATGCCATGCATACAAACTCATAAACAATCTATAAGCTAGAAATCGTCTTCCTAAACAACAAGAGAAGCTAAAAGATAGAGAGAGAAAAAGTGTATAAATGGGAAGAAGGGCAACGATTCATGGTCAGATCCTTCTTGCTTTGGGCACCCTTCTTGAATCTTAAAAGGTTTTGGGTTTAGGACGAGGAAGAAATCACCCTGAACCCCTCCAAACTCGTCATTCTCACTCTACATCTTATCACTCTACCCTAAACAGGTCATTTTTCAAGTTTGCCAAACTTCGGAAGATCATAACTTTGTGCTACTCAATTTGATTATTTTTTTTTTTTTGAAAAAACCTAAATCTGATCATTTCAATTATTTTCTTTTGCTTAAATTTGAAGGATTACAAAAAAAATTATAGAATTTTTTTTTTGTAGTATGAACAAATGTGAAAATTAAATCTAAAGTCATTCTCAAAACCCTTTAAAACTAAAAAAATCATCTTTGGATATTTCTTTCTAATCAAAATTGTAGATCTTGAAAAATTATGTGAAATAAAAAATTGTTATGATTAAACAGCTGAGAGCAAAGTTATGATTGTTAGACATTTTCACCTAGATTGAAGTTGATCGCAGGGGTCGTCAACGATCCAGTGTGGTTTGGTTGGTGTCAGTCGTGAACCATAGTGATTTTAGGGCAATTCATGTGTCTCGGCCGCAACCCGGATCCTTCGAATGTGGACCTCTCTAGTGTCACGCGAACCATTTCCTAGTTTGCTCGACACTGGAGCAAACAACTCCACACTGTAGTATTTTGGGAAATTTTTTGCAAAGCGTTGTATTGTGGGAATTTCCCAACCCTTGTATTTTGGGATTTTTCTAGGACAAGCACATTACGTCAGGAAACAGACAGAGTTTATAGTGGTGACCCTGATTTGGCCTCGAGACAGACATAATATCGTAGTCATTCTTCAAAAAATGCATCTCATAGCTTTCAAAATCTCGAGGGTAAACTATTGAGCAAGTTTGTAAATATTTTTTCATCAAAACACAAAAAAGAAAATTACTAGTGCATGGCGGACTGGCGAAGGAATCAGTTTCAGGTCCGTTCGTCTCCTCGTTCTTATTTTGTTTTGGGGGCATTGAGAAATTTTTTTGAGTTCTTATAGGGCAGGGTGAGCTTTAGTTTAGAGGGGGTTTTTTTTATTTCAATGAAACTGTAACATTTTGAACCTTTTTTTACCAAGATATTGTATGCTTTAGGTCTAAAACCTCACCTATTTTAGCTTGGGGTGCATATCAAGGTGACTTCCCATAATGTCATCCATCCTTGCAGTGATGTACAAGTACAACGAGTACGTTTAACTTCGAAGTGCTCACAAGAATTCCTCCATTTCACCCCAAAATGCGTTAAGGTCGGTTTCTTACTTATGAACTGGTTAGCTTCAACGTATTGAGTGTTTTTATGTGTTTATTTAGGTGGTTAGAACACTTGATTAATAACTTAATTGGATGAATCCAAAGAGTTTAGGTTTATCCCCTTGATTGACCGGTCAGTTGGTAACATTTACATGTGATGTCTCTTTTTGGCTTATGCTTGGGTAATGTACTAAAATGTAGGATAAATTTATATGTTTCTCGTTGGTTGGTTTCTTTATACTTCACATATTAGAGAGATTGAAATGTTAGAATGAGACTTTGGGTATGTAGTGTCATTGTTTTGTAGCAGTACACTTGAAACGTTTAAGATATTTAACTAAGCAACTGTTATGTTCATCCCATTTTTATCTTGTATATACATGTGAATGGATATCATGGTTGCCTGAACAACAGAATCAGTCTTTAATCCTGAGGTATATCAGTTATGTTAGTAATGTTTCATGTAAGCTTGAAGAGGCAAATAGGAAAACTTATAATTACTTGGAGGTATTATTGGGATGATGTATCTGTTGTGGTATAGTATTTGGACATTAGTTTGCACCAAGGTTGTCAAACCGGTTTATGCCAGTGTGCCGGTTTAACAAGTGGAATGGTTCGACCGGTGGCATATACCGGTTTGTGCCGGTTCATGCCGATCAATATTACAAATAAAATTATAAATACTCATATTTAAATATGACATTTAACGTCAATACCTAAACAGTTATACTTGAATCCAACAAATAACATCAAAATTTAACTTTTATACTAATAAAATAAATAATAAAATAATTTTTAACAATTAAATTCACTAAAATAAGATCATTTTACTTAGAGATTCGTATATCGATCATGCCGATCATACCGGTGGTGTCACACCGGTTTTATGACCGGTACCGGTTGAACCAGGTACAACCGGTGGCACACCGGCCGGCGTGGGTTTGCACTATATCTATGATGCATAGTGTAAGTCTAGTTTTGTAGATGCTTGTTTTTTTTTTCTTTTCCTTTTCTCATTGTTTTCTTCCATCTAATTAGTATCTTCGACAATTCTCTTGCTTTGTGGATGCGGCCTATAGTGTTTTGATGGATTATTTTATAAAGGTAGAACACATGCAACTTTTATAAGCTTTTGACTGGGCAGAGGCAATGCACTGGTGGCCGATGTGGATATATCGTTGGTTATGGAGGAGGAAAAGATGAAGGTTATTTGACTGGGTGGTGGGGGTGAGGGTCTGTGCCGTTTAAGGCTTTGACTATACCCAATTATAAAATTGGAAATGGTGAAAAATAATTAAAGTAGTACAAATTATACAAACATAATTAATTTTTTAGGCGAGACATTCGCCACTTACGGTAAAATATCATCGTAGACTCCTACATAAGACAAAGCTAACGAAGTAGATGTCAGTGACCAATGATGATGCATAAATTTAAAGTCAATGACTAGTAAGAAATGAAAATAAGTGGCAAATGTGAAAGAATTAATAAATTGAGTGACCAAACATATAATTCACCCATTTTTAACATCATCTTACATTCACGCGAAGAAAAGGCGGGTAGGTGTCACTCCTCTCAATGGGAGGTCCGGTTCTTGCTATGGCGTTCGAGATTCCCCTGCATCTAAGGAGTATATAGGTACGTAAGAGCTTTGGTGACTTCTACAACGAGTTCTCATACATTGAAACCATTTGACGAACTATAAGTAACCTCTCGCAAACTCTTGTTGGTGACGAAGTCTTATCTTGTAATATTCGATCATTTCTCTCCCGCCAAAAATACCAGCCGACAACGTGTAAAGTAAAGAGCTCTAGGACTGATATTTGGTTAGTTAGTTAGTTAACGATTATACCGTTAACTGATTATAAGGTAGTCTGTAGGTTGCAATGGTTTCCGACATAACCGATAACCGAATAGTTGGTTAATGGTTAATCAACAATTAACAAGTATAAATATCTATGTTTATCTGCCCAAACAAAAAAACGTTTTCTCCAAAAAAAACTCTCGAACTTCGAACAAACAATCTTCTCCGCGACCCTCTTCTTCTGTCCCCAAATTTTTTAGGTGCGAATCCTAAAATTGAAAGAGACAAAGAACATCATCGATTTTGCTATTGAAATGTAAGCATCAAGATTGGATAGCAAAGTTCATATGACTTATGCTAGAGGAAAGATAGCAAAGAGCACGCCCTGATTTCTTCTATCAATGACTTTGCTCATCCAGTTCATACTAATCACTCTTCTCCTTTCTCTCTCGTTTTATTCTCTCATTCCCAATAGGAATAAGAACAACAAGCCAAACTCAAACCAAAGATAAAAATGTAAAAAAGAACACATACACATTTAGTGAAAATCTACAAAAATGCATAATTAAAAAAGGAGGGACGTCTTCTATTGGTTTGGTTACTGATTGGTTATTTGGTTAACTTTGTCGAATCACTAGCTAAACATTTAGTCGATTAACCAATAAGGCAATAACCGACTATATGATTATGATAAATCAACTAATGTAAACTGTGCTGTTAATAGTGAACATAAATTATTTAACAGTTAATCGATAACCAAATTAATGATAAGATTATAATCGAACCAAACCTAGTAATAGTTGTAAAGAACTCTCTTAAAACCATGAAGATGGAATAGTTGGAAAGAAGGCGACCACAAATGAATCACCTCATAAATGTCTCTTGACATCGGCCCCCGGACTTTGAAGTTTGAATAAATTGCTCAATCAGCATCACTGTTAAATTTTGATATGCAATTATCTAACCGGGAGCAACCTATTTAATATTTTCTTAAACATGAAATTTAAACACAACATTGAATTATCCTTTGCCATCTCTATTGATAGTGAGCTCAGAAAATCCACTAAGGGGTCGTTTGGATGGATCTATGTGATGAGGCAATTTGCCCAAATTGCCTCAAAATGAGACAATTGGTGTAAATTGTCTCATTTGGCAAATCAAAAAATGAATGAGTCAATTGGGCTTGGGGAAATGTTAATTGCTTCATTTTGGGTCATTTCAAATTACCTGGGTTGGGGGTATGTTTTCTGAATTGGCTCGTTTTTGTGGGCCTCTTCCAAAAGTAACCTTTTCTTTTCATTTTCTATTTTCTTCCATTCTTCATCTCTCTCCCTCACTCTGCTCTGAAACATAGAGACCCAGTTCATCACCGATTCCAGCAATTTCCCCACTTCAACTTCCACCGCTCTATTCTTCGATCTCCTCCGTTCAATTTTCACACCCTCGGCGTCGCCACTTTGCTTGCCGCCAATTGCAGTCTCTTATCCGTAGGCATGCTCGAGACCTAGGCGACCTTGGCTCCATCCTCACCAGGCTCAACTGCCAAGTCAACGATGGCGAGATTCTCATCCGCAGCAGGGTCCTCCACGATGCCATTTCTGGGTCCTTCTCCAAGCGCGATGTTGTTCTGGCCGAGTTCAGGAACTTGTTGACCCGACTCTAGATCAGGTGCGCGAATAGAGGAACTGGGCGATAGACTGGTTCCTACGTATGTTGCGTGAAGATGAATAGGATAGCCAGGTCAAGGGATCGTTCCGATCCTTGTTCGATTGCTCGATTCCATCTATGGGGAGATGAAACCCAGAGTTAGCTTTCACAATTTGTCGATTTCTGATTTTAATGTTTAATCAATCTTCTTGTTTTCTTCCTCTGAATCTCTGAATGCTTGAATGTGGTTTGTTTATGTTCTAATTGGAATTTGGCTTTGTTCGATACAATGATTCCCAAAAGGGATTTTGGGTCATTTGATTTCTTATTAGGATTTTCCCCAATATTGATTGGGATGTTTAGTGTTCATGTTTGTTGGTGTATGAATTCATGGGGTTCTGGTTACGAGTTAGAGGAAGATAAGAGAGTAAAAGAATGAGGGTAAAAGTGTATTTTCAGACAATGACTCATTCTAATTGTCTCATATCAATTAACAAACCAAACGAGACAATTCTGTACAAATATCTCATACAATTGTCTCATTTTTTAAAATGAGACATTTGATTCAAATTGCTTCATTTTAGAAATGTTCCATCCAAACGACCCCTAAAGCAATGGCTTAAATGGGTTTGCCCTACGAGTAGGCCCATGACCAATGCCAACCGAAAGGACAGTTGAGCCCGTTTACTTCATTAGCACCTAAAAATCTGTTGGGCTTACACTCCTACTTTTCGCTAACTATTTTATTGTTATTTCCACCTGCAGCAAACTAGGGTAGTAAATGATTAGCCGGTTGTCGATTTTAATCGATGATGATGATAAATGATTAATCAATAATCGTTAATTTCTTAGTAGTTTGGTTTCAATAAGCTGTATTTTGTTGATTGGTTACCCGATAAGAAAACCGATAGCCGCCTACTAGTATAACCACATAGTTTTGGTCTTTGACTAAAGGAAAAAGTCTCAAAGTTCAAAACCAACCAAAGTCGCAATTCTAGACATCTCAATTTCCACTTATTGCAAACAACCCTCTACCCAAAGTCTTAAATGTGTGTAAGAGTCAGAACTCAAAAGTCATCCTTTCTGACTCCCCTTTGCAATCGACAAAGCGAACATTGCACCCTCGTAGTCTTTGCTTTTTTTTTTTATGTTTTGTGGATGCTGATGATCTTGTGGTTCTTGTATTTAATGTCTTGGCAGTTAGTGTTAACTAATTAGATTAAGACGTTTGATTATTTTTAATTTTAGATGTTGAAATTTGAATTTGGATTATGAATTCACAATGAATATTGCATTGATGTTATTTCTTATCATTAGTTTTTTACGTTGATAATGTAGAAGTATAGTTAAATTTTCTTACAGGGTGTTTATGATTAAATATCACTTTTTAAAACTTAATTGGATGATGAATTGTGTATTACAAGCGATTATTGTTTCGCTTTATTATATTTCGTGATAGAAAATAAAAGTTATTGATTTGATCAGGTATATTCGTACTTGTAATGAATGTTAATGGTTAACTGCCAAACTAACAGCTAAGAATAAATGGTTAACCGATAAAATATATCGATACAGTTATTAGTATGAGTTTTTTGTTTATTGATTAACCACTAACTGCCATATGAATTAGTGATTAATCGACAACGAACCGATTACCACCCTATATCATACAATCCTGACACGGGGCAGGTAGAAACAGTTCTCCATTTGGTGAAATCTGAAAATACATTGATATTATATTTTTTTAAAAACAATTAATATTATTTTGTCTGCAGAGAAAAATACATTGTACATTTATATACATTAAATAAATTGTTATCCCCCTGAAATGAAAACTGAGTAAACCAAAAAAAAAAAAACCTACAAAACTCTGATTGATAAATAAACAAATATTTCTGGTTTTTTTTTTTAATAAACAAATATTTCTGGTTACAGTCACAGATATCTATCCTTCCACATATTAGTTTCCCATTCTTCTCCCCTTTCTCTTTTCTGATTTGTAGTCTGCAGTTTTTTTCCTTTTAAATTTTTTCTCCACTTTATATAATAATAGTATATAATATATTATATTGTATTTTTTAATTTTTTCTAGCATTTGCTGGCCCCCCTTTGCTCGCTATTTCAGTCTCTCATTCATTCATTCATCCCCCGAAATTAGAGAGAGAAGACGGAAGCGTACTTGGCAACACTGTTGCTCAGCTCTGCGCACTTCGTCTCTCTCAGATTGCCCCCACCCTCCAAAGTCCAAACACCCAAATTCGCCCCCTCGTCTTCCTCCTCGTAAACGTCGACGGGAACGTCACCCCTCCCTCTCACCGTCGCCGCCGCCGGTATATCGATTCGAATGCGCACATTTCAACTCTTCCTCCGTCAATCTCCACCGCGGCAGCAGTCATCTCCCCCAATTTGACCGGGCTGACTGCCAGTACGACGGCCTCAATCTCCATTGGATTGATTGGTTCCTTCGTGTAAGGAATCGATTTCTGGATTTTTTGCTGGATTTCCCAACTCTGTAAAGAAGAGGCAGTGAAAGGAAAGTGAGGTACTGAAGAACAGAAGAAGAAGAAGGGGGAAAAGAGCGGTGGTGATAATGGCGGGGTCGACTTCGTTCTCTTCTCCGTTGTGCACGTGGCTGGTGGCGGCGTGCATGTCCGTCACGTGCGGCTCGCAGGACCACCGGACCAGCGCACACGCGTTCCGTTCCTCCTCCTCGAGCTCCAAACTCACCACCAGCCGCAGGCGGAAGCTCCTTCTCTCCAAATGCAACGCCTCCTCCGTCGCTGCTGCTAGTTCGCACTCGCTCTCCAGTCGCTTCGTCGCTTCTCTCTGTGGATCCAGCTTTCAAGATTTGATGAACTCTTGCTTGGCTTTCGAGCCTTGTAGCCAGTACTACACCTCCAATGGCGCCTTCCGATCCAGAGCTCTCAACCGGAAGCAGAGACGACTCGGTCGCCCTGCTTATTCTGGTAAATGGTCTATGCTGCCTTAATTCCTTACGGTTTGTTCAATTTACATACGATTTCTTTGCCTACATTTTGCTTGCCAATTCTGCTCGGTCTCTCTCTCTCTCCCTCTTTCTTTTTTTGTTGGTTTCTCTGTTCATTCTTTTTGCGTGAACTGGGCTTCGGATTGTTCTTTGTATCTATGTGGTGCGTTTGGAGCAAGATTTGCTGTTCACTTTTTGCTTGGTTAGAACTCCAGTTTTCCTCGTTATTATCGTCACTTGCCCTTGTAAGTTTTCTCGAAGGTGAAGACCAGTCATGGCGCAGCTACAATCACTTGGATGCCAATGTTTCTTTGCACTAATGGAATTTAGAAACTATTACTGTGGTTAAGAGTGGTGTACATCCAGTTGCTTTTTTACCAATTAGTTTGGTATACCAGCTCATAACTCAATTCTTTTGATCAAACCGATGCTCAGCCTTTAGGCCTCCAAATGCCTTTTGTATTTGTGTGATCATAGTTTCACGATTTGGGTTGGTGTCCAACTTATCTGTTCTGGAAAATAAGAGAGAAAAGGAGGGAGGGGTGAATAAAAGATCAAGGAGCCATGGAATCACCACTGTAAAAAATGTAGTTAATTTGGACATCTCCAATGCTAAACATCTCGTGTCTAATTTATCAATGCTGCCTTTGTCAGCAGAGTGAATTCAACTCAATCATACTGGTTTTTATAAAGGCACGGACTTTTCTTTTCAGTTACATGTACCCATGGTAATAAATCTATTCAAATGTTCCAGGGGAACCGATGGCCGTAGCTGTGCAACCTGCAAAGGAGGTTGCAACCAAAAAGAAGCCTGTTACTAAGCAGAGGCGAGTGGTTGTGACAGGGATGGGTCTTGTTTCTCCACTTGGTCATGATGCAGATGTCTTTTACAATAATCTGCTGGAAGGTTCCAGTGGCATAAGCGAGATAGAGACATTTGATTGTGCTCAATTCCCAACAGTAAGATGCCAAACAATCATTGGATGACTAGCAATGTGTAGGTGACCATGTTTTCCTTGGCTCACTTTTTCTATGGTTTCTTCTTTCATTTCAACTGATCAGAGAATTGCTGGTGAAATCAAGTCTTTTTCAACTGATGGATGGGTTTCACCCAAATTTTCTAAGAGAATGGATAAGTTCATGCTTTACATGCTCATTGCGGGGAAGAAGGCTTTGGCAGATGGTGGTATTACTGAGTATGTAATGAATGAGTTGGATAAAGCTAAATGTGGTGTTCTGATTGGCTCAGCAATGGGTGGCATGAAGGTAATGCTTCAGACGTATCACTCAATTGTCTCATCTTATAGAATGGCACTTTGTTGCTTTCCTTTCTGGCCTTGCCAAATCAATATCCTATCAGGGTGAGGGGAGCTAGAGCAGCCATATTGTGATATTGTTGGCGCCAGTGTCAATTTTGCTTCCATACCTTTATAAAATAAGAACTTACAGTCTATTTGCAGCTCTCGTTTACTTGTGCATAGACTCAATTCAAGTTTTTTTATATTATTATTTTGATGTCATATTGGTGTAGTTATACACTGTCAAGTCATGGTTATTCCCTGCGTCAGAACACTAGAGCCATTATCATTCTGTAACTTCAGATTTGTAGTGATCATCTTCTTTGGATAATTTATGCACAGGTTTTCAATGATGCCATTGAAGCTCTTAGGGTTTCGTACCGGAAGATGAACCCGTTCTGTGTACCATTTGCAACTACAAATATGGGTTCTGCCATGCTCGCAATGGATATTGTAAGTTTTTATTCCGGGAAATGGCAAGTGTAACATGCTTAATCTTGTTTCTGATTTTCTAAATTGAGCTGCAGGGTTGGATGGGGCCAAATTATTCTATTTCCACAGCTTGTGCTACAAGTAACTTCTGTATACTAAATGCAGCTAACCATATAATTAGAGGCGAAGCTGTAAGTCCTTTCTATTAATGCTCAACAGTCAGTTGTGGGTTGTCCAAGATATAAATTACAAAATTGAAGGCTCTGGTGACCGAAGTACTTGTGTTCTGTCAATTTTCAGGATGTTATGCTGTGTGGTGGCTCAGATGCAGCTATAATTCCAATTGGTAGTTGTTTCCTCTTTCACTAGGATATAAATCTTCCATACTTGCACTGTCAATTAACATGAGTACATGACTGGTTCTGTTTCTCTCGTTACAGGTTTGGGGGGCTTTGTGGCTTGCAGAGCGCTCTCTCAGAGGAACGATGATCCTACCAGAGCTTCACGGCCTTGGGATAAGGTAATGTTTTGATACTCTTGAAGCGTAAAGATGGTTCCCTGCTTGGCTGCTCGGAATTCTGGCCTGATCATTCTTACGAATTATCGTTTAGTTGGTTTTAAGTGAATCGCCGTGCCATTGGCTATACTGCAAGCGTATTTATTAGCGAGACCTACAATACAATTTTCAAACTGATAAATTCTGCACACTAAGTTCGTCTTATCAATTAGTGAGATAAGTTCTAGTCCATTGCTTTAGCATCATCGACAAACTCATAGCGGCCTAGCTGTGGGCTATGAGCCCAGAGTGTTCTTCATATACATTTCTGTGTGCCATCTCTTTACTGGTGTGTGTTGCTGGGACCAGTGAAAGCAAGTATATTATAAATGGAACTCAGAACCCTTGAACTATATGAGATATCTGGAAAAACCGAAATAGAAGAGACCAAATGTTTAATCATTCTAGCTAATCGTTTGGCTCTACCAAAATCAATAAATTAATTGCTTCATGTTTGCTGACTGTCTGTTATCAACTTTGAAACCTCTGTCATAATCATCAACTTCTGGACCTTAATGGTTGCGATCTAAAGTTTGTAATATTTCTGATTTAGTATTACTTAACATAGCTCTTGTATGTCTGTTGATGATAGTGTCCTGCTGTAGTGTATATTTTTTGTACATTTTACATTCCTTGTTTTTTCCTACCTTATTGCTTTCGTTGTTTAATAAAATGAGCAGAGTCGAGATGGATTTGTTATGGGTGAAGGAGCTGGTGTTCTACTTCTGGAAGAGCTTGAACATGCAAAGGTACATACTTCTCGAAGCCACTGCAAGTGGGGATCAGATCCGAGTTGTTTGCTCCTATAAGGGTCTATAGAGCTGTATCCTTGACCATATAACTGCTTGCTTCATTTGTTTGGCTTCATCTTCACTGTAATGTTCCCCATTATTGGTGTCTTTTTTCTAATTTCCACCCTTTGCACCTCATGCTCCCAACAGCTTCTTAAAGTCTATGTTCCTTTCAAAACACATAGCCTTATCACTGATGCTGCACCTTCAAAAAATTGATCTAACTGTAACCTTTTCAATTTCCAGAGACTGATGTAAGTTTAGTTTTACCTTTGCAGAGGAGAGGTGCCAATATATATGCAGAGTTTCTTGGTGGAAGCTTTACTTGTGATGCCTATCATATGACTGAGCCACGGCCTGACGGTAATGGGGTTGTGTACTAATTGCTCTACCAGACAGTTTATTCTCTATGTTGTGCCTCTGCACTAATCTTATTATTATATGTTGAACTACCATGTGTAAGCCAGCTAACATTCCTTTCAACGTCATAATCACAGGGTCTGGAGTCATTCTGTGCATAGAGAAGGCTTTAGCACAGTCTGGAGTGTCCAAGGAGGAAGTGAACTACATAAATGCACATGCTACATCAACTCCTGCTGGAGACCTTAAAGAGTACCAGGCTCTCATGCACTGTTTTGGAAAAAATCCTGATGTGCGTATATGAATGCAATTTCAATTCTTTGTTACTATCTGGAAATTTGAACAATAGTGTAGTCACGGACTCTTGTCATTTTCTTTACATTTCAGTTGAAGGTGAACTCTACGAAGTCTATGATTGGTCACTTGCTCGGAGCATCTGGAGCTGTGGAAGCTATTGCAGCTGTACAGGTAACCAATTTTGAATGCTGTGCACCAATGCCAGTGCCCTTTTGTTAATAAGCAAATACGGTGAAGTACCTTTACTTGGAGCTTGAGCTTTGTTTATCAACTTTCTGATGCTGGATCTCTAATCAATGGCACCTTAGGCAATACGAACAGGATGGGTTCATCCGAATATCAATCTGGAAACTCCTGATGAAGGGGTGGTATGTGTTCCATTTCCATAACTCATACTTTATCCTATGCTTTTTCTAATGTTCCATTTACACACTGCATATTTGTTTCTTACTGTTGTTCGAACGATGCAGAATCCGAGTGTGCTGGTGGGGGCGAAGAAAGAAAGACTGGACGTGAAAGCTGCATTATCGAATTCTTTCGGGTTTGGTGGTCACAACTCGTCGATCATTTTTGCTCCGTACAAGTGAAAGAAGTTTGGATGGCTTCAAGTTTACTTACTGATGATGACTACTTAAGGTGCGGTACATTTGGTAACTTGCTCGTCTCTTTTTTTTTTTAATTTTTATTTGGGGGAGTCATTCTCAAGGAAGGAAATGCATTGGGACCCAAGTGAGGAAAATGCAAGTCATAATAGATACTTTGGTAGTGATGGGTGGGATGATGACCTCTAATTGAGTAGAGATACACAAATCCAAAGAAGTCAAACCTTAGTACAATAAGAAAACGAGAGGGGGGGAATGCAACTATCATGGACAATTGTAGAGTACAGTAGTGAGTAATGAGTCGGTTTTGGTAATGGACAGTGCTCTTCAGGGAAGAATCCTGATTGCCAAGTAAAACTGCACAGCTCAATGTGAGAATTCTGGGAAAGAGTGGATGGGGGAGAGCTCATTTCCCCTCCTGGCATCTGACAAAGGAAAGAAAGGCACGGTCTGTGTTTTAGAGTTAGGATATGATATGAGGAAAGTAGATGGCACCTACCTAGCTACATTTTCACTTGTTTGTTTTTGGTTTTCCTGTGTAGATGGCCTGACATTGGACTTTGGTTTTCAATAGTCAGTCAACTTGTACTCCGAATTTTGAGCAGACAATTGCCGCGTTGCCTTTCCATTTCCTTGCTGCTTTCCTTCCTTTCTATGCTGAAGGTTGATATGGTTGAAGTTGTGGTTACCGGATTCCAACTCAGGATGGAAATTGAATCGAATGATTGTCGGGTCAATCGGTTCTTGATGTTAGCAGAGACATTAAGGACTGTTCTACTGAGATGGAGCGGGAATCCTTATTTATGGTTCTTGTTGGTGGAATCGTTAGCCACCACAGCATGTTTGCTTCGAAGTTATGATAGACTAACACGATCATTTGTGAGAGTCGAATGTCCATCGAGACTTCATCTCAACCACCATCGTACGTGGTTGTATCCATGTGAGGTTTTATGGAGAGTAAACGGACTCGATTAGTCTATGGTTGTCTCCCAAATTGGCTCCTTCCTTTCTCTATAAAAGCAGAGACTTGAAGATGAAGGGTTCCTTGTCCTTCAAACAGATGCCAAGTCTTGTATCCTACGTACGATGTAAACCATGATTGTGTGGCCATGAGTTAGTAGAGTGCTTTTGCCGTTACACCGATCATTGCTATCAACGAAGACAACCCGGCTATCGTGCTCACAGGTCAGCTGCGAGAACATACTCGTCATTGGATTGGGCGCGATGATCTGTGGGGGGAGAAACTAGGTGCCGCTGGATGATCCACGTCAACCTCAGCTCCAACCATTCCAGCATAAGCATATTGCCTCCGACTGCGACTACATGACGAGGAAGTGGACGGTAGATTCCTGCTAAAGAATCGAAAATGAGTTGGCTGTCGGAGTCAGAAGATCCTATAGCACGGAGGATATGCTGCAGTTTTATGCTAGCACGTTGTGAAAATAGAGAATTGACTCGTCCGTTGGAGTTTACATCAGACTCATTGAAAATGTCGAACAACAAACTTCCAGCAGGCACTCATTTTGGACGAAGCAGACCAATAAGCACACTGGTAGGATTGGAGCCGTATCTGTCTTTCATAGAGTGGCATGATCTTTCGCATAAAACAGGTAATGCAATAAGTATCTTTTAAGCTTTGTTTGGACTGATTACTTTGTCCATTTTGATCATAAATAGTCTGTTTATGAAATTAAGAATGTCATTCTCAAAACCAGTTCATTACTTCCACACTAAGAGTTTCACTAGTACCATCGTGCCCGACCGTTTGGTTGGGTATTATTTGGTATAATAACAATATTAATATGAACAATCGGAATTGTTTACGTTTGTCTTACTCGATCTGTTTGAGTCGTTTATAAGAGTTATGGCATTTCATCGTTAGAAATGTAGATTCGACAGCCGGTGACACGTTATTTTAAAATAGTATGTCCAACAAACCCAAGAAATCCATCAAGTTCTTTTAAATGAGCATCAATAGAATAATCCGTACTCACGATGGAATATGGTATTTTATCCGACCAGTTGGTCTGATGAATTTTATTATCTTGCTCATAAATGTAAACATTAGTAGGTGTGGCATTCATAAAAACGTTATAATGTGCACCAAACGACGATGAATATTGGCCTCTATGCGGTTTGAAAGACCAGAAGATAATAAGGCCTTCTTTATCGAGGGCATTCGAATAGTTATGACAACATTTTAGGTTTATTTTGACACTTATCATAGGCCAACAAATATTAGTCTTTGGCGTAAAACTTCAATACCTAATTGTTAAGTTGAAGGGCACAACTCTAATATAAGCTAGGCCCAACATAGGCTTGTATTCGGAAGTCTTAAACATTTGATATACCACTTAAACGTAACATAATTCTCTAATATTGACTTATGAACGCTTTCCTTAAAATTTGTCTCGGCACGAGGTGTCATTCAGAAATTGTCATTCGGAACATTTAAACTCATTGTCACATATCCTTACTCTGCACCTGGCCAATTGGTCAAATCCTTTTTTTTTCTTACAATTGGTAGATTTCATTCCATAATGATTGAGGTACAAGCTCGGCCTATTACAATAGAGGTGAGATCAAGTCCAGAATCTGAATCCACTCAAGAGGGAGAGATCCAATCCTACCTTCTTTAGCAACCCAGTGAGCACATTTGTTGTATCTACGATGAGTAAAAGCCACAGTAATGTAGGCATTATGCGCGAGGATATGCTTCATACAATGAATCCATGCCATCACATGCCAGGATTTACTTCGTCCTAGCAAGATGTTGATGATGATCTGACAATCAGAGAAGATCACAGACGGCAGACCCGAGTCTTTGGCCAAATCCTTTTGAATTTACATTTCAAACTACTTTATACTTTTGTTTATGTTGTTATAAACATGCTGAGTGAAGGATAACTTATGGTTCAATGGTTCAAAGCTTTTGCTTATCCTAGAAGCACTAATGATAAATTGTTGATATTTTTCTCTAAAGAAATCACCAATAACTCTTATGTAAATCCAAATATTCTTGAGAAGGTTTTGTTAACATGAATCTAACATCCTAATCAATTAAGAAAGCTTCATTATTTGCTCAAATGTATTTTAAAGTTAATGTACGTAACGACTGTGTATGTATTTTCTTGTAAAATATGACGAATAATATTTTTCATCTAAGCATAAACCAAAACTTCTACAATGGCGGTGACTATTAGCTAGTGATAAAGATTCGATCCGCGGTGGAGAATCAAGTGAACGACTTATGAGTTTTTACTTCAGATCGAGTGTTATAACTTCCCAACACTAAGAGAATTTTAACCATTGAAATGAACAAATATTAAATTATTATTTAAAGACTTGAAAAGGTAGAAGGATATTTCCGAATTGGAGAAAGGCAGCTCCAGCTCTAGTTTTGTTCTTGTCGAGCAAATCAAGTGGCTCATCCTCCAACAGTCGGTAATACGCTCTATGAACATTCTCATGTGTAGTAGTAATTAAGGGGTGGTTTGGAAGTTGCGATTGTTAAATAGATGTATTGTTGAGAATGCATGTATAATATTATACATGTATTGTCGAATCTGATGCATTCTGATGCATTGTAGAATACAACGTTTGGTATGTGTGATTCTGTATGTCGCATCAGCTAAAAGCTGAGACAAAACAATCTCAACTCAACTATCTCAACAATCACAACTAAAAGTTGAGATATAAAAATCACTCAAAATGAGTGATAGTTTCTGTCACATCACAGAAACAATCCATGTATTGTTTATGCTAAAAAACAAAAAAACAATGCATTGTAAACAATACATGCATAATGACAATCTCAACAAAACTATCGCAACTTCCAAACGACCCCTACTTATATTCAACTCCAGTCCCCGTATATATATAGTAGAAGAAGAGGTGAAAAACTGAAAAGTGCACTGACCGCGCGCAATGTAGACGCCTTAGACTTCAGCTGTGACAAAGCCTTGCTTCTTCTACCGGAAACCAAGGTCTTCATATCAACATCACTGTCTTTTGTTTCTTCATCTCCTGAATCAGAAAATGTTCTTGTATGGTTCCATCTGCTTAACCTGAAAATGAATATATAATTAGCAAAATGTACTACTGTCATCGCCGTTAATTAACTTAACTACCCATATGACACATCTCTTGATACCCCTGGCTCCAGATAAATGAGATTTTAAAGGGAATTTTCAAAAGAGTATAGTTACAACTCGAAGTTGTACCATAGAGACAAAAAGTAAAGCACCAATGCTTTAAAGTATTGCAAAATTCTCGTAACTACTGTGGTTGTTTTGTCGGTGTTGGTTGAATTTGCTTTAACTTGTGTCGATTACGAAATTGACGTGAACCACATTAGTATGACTGGTATGATTGATTTACGCGACATTCAAGTAAATGGCGTTGTCTTCATGAATATTATTAATAAAAAATAATTTTATTATTCATTTTTATAAATTTATATGTTGATGTTATTTATTGGATTCAAGTATAAACGTCTACCTATTGTTGTTAGATCTTGTATTTAAATATGAGTATTTGTTATTTTATTTGAGAATGTCATATTTTATTTAAAAATGAATATGGATTGTAAATAAAATATGTTTTATACAATGATTAAATTATTCAATGTTAATAGTTGTTCGCAAATTTACATATTTTGTTAAACTGACATGAATAGACACAAACTGGTTGTACCACTGGGCGAACTATTTCACTTGCTAAATTGGCACAATGGTATAATTCGGTTTGATAACTTTGGGAACCACAACCACAAAGTTATGATGATGTTAACCACAAACCACACTGCGGCGGCTAGTGGTTACCCGCTCCCCACTGCGGATTGGTGCGGTTTGGTTATGGTTATCAACATGCTATAGAGATGTATTGTCGTGTTGTTTGTAGAAAAGGATAACATTGGTATTCAAATTTATCCTACATAATGCAAATTAATCCTACATGGCACATGCTATAAAATTTCACTATAACAGTGAGTTATTTTTTACAAAAGTAGCTCTTACTTCTCATTTAAATGATTAGTACTTGTGAATTGTGATGTCCTGTTGGGCCAACCATGGAGTCTCTTGGGCCGACAGGCCCATGACCTACAAAAAGCCCAGCGAAACAATCGAGCCCGGCCCCAATAGGCCCAGGGCACACTAATAAAAGGTTCGAAGGCGGTCTTCCCGAAAGAACCGCCTGACACGTCCCCAACGGAACTCTGAGAAACCGCCCGACACTGGGCCTAACGTCTCTCTGACACCTCAGTACGGAGGCTGACAAAGGTACGATCCTGACAGCCTCCTGAGAACGGGTCCTTACGCGACCTTGGACGCCCGACAAGGCATTAATTATCCTCACTCCGACATCCTCTAGTATAAATACCCACTCATGGGACACATTTGGGGTAACTTCGATCTACTCCATTCTCTCTCTTATTCACTATATCCACTTCTCTCACTAACTTAGGCATCGGAGGAGGTCCCAGGGCTCCCCTGAGGACCTTTGTTGCAGGAATTCGAAGGTCGCTTCTCACCTCCCAAGACCGCACGAAGACTGTGAAGCCTCGCAAACCGCCCGGTACATTCCAGGCATAAACATTTTGGCGCCCACCGTGGGGCCTCACGACTTCGTCACCGGAAAAAATGGGAGACGGCTTCGAAGCTCCTCTCAAGGGAACGACCCAGAACAACACCCTCCGGGGTCTATCGCCGAGAGTCGAAGACGAATCGGAGTTTGAAGAGATAGTCGAAGGTCATGACTTGCAAATCGCGAACATGCAAGACAGCGTGTCGCGAATCCTCTAACTACCGAAAACGAGGGAAACCCTCCTGAAGGGTCGAGGGGAAGGACGCGAGAAGAGGTGCAGATCTAGGCATCCTTGAAAAACATTTACGGTCGACTTACGGGAAGCACAAGAGTCCCAATGTTCTTCAAAAACCCGCTCTCTGAGGAGCTGTTCAAGACCCCATCACCGCCAAACTCCTCCTCCCTCGGACTACCCGCGTACAATGGGACCTCAGATCCCGCGGACCACCTTTGCGCGTTCATGTCAAAGGTGCAGTGCATCAACGCCTCGGACTCCGTCTTGTGCCGAGCGTTTCCCGCTACCTTCAGCGGTCATTTTCGGACGTGGTATGCCTCCCTCCCGGAAGGGGTGATAGAAATTTTCGGAGGTACCCTTGACACTTCAAGGAGCGCCCAGAGAGCAAAACATCATAGGTGGGTTTCAAACCCACATCATCTCCCCACAAAGGAGCTCACACAACCAGTACACTACGAGGATACCTTTTGCTTTACAAACGCAGCGGTAAATCATCATTGCTTTACAAACATCTCACAACCCTTGGGCTCAAGGACCGCCCCTGCATTCAAAGTCGACGCACCTCAAACCGGAGGTGACCGCCCTCTAAGCAGCCTTACCAGGCTCACATCCATCCACGGCCCGCCTTGCGAAGGAAGCCCACAGTGGAGTCCGAGGCGCTACTCATTTAGTTGAGCAGACTTCATTCTTAACGAAATAAAAAATAAGGAACTTCCTGGCCAAGATTCGAACCCGCATTAATTAGGATACAAGAACGCCAACTGGCTGGCGACAACATCTTCTCATGTCCCTAGGGGCAGCCGCCTTTTAGCTATTTTTTCAAGATCCAGCGCAGGAACCGAACACGGCCCAACTGCAGGCTCGTCTCCAACATGCCAGGAGCCCAAGGCTGGGACCGCCTCGCTCCACCTCCGAGCGGATGCAAGACCGGGACCGCCTCGCTCCACATCCGATTCTCCAAGGCGATCCTATCCATCGTCGATGGGTCGCCTCCCTCATCAACGCGATCCGTCTCGCACGCGGACCCCTTCGTCCGAAAGTCCAAAAGGCAGGGGCAATTACCAGTCGGCCACAAGACCGCCTTGAGGATCAGAAAGCGACTCGTCTTACTTAAACCGCTTCCCAGCTGTCTTCTACCGCTTATTCTCAAGCTGAGTACTTCCTTCTACGATATATTCAAATACTATGCCATGCAGACCGCTCCCAATAGCACACAATGATGTTTTCTCACTACATCCCATGCTATGATATATTTCACGCAGGCTATGCTTATGTTTGTCACTCACATCCTTCGCAGATGTAAAACCGCATCACATGATCTACATCCCGTGCTATCCCTCCACGCAAAACGCACACAGGACATCGAATTCTAAGCGAAGAAGCAAAGACGATGGTCGCACAAGGGGCAAACCGCATCGTTTGGACCCGCAAGGGTCCAGTCCACTCGTGGTCGTCCATCACCAAGCAATGGTCGCACAAGGGGCAAAACCGCATCGTGCGGACTCGCAAGTAAGGCAAGTTAATGCACCTTAACGCATTATTTTACTCCTTCCATTCTTACAGAATACAAGAAGCAAAGGGGCAAAAATGTCGGGTCTAGTATTAACCCGCCTAATACGGGCCCAAGCCCACCACAAAGCGTCTCACCTTGGGCCCAAGCCCATTCTAGGGTCCAGTACACCGGGGGGCGTCCATCATCGGGAGGCGCCACACTAATCCCGCTTCCTGAGCAATGCTTCCACTCTACGTAGAAGCCTGAAACCGCCTCCCCGTGGACGCGCCATCAGTATAGCTAACGTGATACCGCCTCCCAGCAGAAGTGACATCTTCACGCCTCGAACTTGCGCGAAAGGCTGCCTCCAAAGCCCATTCCATTCCGCGCGCCTTCCCAAAGCTGCTAAGCCCGCATTATGTCTCAAGGCGGCCTACCTCTCAAATCCGTCACCTACAAAGCGTTCAGCTTCCAAGACCATCTGAGCCAAGACCTCCGTGCGGGCCCAATCCGCATCCAGTCCTATCACAAGACCCGTCTGCCAAGTCCAAGCTGCAACCTCGCGTCGAGCTCCAACCTCGCGTCGAGCTCCAACCTCAATCCCAGTCGGTAGTCCAAGCATATAATGGGCTGCATCCCGGTCCACAATCAACCATGGCCTACAACGAGCGAAGCTTGGCAACACGCCATACACGACCCATGAAGCTCTCAATTGTCGCATTGCAAAAATAAAGAAGGACCGCTGACGCAAAGCCTCAAACCCTCATCCAGCCAAGCACAAGATGATCATCACCACCATGCTACGTTCCCCCTCCGTGCGATATTATCATCGCGAAAACGTTTCCACTTGAAACGAAAGTCTGATCATGTCGTTACACTACAAATCCGCTTTGTGTCTGCTATTGGCAACATTCGACATTTGAAGCCATTTGCAGGAAGCGCCCTCGACTAGAAGACTACAACCACGTACACACCTCCAGCCCTCCAACTGGGCCGCCCGAGCATCCATTCGGCCTATGGCACCTCCGAGCCCACCCAACGTTATCACTGAAGACTTGGGCCGCCTCGCATCAAATCTCATGTGTGCGTCTAACCTGGCATCACCAACGCACCGCATCCAAGATTCTAATGCGGTCCATCACGCTCTGTACATTATCTGCGCCAAGGGTCCAGTCCCGCATCACGTGGGCCCACCCCTGTCCGGCCCGCACTCCAAATCCTCAACTCGAGTCCGCCAACCGTGCAAATCGTCCGGCCTGCCTTAGGACGCAAGCCCGCGCAAACGCATCCGAAGACACCACCCGACCCCCGTCTCCCACATGGCGGTGCGTCGACACAAGATAAGTCTGGTCGCGTGTATCATACCCATCCGCGTCATCACCCGCGTCTTCCATGGCCACTTCGAACGTGGAACCGCATACTAATCATATTTCATGCCTCCTAGGCTAAGCTCTCTGTTTGTTCAAAGACTCCACAGCGCTTCCCGCAAAGTCATGAGATAAACGCCTCCCGATAGGCTAAGGGAAAACACGCCTCCCAGAAGGCTGAAAGACAGAATGTCTCTCGATAGACCAGGAAGAAACGCCTCCCGGTAGGCTGAAAATAAGACTTGCCTTCAGTAAACCTGTCTCACTAGGCGCACCTCATACCAGGTGCAACCCCATATCTATGTCAAGAATCGCAACCTCTTCTGCGAACGTGGTCTCACATACAATCACGACCCGCCCGGCCAACGGCACCCACGTAGAGGCCCATTGTGCGGGCACAACATATCCCTCTCCAAGTCGACAACGTAAACCCCCTCCATCCTCCTGCCCAGCAACAAGCCTTCTATACAAAAAACGAAGTGCCTATGCCAGGATTTGGATGCGAGTCCTAACTCGATAAGATGAACGGTGCTCACCAGTATGCTACAGTGAGGTCTTGTACAAATGATTTGTAGCACTCGGAATTTGACTCTTACCTTTCCTACGGCAAATCACAAAGGTAAATATTTTGTACAAAAATATATCTCAAGTGCCATGCTTCAAGCCCCCGGGCACGGTCCAAAATTCGCCTCCGAGCCATGCTCCTTTCGGCGAATGGTTTCTGCCTATGAGTGATGCTCCCTCCGGGAACGATTCACGCCTTCCGCCTTCGGGGCAAGGCCCAAAAACCGCCCCCGAGCGATACTCCCTTTGAGAGATGCTCCCTCCGGGAACGATTCACGCCTTCCGCCTTCGGGGCAAGGCCCAAAAACCGCCCCCGAGCGATACTCCCTTTGAGCGATGATTTCGCCGATGAGCGACCCTCCCTCTAGGCACGATTCGTGCCTTCCACCTCCGGGCAAGGCCCGAAAATCGCCTCCCAGCGACGCGCCCTTCGGGGAATGTGCCACCTCACAACGACACTCTCGTCGAGTATATTTCGCCTCCATGAGATGCTCATCTCACGGGAATGCATCTTCTACTAAGGCGAAAAGCCCAATCTCGCTTTTCACAAGCATATCGCCATCATCAAAACACCTGTCGATAGGCTCACACACCCCCTAATAGGCTGGAGGAGAAACGCCTCCCGACAGGACCTAAAGAAAACGCCTTCCAACAGGCTCACATACCTCCCAACAAGCTCAAAGAGGAGGCACCTCCCGAGAAGCTTGAAAGGATAGCAGAATAATCCTCGCGCGCCAAACCACGCCATGGACACCAAAGCATCAGTGATGTACCCTCAAACGAGCGTCTCCGAGGCGCTTAAGGGGCAAGGATGACTGAGCTCCTACACATCCTATGGTCGCATCACACGACCTACAAGACGGCCACGGGAGATACCCCCTTCGCTCTGACATACGGCACCAAAACGGTCGCCCTAGACGAAGTAAACTTACCCTCCCTCCGTGCTCAAACATGAAAGGTAAAACCGCGACAAGCGTAATGCAACCATGGAGGGCGTCCCAGTCCCCACAAACACGGAATGACAGGCGCCTGAGAAAGTACTACTCAGACACAGTCTGAAGTACCTCATATCCGCCCAAGAAGCTGATGACTCACGCGCTTCTTAGAAGCCAAAAGACTATGAGGATATCTCGCCTCTCGAAGACGCTCCCATCGAGCACTCTCTTCACGAAAATGTCAAAGTCGACGAGCGACACTCCCACCACGGGAAGGTTCCACCTTCTAGTGCCGACAAGCCCACACGCCTCCGGGTAGGCTTGAAGAGAAACGCATTCTGACAGGCCTAAAGGAAAAATGTCTTCCGCCAGGGTCTCACGCCTCACGACAGGCTCAAAGGAGAAACACCTTTCGAAAGGTTTAAAAGAATAACGCGAAATGTGCCAAACGACCGTTCAAGGAAATGACACTCTCCATCACCCAATTCAACTGTCGATCGTTCGAAAATTTCCGCGCCAAGAAACCGCATCGCAGGAATGGCAGTCTCCGCGGCATACCTGCAGACGAACGGTCCAGATGGAGCTTCAAACAAGCTAACCCTCCAAAGGCTGAAAAAACGCCTGAGAGACGCCCAAGGGGCAAGCACAAGCGAACTCTCGCACATCCGATGGACGCAGCATGCGGTGTATAAAACCGCTACGGGTGAAACTCCATTCGCCCTCCCTAGAACACAGCTAACGCCTAATAATCAGCCAACAACTCACGCTTAACATGCACACAAGCTCGTGCCCATCTCGCGGCCCAACAGCTTATCACATGCAGCTGGCCATGATATAGTCCCAGCACGCTTCCCTCTCATACAACAAGTTCGCAAGAACGTTTAAGCCCAAACACGTTGCCTTCATTCACATGTTTCATGTTTTCGGCACAACGTTACTAACGAGGCGTTCGTTTCCAACACGCTCAAAAAGGTCACTCCAACGACCAACCACCCTCAGAGGCGTCCAAGAATCCCAGCGGTCCGACCCGCCCTATGCAAAATTCTCCCCATTAACACTAACACAATCACGCTCGCGAAAAGATAGGCTACTAAACACTGAAGTCGCTAAGTATGCGAGCGAAACATCCAAAAGTCGGAGATAACCCGCGGCACCAAACGGTGGCGGTTCAACGCTTCAAATGTGCAAAAGAGAACGTTACAAGTTCACAAGGCACGCCAATGCCAAATTCGAAGTAGCATACAACCCCCATCACCACGATTAAGGGGCAAAACGTGCACAAAATAGAGGACATCCAGCGGTCCTCGAGTAGCAAATGTCACAAAGCAAACTGAGAAACATACACAAGGCATCTTAAACTTGAGGAGATGCGCCACCCTCAGGGGCGGTCTCTTCATCTTCTTCTCCTTCGTCTTTTTCCGAGTTGACATCGGAATCGGTCCACGCACCAACGGCGTCCCAAATCTGATCCGTGTTCCAAACCGCGTCAGGCTGCTCACGACGGAACCAGTGCCTGATGGCAGCCACCGCATTGCCCACCATGGACTTGTACTTCTCGTTGTCAAGCAACACGAACTCATCTGACTTCAAGTAGGCGGGTCCCGCCTCAGCCCGGGCGGCGGCCAGCTCCGCCTCGCGGTTATCTTCCCAAGTCGCCTTCTCAATCTTCAAGGCGGCCAGCTCTGTCCGCAGCGCCTCCTGTTCTTCCAGCAGGGTCTTCTCCAGCTCCGCAGACTTTAGGGCCTTCTCGCGGAAGCGGTCCCTCTCTTCACCGACAGCCTTGACCGCCCCCTTCTCGGCCAGCAACTCCTCCTCCTTCTTGGCCAGTCGCTCCTCAAACTCACGCTTAACCTGCGGTCTCAACTTACCCATCGTAGTCTCCCGCCCTTCATCGGCGCTTTTCTTCAGTTTCGCTATCTCAACGGCATTGTCCTCCACAGTCCGGGACAGGCGGTCATTCAACAGAATGACCTGCGAGTACCCAATCTGAGCCTGTCAACGGCATACACATGATTAGCCAGCAAACAACAGATTGCGTGACGAAACATCCACAACGAATTACCACTTACCGAAAAGAAGAACCGCGAAGCGGTCTCTGCAAGTCTCCTGTGACTGTCCAAAGCTGAAGGGGTGTACTCGGAAGGCATAACGAGATGATCACTAATAGTGTGCAAAGCAAACTCAGCCGCCTCCCCATCCGTGGCCGCCTGAGTCGACACCTCTATAGAACTCTGTTCCTCCCCGCGCTTCACGCCCTTTCCCCGACCAGCCGCCTTCCGAGGCGGAGAACTTGCCTTCGCTCTTTGGCTAGCTTGACCGAGAGCGGTCTTCTCAGCCACCCTCTTGGAGCCTCTCCTCCCGGCCACATCAGCTGGAGCCGCCATAGGCTGCACCGGCGGCGGTCGAGCAACAGAGACGCCAATATCTCCGACCGCCACGGACGAGCTTCCACCTCGGCCGACTCCGGTCTTCACCACTACCCTTCGCCTCTTCGGACGAACCGCATCCGCCAGAGCTCTCAAACCTGACAAAAGAAAGCATAAGTAAACATACATGAGAAGAGGGACATATTCAAGCAGAAAAACGCAGCACTAACCATAGAATTTGCGAACGTGCTGGTATGCACTCTCGGGACCGCTAGGAAAGACTCGCAGCTGAAACCCTTCTACAAGGCGGTCTACGTGATCTCTCACTGACTGTGGAAACTGGGTCGAAACACACCAGTCGTCCTTCGATCCCACCACGTACCCCGTCAAAGGCGCAGTATCGCCATGGTACCACTTCCATGAGGGACGTGCGAAGAAAAACTCCTTGTACCATGGAGAATCAAGCTTCGGCGACCCCGTCACAAACCCCACGACGTCCTTACGCCGACCGATAGACCAACAGTTGGTCGAATCCCTAATGTTATAAATCAGTCGGAATGCATCAAAGGAAGGGGTCTCCCCAAGGCGTTTACACGCATACCGATACATGACCGACTGAAAAATAACAGAAGGGGACAAGCGCCCAAGAGTACACTGAAGGAGGTGCAAAGTCTTAGTAAGAATAGGGTCTAAGGGGAACCGCAATCCCAACTTAACGTGCTCCACGTGAATAGGGATCCAACCCTCGGGGCATGACCCAGATCTACTTGTCTCCGTAGGAGCCGCATACTGCCAATCCGTAGGTAAACTCAATGCGTTCAAACGGTGAAGCACCTGACCCGGCCTCAAGGTCGCCTCGTGCGGAGGTCCATGAGAAAACACGCCGGTGGGAACCGCGGCCCCGTCCCACATTCCCTCGTGATGAAGAACGGTATACGTAGAATCCGCAATGGCCACCAAAGGCGATCCCTCGTCCTCAGAGTCAACTGCTTCCACAGACGACGAGGTACTCGCCAGCGCCTCCGAACGCTCTTCACTACTACCAACCGCATCATCCACATTCAGCGTATCACTATCTAAGTCTAAACCCCCAAACTCACCCAGATTGTCCCCAACCGCGGACGAAGTGGCCACAACCCCAACTGGTACAGGTCGGATGTTAGCAAAAGAAAAATCTAAACTTAAAGCGTCCTCGATCAGACAATCGTCCAATTCAGAACCACCCCCAAAGTACAATTCAAGTCCAGACAAATCCCACACGCAATCAGAGGCGTGTTGGGCAGGGGCAGAACGAGCCATACCTTGCGCAGCGGTCGCGGAACCGCCAGAGGTGCCCACTGACTTCTTCCCGGTGGCAGGGGAAAGCGGCGGAGCAATGAAGATCGACGGCGGCTTCCCCATGCAGACCTCGGGGGCAGTGGGCGCATCGGACACAACCTCCGTGGCGGCAGCTAGAGGCGCGCCTACCCCGACCGACGAAGCTAGGCCTCCGCTCGACATCTAGCGCCGACGAGGAAGAGGGAAAGGCCGACGTCCCGAGCCGGAATAAACCCAAAAGAAAAGCACACAAGTCAAAGGCAAACAAAGACGCGAGAAACAAAGGAGAAAGAAGCTCCGAAACTCACCTCGAAAGTACAAACACTCGGCCTTTTAAAGAGGGGCGACGACGGCGAAGCTCAGAGCTCCGCAGAAAGTTGCAGACGGCCCAAGGAGGAAGACGACGAAGAGTTTTCCCCAAATGAAGAAACACAATGGCGAAAACAGTGCGCCTCTCTCCATTTAAAGCAAACTCTCAAGGGGCAAAAGTCTGACCTTGTCAGAGCGCGAAAATCGATGCCACCACGTGGGACAACCGAGTGCGGTTATAGACCGCCCATCATACAAACAAGTCGGTAAAGCCGCCCCTTAGGCGTTCGAACGCCACGCCTCCGCGGCCAGGGGCCAGCGAAAACCTAACGATCATCACGACTAAGGGGCAAATGTTGGGCCAACCATGGAGTCTCTTGGGCCGACAGGCCCATGACCTACAAAAAGCCCAGCGAAACAATCGAGCCCGGCCCCAATAGGCCCAGGGCACACTAATAAAAGGTTCGAAGGCGGTCTTCCCGAAAGAACCGCCTGACACGTCCCCAACGGAACTCTGAGAAACCGCCCGACACTGGGCCTAACGTCTCTCTGACACCTCAGTACGGAGGCTGACAAAGGTACGATCCTGACAGCCTCCTGAGAACGGGTCCTTACGCGACCTTGGACGCCCGACAAGGCATTAATTATCCTCACTCCGACATCCTCTAGTATAAATACCCACTCATGGGACACATTTGGGGTAACTTCGATCTACTCCATTCTCTCTCTTATTCACTATATCCACTTCTCTCACTAACTTAGGCATCGGAGGAGGTCCCAGGGCTCCCCTGAGGACCTTTGTTGCAGGAATTCGAAGGTCGCTTCTCACCTCCCAAGACCGCACGAAGACTGTGAAGCCTCGCAAACCGCCCGGTACATTCCAGGCATAAACATGTCCAAAGTTTCATATTACTCATACAAACTGCTTATTTAGCCACTATGTATTCGCTAACATAAAAAAAAATACGCACTACCCATATATTCATTGGAACCAAGGCTCTCAATGCACGTGGACTTAACTTCTTTGGATGAAATAACAGTTGTAGTGAAAGTTGACATTTGTTGCCAATTTGGTACAATTAATTATTTACACTTTGTATCTCAATATCTAATAAATATTAGATAACATAATAACTCATAATAGTCATGAATATCATGTGTTTTTCACACCTGAATTTGATGATTATTTTGTTGCGATTAGTAGACACGATGATCCTTTTAATAGTAGTAAAACCTATTTTACGTGAAATTGAGACGCGAACTGTTCAGGTAAACCGCAATCCACTTGCATTACTTGGGGAATGAAATACATGGGCTCACATTTTCGAATTTTTGATGAACTAGTTGATATACTAGTAGGGCAATTATACCAATCTAAATCATTGTCATGGGCTTGTTTGATAATCATGAATGTTGAGATTTAATTTGCTGTTTGTGATGGATTTTCTTTCGCAACGAATAAAATTGAATTAACAATGTGAATTTGTCAAACTAGTAATTAGACACTGACAAAAAAAATTAACTTGGAAAACAAGAAGTGGTTCTAAATAAATAGGCATTAGTCCTATTACATTAATCTTTTATTACAGTTGAAAAGGAAACAAATGAGAAGAACTTTCTCCTGCAACGAAAATCATGAACTTGTTCTGAAACTAAAGATTTTCCATTTCAAACGAAACAGTTGCTCAACAAAATCTACTGAAAAAACAAATGCGCTTAACTCATAATTGCGATCAACAAAGAAAAATGGCTAGAATTTAAGTTGTACATGATGTGCAAGCTAGCCTTAAACTAATCTTTGTTCATTATCTAATTAACCAATTGATGACATTCACACAGCGCATATCAATACACAAATTCAACAATAAGAATTGATTTTTTCCCCCTTAAATGTATAAAAACAACGTCTCCCACATTGATCCTTCGTATCACTCACCTCAAGCAATTATCATTAGCTTATAATAATTACATTTAAGCATCAATGGCAAGAACAATAAGAATGGCGTCGCAAAATTTCACTAATGTCACTCTGGGCAACTATCTTCATCCCCATTTTGCGGCTGTCCTGACCGTGGCGATCATCTTGCTGGTTTGCTTGACGATCATTTGCATCGTGGCAGCGTCCTTGATTGTGGTAATCATTTACATCCTTTTCGAGTTCGTATACTGGCGTGTGGTGGAAAACGGAGGCCACGACGACGACGACGTAGAAGTCGAGTCTAATCTCGAGGAGGGAGTTGAGAGAAGGAGAAGACGTCGCCAGAGGAAGTATCGCAGGTTGATGATGGAATTGCCCTGTGTTGAGTACGGAAGCGATGGCATAGAGACCACATCCAGAGAATGCGCGATTTGTTTGGAGGATTACGACGGGGGCGAACCATGCAGAATAATGCCGGTGTGCAAGCACATGTTCCATGTGGCTTGTATCGATGATTGGCTTCGCATTAAAATTACGTGCCCTGTTTGTCGACGACGCGTATTCAATGTGAAGAACGATAGATGACGATTTGATTGAATCGTATTTATTTTTTTACCTTATCATCGTAAAAATAGAGATATTTAGTTTTTACTTTTTTTTCTCGTTTGAATCTATCAAATCGCAACTACATTCATTGTCTTAGCAATTAATTTATCATGAAATGATGAACACATTTTTAAACATCCGCAAGTTCGTAGCATGATAATAATGTCTTTCAATACATAATTCGTGTTGAATTATGACAATTGAAACGAGACAATATTATTACAAGTGGTTGTTGCGATGCAATTCAACGATTACAACAATACAAATTTGATTGAATGTAGTGTCTAGGTTTAAACTCAAAGATCTTGGATCACTTTTGTTTGATTATCTTGGGGAAACCCTATATCCAAAAACCAACGGGAACAACTTCCTCTCTCAGTCACAAATCTCGTTCATCTTTGTGAAATATATTTTTTGGTCTCTTATATTCAACTTTTAGATCTTATAGTCTGACTCAACAATCACCTCCCAAAACCCTAGCTTCTCTACTTCTTGGAGTCCGCTAGCTTCAACTTCCTCCACTTTGGAACTTCCTTTCTCTCTTCACACAAAGCAAAATATAAAATCAGGCATTTTTAATATTAGCTGAATAAATTTAGATTATGAGATATTATTAGATACACAGGGAGTACCATGTACTTATCAAAATCTTTTTCACAATCCTGCGCTAGAAAGAAGTAGAAGGAGAAGAGAGGAGTTTCGAGTCGACAACAAGATCTCTTCATTGTTAATGGAACAGTCGTCCTCGATCAGAGCTCCAGATCAGCACTGTGGTTCCTAATCGGCGATGAAAAGCCAGTCGCCCTTAGTTGTGGTTCCTAATCGTTGATGGGAACCGGTCTAGAATGCAACTAAAGTGCGTTGACATGAAGAGGACGACATGGGTGGTTGGGATTTTCTCCTCGGATGACCAGTAGCATATATTTTTAATTGAATATATGTTTTTGGTATAATTTTTTTTTAATTAAATAAGCACAAGACACTATGATATTGGTTGGGTGTACCACATCATTAATGCTGTGTGTTACTCCAGAGTGTACCTTATAATCCCGCTTAGATTATTATTAGATGATAAAGTGCTTTTCTATATATGTATTTGGTCGGGAAATTAGTTAATGAAGAAAAATATCTTTCTGTTATTTTTTTTTTATGCTTTTACCAGGAGTGGACATAATAGTAGAGTTCAAATTTTTTATGGCTAGTAACAGGCAACAGCAGCCCCAGTAGCAAATTCCCATCTCCTCCTGGGCCCAGGCCCAGGCCCAGGCCCTCTCTTCGTCAACTTTCAGCCAGGAGATGCGTTCCAATGGTCCGCACCCAGATAAAACGACACCATAATGCAGGCCCCAAGATTATCCTCCCACCCGACACGTGTCACATGCCGCCGAAAAATTCGCAACAGATTGTACTAGAGTGGCAGCATAGCAGTCTCTTCGGGGACATCCGATAAAATTGGAACGATAACAGAGTGGCAGCATAGCAGAAGCTAGACTAGAAAGCAATCCGACAATAGTATTCACGACACATTTGTGAAACATGCTCATAGATCGCACAATTGTCAGATTATACGCTAATTACACTCACTAACTATTAAATGAAAGTAATGACATTTTATTTGTTAAATTGTTACCATATCAATCCAACTAACTGCAAAGCGCCCAATGCAAAATACGATGGATGTTTAGATCTATTAACTCGTTCTCCCCTATCAAGCTATGAGCAATTTAGCCAAATTGGCTAGAAAGCATTTTGGAATATAACTTGGGATCTAAAATTAGTACTAAAAATAAAGAAAACTAAAACGAGTGCTAAGCTAATCTTCCTTCCCCACCGCCACCAGTTCCCACCATTGGCATCTCTGCTCCCGATTCCCAGCATCTCCCCTTTTCTCATCATCTTCTTAATAAATAAAACCCCCAACTCGTCCCCTCCACTCACTCACCCACCCAGCCGTCTTCTTCTGCTTCTCCAATCAATCATTCAATTTCCGGTTTCATAATCATGAACGCCGTCGATTCCGCAGCCTTGGACCCGCTGGTGTTCGAATACGTCAGCTGTGGGGTCTCCGACATCGTCAACAACCTCTGGACCTGGCTCGCCGTCCTCGCCGCCGCCGTCAGCTTCTGGAGGATCAGAACCGCCGGCGGCGGCGAATCACCCACTCATCCGTCCCGTTCCTCCGTCCTCCGCCTCACCCTCCAGGTCCCCACTCCCGATTTCATCCTCCGCCGCAAATTAATTAGGGTTCAACGCACGGATTCGGTGCCCGATGAGGTTCCGGCGAGTACTACTCCCAAGACGCCCGCTTCGAGTCCGGTCGCCTGCGACGACGGCGACGTGGTCACGAAGGGAAAGTTCGTGGCGTATTATCGCGAAGAGGAAACGAGGGAGGAGGAGGATGTTGTTGTATTTGACGACGGGGAAGTATTGGACGGTGGTAACGGCGGCGTGGGGAAGGGGTGGTTGGAGACGGCGTTGAGGGTGAGGATGGAAGGGGAATTGGGATGGTACAGATACCAGGACCTGACGGCGATTAACGGCAACGTCGTTAGGTTGTGGGACGGCGTTAGGAGCGGAGACGGAGAGTGTTACGATGATGGCAGCATCAAGAGCAAATGCAATCCCCGCTGTTGTTTAGCTTGGTAGGCAGGGCTCTTTTTGTTGTTATTTTAATTAGTAAAAAATTGAAAATTTGGAAATGCCAATTATGCCATAAGCTAAAAGCTTTTTTGGTGAAGAAATTGTATATATTTAATATTTATTATGATCATAATGTAAGTCGTTTTTTCATACCAATTTGGCTATAATGTTAGATAACAATGTTTAGTTTGGGATGGTTATTGGTTTATTGCCTTGTAAATGTCTACATAATTAATGGTACCTAATCTTTTCGAAATAGTTCAAAAATTAAATATCACTAAAAATCCACAAATGAATCTCATGTATCTATTTAGTCCAACGAAAAAAAAATCTATATATTCATGAATTTATTTAATCCAATTAACAAATCTCTAATTAAATACAATAATCGATAAAATAAAGATAATGGAGGCAGTAAACCATTTCGGGCCGAAGCGGTGGTAAAAGGCCCTGCCAACGGGCCGGCAAATCTGTAAGCCCATTATTCTATTCTACACAGAAACATTGGGCTTTTTCTGAAATCGACTAGCAACAAATATTGAAATTATCTCCCCGTTTCGTCCAAATCTCTCGAAAGTCGAAACGAAAACGGATTCTTATTTCTTAAACGTTAAAACCCTACTACTCCAGAAAATCAACGGTTTGCCAGTTTTCTCCGATTGCAACTAACCAGTTGCTAGGAGCTAATTCGTCTGCCGAATTTTGCTCGCAGTTGACCTCTCTCTATATCCAGCCGAAGCTCATACGTCTCCAAATGGAGGGATTGCAGAATTTTGTCCGCAACGTCTCAAAGGAGATACAGTCCGTAACTTCCTCTCCTTCCTCGTCGGAGAACTCGTACGATCTCGGTGGGAAATTAGGAGTCGCCACTGCTACTCTATCTTCTTCTACTGCCAACCACTCTCGTGTTCTGACGGTCAGGCCCCCCAGGTAGCTAAGCTTACTTTTCCCCGCCTGAATTCGGTGTTTTCCGCCATGTATACTTGTTGAAGTAGCAGCTGCTTGCTTTTAAGTTCCATCTTGATTTAGCCATTGTTTGGATGTGGAATCACTGGGCAGCTAGCTTTTGAATTCCTGAATTGGTAAGTTTGGAGGTGCTCAGTTGTGTTCGTTTTCTTAGGATTGCATTTTCCCCCTATTCAATTGCTTGCCAACACTATGTGGTTGAATGTCTTGGTGATCATCAGTCATCAATCTGATAAATCATTGCATAATAAAGCGCTAATGTTCTACTGCTTGCTTGAACTAAGTTTATATTTCACAGTGATCCAATTAGTTAAGCTGAGATTTATTCTCTTATGAATATACGCCCAGCCAATTGCCACTAGATTTTGAACCATCTAGCACCGTTCACTTGGTTGAGTTTACCTGGTGAAACATGCCCTTCCGAAATGTGCAGAATGTTGGATAAGTGAAAGCAATAGGTTAACCTGGCAACTGGTCTAGTTATGTAAGAGTTACTACTGTCTTTCAATGCATTTGGAATGTGTGGAATTCTGTTCTTCCGCTAATCTTAAGACAAAAGAATGCGATTCTAGTAATCTTCTTTGCCTCATTGCTATATTTTCAAGCCTTTTGAGATTGGATGGTTTGTGTTTGTATGTTAGCAGGAACATGGTGTCTGCATGGACCTGCTCCAAGCTCTGTTTGTTTTTCTTTGCTGCTGGTATCGTGGCTGGTTATACATTGAAGAGGCGTGTCCGTGGCTGGGCTTCTAGGCTGCTCAGGAGGTTGAAAGATGACTGACAGCCACCAGTAAGGCTTCTTCATGTCTAATTCGTGGGACAAAATTTTGAGAAATTTAGGGCTTATAGTTCCTTACACAATTTCTGTTGATGTACATGTGAAGCTGAAGCAAATCATACCGTGAATCGCTACAGTCTCAGCTGTTCATTAGCAAGTAGGGAAGAATTTCAACTGTCAGATTACTGCATTTCTCCGTCATCATCAAAGTGTTATAAAATAGCAAGACCCCATCTTCCCTTGTCCCTGTTTGGTTATGAGCCCCAGTTATTCTGTCGAATTTTGCTCATCCCAGTTCTGAAGTAATGTACCATTTACCATAGTTACCTAAGAGACAAAAACATGTCAACCCTCTTAAAGCCCCCTGTTTCAAAACTTGTTTTGTTGAAAGATAAGGGTTTGCACATGAATTAGCTGCCGGTACTCCAGCTTATTCAATCATCTGAGGTTTTTTCAGTCATGTCATGTTTTTCACTTCTAAATCAGAAATTTGATTTGCAATGCTGTAGATGCTTGGCTAGGTGCTGAACCAAATTAAATCAAACTGTTTCATCTAACTATCAACCCAACGAAGTCAACCTCATCATCGAGCAAATTGCTTGAAAACTACAGTCTCATCTTCATTGACTAATATTGATCCATTTTCATTTCTCAGTATGCTACTAGCTAGCTAGCTGTATGTTGTCGAGGTAGTTGAAACATGTTGTAGTAACTAGCACTACTCATATATACATACAAAGAAACCTTTTTTCTATTTCTGAGGTTTATACTTCATACCATTGCAAAAAACTGTGTTGAATGTGACTTGATTTACATTTCCCTTGAGCTCTGGTAACAATTTATATGTATACATATCTCTATATCTCTTATGTCTCGCTTTTTCGAATTATTTAACGTATTAGTTACAAAAAGAAAAGAGATTGTTCTTTTTCTGGCAAAATGAAAAATCATTGTGTTGCTTGATTGTCTCAGAAGTATTCCTTGTGAAACTCGAATCTTGTCGTCGTCCTACGAGTCAGCTCTTGGGATAGTTTCTTTAGCTCCTTTGCCAATATAGGCATCCCACAGTAGAACACCCCTGCAAAATCATCCAGTGGTAGCTTGCTCAAGGTTGCTTATCATACCTATTGTGTCAACCCAGATGTTCTGTGTTGTAGAGAAGATGCAGGTTAGCTTTTTGGTTTGTTTATCATACCTATTGTGGCAAACGGGTGCTTCGAGGCTATTTTGGTGAAAACTTCTCTCCAATTTGGCCTGGCAAAGTGTGTCCTTACCTGTCAAGAGTGAAATCTAGGGTTCAAGATGCCAACTTTCTGCCACCAGTTCTAGGTATAATGTTTTGGGGGGAAGGGATGCATATATATTATTAGTTCATACTCTAGTGCCAGAGACGATGTCAACTCCATGTTTAGCGTGGTTGAGAGCTTGAACCATGGTGATCAAAGTTGACCTTGCATCTCCCTCTTCGTATACGCTTGTCAAGTAGTTGTGCATCTCGATTTGGCCCTTTTTGCCATTAATATTTCCCAATGTTAGAAACTCATTATAGAAACCCCAAATTAAGATGGCAATCAATATGGAAATTGATAAGTCTTTTGTGAACTTACTTTGTGATCCATATCTGCAACTTCATCCATGACTCCTCTAAACCATTCAAAAGATCCAGATTCTCTTGTAACCCAGTAGAAGTGGGCATTTGTGGTTCTCTGCGTTTTCTTCTTGCCATTGCTCCCTCCTGTGGCTATCGAAGATGCATAGCTATTTGAACTGTTATCTGATATACTTGTGTCTGTATTTGAGTCCTGCATTGTTGCATACACAGTAGAAGTCGTTGATTTTGAAACATAAAGAAGGTTTGATCTGCATATATCACCGCGTGTTCTGATTTGGGGGAAGAAGGAAATACCGTTTGATAGTCTGTCGTTCTGGTGTTATTTAACAGATCCCTGAGGATGCTGATGAAAGCGGTAGCCCCAATTCCCAATCCCACAAGGAGAAGAACGTCATAGTTCTTGTAGTCTTGCGCCGGAGCCCCGTATGGACCATCCAGATAGAGCTTTGGTTGTCTGCAAAACAATGACTTGTAAGACACTGAGAATTTGTTCGTCTATATATAAATCAACAACGTATGAGATGAGTAAATTCGAGGTGAGCTTTGTTATTACCCTCTGTGATCTACACTCCCAAGGTGACCGAATTTAGCTCGACCAATTATGGTCGATGAGTCATTTACCTCGGTGAAAACTCGCTTCAACTCCTGTGTCCAGTCACCCACTGTCCGGATATGGACACTCAGATACGGGTCTCCTGGTGCTGAAGTTATCGAAAACGGATGCCTGCAGTTCAGAAGCAAACCGTTGATGCACAGATCAACTGGAAGCTGGTATCCAAAAATGGTCTTGGTTTGAGTTGCGCGCATTCGCTCACCATTCGAAGGATGAAACGGAGGGGCATTGCAGGAATATGTACTGCCCACTCTTGTACTTGAATCCCTGTGGCTTCGACATTGTTAAGCTGAAAACGTCTCCAGGCAAAACCGATACCCTCAGTATCTTAGCAGAGCAATGCTCTGATCTGCAAGTGCGCATGCTCCTCTCTGCCAAATACACCAGCAGTGGAGCTGAAATATACATCCACGTCTGCAAAATCTCCCACCCGTAAGCTATTCAGTTGCCAACTGAAGATCCCAAGTTCAGTGTTGGAGATGCAAAGAAGGTGGATACTGAATCAAGAAGGAAAGCTTACATTTCTCTCGTACCACTTGGTGGCGAAGTAGAGGAAGGTTCCATGGACAAAGAGCATAACGTAGACGAAGCAGAGAAGGTGATGAGAGTACCAGAAGGCGTTGAACCCTGTGAGCCGATTCAAAGGCGAAGGCAGCCTCACTAGGTTTCTCCTGAACTGCCGAGTCGCCAGGGTGAATGCAATGGCCATCAGCACCACCATGGAGATCCCTGTCACGCCTTCAACGCTGCCTAACAGATTGCCGTACGTAGGCCTCTCGCCTCCTTTAAAATCGGATGCTATCAGGTCGAATTTCTCGGGGGAGGCATTCGCCAGACGAGGGAAGTCACAGGCTAGATGGTTGCCTCCGTGAACGAGAACCCCGATGGCAATTGCAATCGCAATCACCTTGTGGAAGTTGATGCTGTCGTCGAAAGGAAACATGGTCCTGGCCGAAGTGGAGCGAAGCCAGGTGAGGGTGTTTCGACAGACGGGGAAGAGGATGAGAGCCATGTTGAGCTTGAGCGTCTCGGCGGCACCTTTGGCTGTGGCGAGGCAGTTGCCCATCACCTGATAGCCCACTCTGTTTCGGTAGGCGGCGAACCTCCACGCGAACAGCCATGCCATTGCCGTTAGCCAGAGGGTCAGAATCCAGCCGCGCTGCCAGTTCTCGAGGACGAGGCACTTGAGTTTGAAGGCGAGCCTGCGAGCCATGTTGTGCGGTCTGAATGTGGTCAGGTTCTGGCTCCAACCACTGACGCTTGCCGAGCTCAGTCGCCTGCTGTAGTTCATGTACGTGTCTCTTTGCAGCAGAAGTGCTTCTAGTTGCCATAACTGATCAAAACCAAAACACAAAACAATTAAGAAATATGTAAGACTCAATATATTCGGAATTAGAAGCACCAAATTATGTTATTTTTTGTGGAATTTAGTGCCTAGAAGTAATTAGCGGGAAAAGTTCGAAGGTAAATGCATTGAATCCCACTTCTGGTAAGACTTGAGTTGCACGTCACACTGACTTTCGGTCGTTCATGCCAAGAATGTAGTAATTAGTATATTGTTTGGTGTGTTTGTGACCGACCCAGAGGGTAAAATGAGAGAGTGGTTAATTAATAGTTATTGATTTACTCACCTCAATGTATCCAAGATTTTCAGGATCTAGTTCCTCCATTATCAACGATGCATATTCTTCAGCTTGCTCTTTCAGCTTTGACAGCTTGTTGGCCGACGCGCTCAACATTATAAGCTGGATGCCACGTATGAATCCGTCATTTAAATTTAACATCGTAGTAATATAAGCATTATAGCTTTTACACATTATTATATTAAAAAATATTTCTATTGAAAAAATAGAGAACATAACTGACATAAGAAATATTTAGGCAAGATTTTAATTATTTTGGAATCTTCCCCTGAAATCATGCCAAGCATGAATGCCTAAAGAAAATATTTTGAGAATCTATCTTAGCATGAAACAATATTAGATTAATTCATCAAAGAATGAATTAAGAAAAATGTTTACCTCCTGGACCTCTTGTCTTGTGATTCTTCCATCATCGTTGCTATCTGCCCTGCACAAGTGTCATTCTGATTCTACTCAGTCAAATTATTTCCTTGGTTTCTATTTATTAGTTACTCAATGACCATAGAAAGAAATAGATAAATAAGAAAGAAAAAAAAGGGATAAACATAGCTTCAAATTCATCATCAATTCGATTAGGGTGCGTTTGGATAAGTGGATTTTAAATGTAAGGTATTTGAAATATTAGCATTTGAAATGGATGTATTCGAAATATTAGCATTTAAAATACATGTAATTCAAATTCATTGTTTGGATACTCATTTGTAATTTGTTTGTATTTTGTATTTTATGATTTTCAATTTCAATTTTCAATTTTCTGGTCACTTACTACAAATTTGGTAAATTACAGTTTGGTACCCAAAATTATTTTTTCTTACAATTTAGTACCTAAACTTTCAAAATTTTACAAAAAGATCCTGAAATTTTGATGGTAAAATTACATTTTGGTACCTTTATATGTTTTGCCTCACACTATAGTACCTAAACTTTTCATATTTTACAAACAGGTCCATTCTTTTGTTAGGAGGTATTTCAAATCACTAGTTGTTGAAATGTATTTGAAGTTGACAAAAAATACACTAGACATGTATTTGGAAATCACCCCATGAATTTGACACAAATCCAAATACCAAATGTAATTAATATCCAAACACATGATTTGGTATTTGGAAATCCAAATCACAAATACCAAATCCAAATCATTGTATCCAAACACACCCTTACAAGACAATCTTACACCATTACATCGCACATCTCAGAATTATTAAACACACATTATAATACAATTATTTACGTAATTGTCATCGCCACGGCTAAATCAAATTAATTAGCAATCAAGGCAAAAAGTGCCTTACTCACATGTCGAAGAAAAGTTGAAGGCGGGCGTCGAAACTGTGGTCGGTAATCTGCAACCAGAACTCCCTCAGCTCTTCCTTGTCGATCTTGCTGATCTTCTGCCTCTTCCTCCTCGCCAATGCCTGGAATATGCTCACCGCGAATTCCTTCGAGTCCACCATCCCTGCCGGCCGATCAATAAATTCAAATTTCAAATCCCAATCAATTTCCTCACCGAGAGAGAGAGAGAAATCAAATTAAACCACTACGGCGCCGTACCTATGCACTCTCCGAAGTCTTCCCTGGCCAGGAACCCGTCCCGGGCCAGCGAGTCGAACCGGGACTCCACCCGCCGCCACAGCTGCTCCACCTCAACCACACCGCCGCCTCCTCCGGCGCTGGTCTTGCTGATGAACCTCAGCCCCTTCAGCGCCCGCTCCGCGCTCGACTTCGTCCGCTCCAGGTTCGCCCTCATCCTCCTCGCCTCCCGCGCCGTCATCGCGACGTCGCCGTCGATCTCCGACGCCGCCGTCGTCCGCGACGATCCCGATCTCAGCCACCGGAACCTCGATGTCGACGACAAGCTCCTCCACAGGCTCGTATTCGCCGCCTGACTACGTCCTCCGCCTTCACTTCGGCTGCTGCGGTGGCGGCGGTCGGACAGCGGCGTGGCGGCGGCGGCGGAGGGAGGTGTGACGCTGCAGACGACGGCGGAGTCGTGGTCCAGCTCGATTGTGACCTCGACCATCTCCTCCTCCTGCTGCTGGCCGCCGCCTCCGCCGCCGTTTCTCCTGAGGCCGTCGAGGAAAATCGGCAGCATTGCTCCTCCCCCGCGGTCGCTGCCTGCGCCAGCGGATTCGTCAACCTCGTAATTATCGTCGGGCAGGTCGAAGGAGCGGCTGTAATTGGAGAGCTGGGAGCCGCTTCTCGCGAAGGACGGCGGCGATCTGATCATTTCTTCGTCCCCTTCTTCTGTGGGTGCGTCGAAGTGAATCTTTTCCCCACAGTGTCCCACGCCTTCCTTCTTTCTCGCTTGGAGGAGAATGGTGATGAAGTGAGAAAATTGAGAGAAATGGTAGTTCGTTAGTACTACATTACATTACCAGTTTACCACAGGCGAAGAAGAAAATGGGAAAATAAGAAGAAAAAAAATGATCCAAATAAGACGGACACCTTCCAACCGATCGACACCCACGATTTCAACGCCTCCGCCCTCAGTCGTGCTTAGGCTTGGCGCTGAGAAAGAATAGTAACGATATATGGAGGTGGCAATCGGATCGGATTCGTGCATTGGATTGGTGGATTCATGGATTGGATCAAATGGATTGATGGATTCATGGATTAGATCAAATGTATTGGTGGATTGATCCATGGATCCAAATGACATCCAAGGCTTGGACAAAAATGTAAAATTTGAAAAGTTTTGATACTAAAATGTCATAATGAAAAATTCTAGGTACCAAAATGTAATTTTCCAATGATATTTTTCGTATAAAATATAAATTTTAGGTACCAAAATGTAAAATATAGAAAATATAGGTATCAAATCGTAATTTGCAATTTTGATCCATGAATTGATCCATTAATCCACCAATCCAATTGGATTTTGATCAAATGGATTGGATTAGATGGATAATTTGGTGGATGGATTGGATTGGATTCATGAATTTGGATCCTAATTGCCACCTCTAACTATATATAGTAGTAAGTAGTTGACAAATAATATATTCTGATTTCTGGTACCCTTCAACACGCTGTAATTTTCTTCTTGAGGGTTCTAAAACTGATCACTAACTAAAAGAGAGGATCAAGCGTAATGATCAGTTGCGTAATTGCGTTGATACTTGGGGGACGTTGAGCTCTAGTCGCCTAGCCCTGCCCCTGATTGCCTCAACTGCGGCAAGGAATGCGCGCGCCACTTTAAATATTAATTAATCGCCTTCCGGTGTCGCTGTGGCGACGGGATGTTTTGTTAGCAATAATTGTCATTGAGCATCAGATGTGCACAGCCTAGTCAACCACAATTGTTAGTCTAGTCAGCATACGCACCTGGTCCGTTAAAGTATTTGACGAAATGACTAATTTTGTGCATTATTCAAAAAGTAACTATTATTGTCCAAAAGTGAGAATTTGTGGCTATACTATTTACTATATAGGTGAATTTTGCATAAAAAAAGTTACATATCCTTCGAAATCTGTAGATAAAAATTATTCAGCATCATACTTATATAACCATTGATAAAAGATAAATTTTGTAATAACTAGGTTGGATCTGATTAGGTCTTTTCTCTTACGGGCACAAAACTTGATCGAAACAAGCAGGATCCATTAACGATAGTTTGTCGATACTCAAACTAGTGATGAAAATTTCTTATCTGACTCGTGCGACCCGTATTAGCGTGGGACAGGGCATAAATAATTATTACGACCTGCCCCACCCTCTCCGACCCATTCTTTCATGATTTTCATCAATATTTACTTGTATTTATCCTCTTTTAACTTTTCCAAAAATCATATTTTCATCTGAAATAAATTTTAAGACACTAACTTTCAACTATTTAGATTAAACTACTCATTTTGCTATATTTATTATTCACTTATGAAGAGTTTTTATCTTCGTCTTCTTGTAAAAGAGTTTAATATCAACGTTCTTTTCGTTAAATAACAAATAAGAATGAGTCGACCTGTCCCTCCCCGTACCCATGTTGATATTACCAAACCTGAGCCGCGCTTAATGCGAGTTAAAAATTGGTATCGAGATACCCGCCCCGTCCGGCCCCATTATTATCACCAACTCAAACTGGGCCGTAACGGCTTTATGCAATATTGGGTTTCGCAGCTGATTGCGAAAGTCCACAAGCTTGAAGCCCACTACTTGTATCAAACCTTCGGGTCTTCAGTTCAGCGCCGGAAATTGACGTTCAACGGCGGGTGCTTCTTCCTTGTTTTTGGAACGTCAATTGGTGGTTCGAACTTCGAACCCTAACCGGCTAAACCCCCTCTACCTTCGTCGGCAATTCAAAGCGACAAACACCATAAACCCCGAAAGGAAAAAGAACCCAATTCCATGGATCCATGCCAGCTGGGAAGAACGCGCTGATCTCCCTGCCAACTCGTTGGCGATAATCGCGTCCATTTCTCCTTTGGGTACGCCTCTTCTGCCCTCAGATAATTCTTAGTCGATTGGGCAACGGCCTGGTGTTTGAAACGTTCTGCGATTCTTCGCCGCTTGCGACACTATCCTCTTCTTCGAGCTTCGTGTTTGCTTTATTGAAGTTCCGAGCTAACTTGTAGACGACGTGTTTATGGAACAGAGGAATTGATTTCGGCTTCCGTTAGCAAAGGGAAACAGCAGTTGAGAAGCAGCACTGGCGACCTCCCGATTCCAGTAACTTTGCGGGATTAGTTTATCCTGCTGAACTTCACCAGGTTTCTCGCTTTCCCCTCTAGTTTACTACTGTGTCTGCATTCCTTGATGATGGCCCTGCAGTAAGCTATATTTTGGTCGGTTTAACGAGCTAAAAAGACTAGTGCTTTCTTTTTCGGTTACAAAGTGTCCACATGCTGGATACAATCACACAAGGCCAAATTAGAAAAGTCAGGCAACATTAACACCTGAGCATGAGTTGGTTTCTATTTCAGAAGCTCGAATGCTTTCTCTTGAGCTTCATCCCATTGGAAAGCCATGTTTTTAGTTTATTTTTTGTGGTAGCAATGGTGCTGAAGTGAGGAGATTTTGGGGTTTTAAAGTGAATATGATATTGAATAGGTATCAGATATGGAAACTTTCCGATTGGATGCCTGAAACTTCATTGGTATCTATGAGACAGTTGCTCAAACATAATGGGGCAACAACTTCCTATAAGCTACTGGCTACTGCCATCCCTTCACCTTTGAAAATTTACTCATACCTGCTCCTGGGTTGCTCTTGCAAGTTTTACTTTTTCCTCAGCCCCTCGAAAGAACGGAAGATTATGAGCTGCTAAATGGCTTCAGCTTGCTCTTTTCATTGGCTATAATTTGTTTAGAAATGAGAAGAATACCAGCAACCCTGACTATGAGTTGAATGTGAAGGACTGTGGCCTTCTTTCTTTCATACGCTGTTCAGCTATTAGTTATGTCTGCTAAAACATCTTCTAATTGTTGTCGAAGGCAGGTTTTCATAAACTGCACCAGCAAGCATGTTACCTTCTAGGCTTTTTCGAGTTGGCCTTGGAGCGTTAAGGAGCCTCTCACAAGGTATGTTCTGTAATGCCTTTTCTTTTATGTTTGTGGGTAACCAGGAAAATTACTCTACCCATGCAATATTTAGTGTACATTTCTGTCAATATCAGTTGTGCTTACTGGGAATCGCTTTGTCTTTGTCTTTCTCTTGTTCACAGGAAGATGTAGACCCGTGTGTAAAACAGTAGCGATACCAAGGCTTTATGGTCATTATTTGCAATCTCGGGTGAGTGTATCTATTGTTGTTCCTGCTGTCCCGATTTTCATTTAGATTGGTCTGGACACACCGATGTAAACATTCAACTCCCATAAAAATCTTACTATAATAGTCTTAATGAATGTCCTGAAATCGAGGGTTTCGTATAGATAGCTAAACTTGAATACTGGCGAAGGACTAGAATCAATTAATTAATACATCATGCATGTTTGTTGTCCCTATTTTCACACTTCTAAACAGATTCGTAGCATGAGTTGGGGTTTGGGATTGGCCAACTAGTTAACTTTTGACCATCAAGATTCATGGTTGAAGATTAGTCCCCACATTTTCTTGTTTAGAAGATTGATTGTTCATCAACACATTGTGACATTTAGGGCATTGATTGTTCCTGCTGTCCCGATTTTCATTTAGATTGGTCTGGACACACCGATATAAACATTCAACTCCCATAAAAATCTTACTATAATAGTCTTAATGAATGTCCTGAAATCGAGGGTTTCGTATAGATAGCTAAACTTGAATACTGGCGAAGGACTAGAATCAATTAATTAATACATCATGCATGTTTGCTGTCCCTATTTTCACACTTCTAAACAGATTCGTAGCATGAGTTGGGGTTTGGGATTGGCCAACTAGTTAACTTTTGACCATCAAGATTCATGGTTGAAGATTAGTCCCCACATTTTCTTGTTTAGAAGATTGATTGTTCATCAACACATTGTGACATTTAGGGCATTAGTTGTTAAACCTGGGTCAGGAACTAGTAGTATAGAGGTGTGCAATTCAACTGTTAATTTACACTCCACACTTCATATTTTATTGATAAGGGTGATATAGGTTAATTAACAACGGCAAGGGAAATCATCTTTGTTGTCTTTATGTCATCATATTCACTCCACACTTCATATTTTATTGATAAGAGTGATATATGTTTCATTTTGTGATTAAGGTACTACTTAAAGGATTCGAACCTGGGACCTCCAGGTTCTAGGCTAGTGCTATTACCACTAGGCCAAGCCTTTGTTCGTCACTCCACACTTCATTTATTGTGGAAAGATTTGTGAACTCATTCTCAGTGTCGAGGGAAGCTACGATTGTCGTGTTATTCATCATTCTATGGGGAAAGGTTTAGGGAGTCTTCTTACTGGCACTGTGTTATCTGTGATATGTGTTCAACTATTCTAAATTGAAGACTCCATTTGGTTGTTTAATTTTGTGGAGCAGGTTCAATCACATCAAATTGAATTGTATGAGGCTTCCATTTTTCAGAAGCATCATCATTTTTGTACTGGAGGTTCCAGTGGTGAACCTTCAGACGGAGCTCAGGAGAAGCAATCGTAAGCAATTGTGTATGCAATGGGGTTAATACTAATATCCCTATGATGTGGTGTAATCACAAGTTATTAACTACTCCATGGTTGGCATTTGTGACCATTGGCTACGTATTTGCTCAGTTATGAATCTAAATGGGTTATTGCTTTTTCGTAAGAAACCATGCCCTTAGTTGTGTCAGCCTTATTTAGCAGAATCTGATGTCTATAACTGCTTCTAAAATTTGTGTTTAAAACTAGCAACTTTTGGTGTACTCTGTCGCAAGTGTTCTGTAGTGTCAGTTCTTATACAATTAAAACATTGGTTAATTTGAAACCTTGCTAAATCGGTTATCCTTAAGTTTGGGGCAAATTTGAGAATTCCGATAATGTATACACTCTCTAAAATTCTATTTGTTCATGCTACTGCTTCTGCTGTTTTCCCTCACACCAGGTTAACTTCTGCAGGATATCTGTAACTTTTGTTGACAAGGATGGCGAGGAAAAACAGATCAAGGTCCCAGTGGGAATGTCCATGTTGGAAGCTGCCCATGAGCATGATATAGAGCTAGAAGGCAAGGACGATTCTGCTGATTTTCTCCTAATATTTCTTACTCAGGAGTTATCTATTTTATTTTATCTTATCACAAGGATGAGGAACTAACTTTGATTCTCCCCCTTGAATGTCATCTTCAGGAGCATGCGAAGGCTCGCTTGCATGTTCGACGTGTCACGTTATAGTGATGGTTTGTTGTTTGAGCCTTCAACTATTACTTGACAATTATTGATCAGCGAACTTGCTCATTGTTTGTTGCATCATCATTAGGATGTTGACTATTACAACAAATTGGAGGACCCAACAGACGAGGAGAACGATATGCTGGATTTGGCCTTCGGGCTAACAGAGACGTGAGTACCCCTGCAGAAAGTACCTCAGCAACATGGATTTGCGTGGATAGAAAACAACCTTCACAAATTTCATATTGGATATGTTTTCTTTGTATGTTGCAGCTCTCGACTTGGATGTCAAGTGATTGCAAGTCCTGAGCTTGATGGCATGCGGCTAGCTATTCCTTCCGCCACTCGGAATTTCGCCGTTGATGGTTATGTACCGAAACCGCACTAGCAGCCCCACAATCTTGGGTTGGAGAATAGCTGGAGGGGGATCTATCGTTCCATGTCCCAGTTTTGTAGCTAGCATTGATGAGGAACGTACCTTCTCCAGTGTCATTAAATTTCTCCCCTTTACATTGCTACATGTTTGTCTGATGCAATAATCTGGGTCGGTAGTGCTGTTGATCTCGTTATCCTGAAATAGAAAACATCTGAAACAGAAATCAACTGTCCCACTGTTGTAAGGTTCTATGCTCTGTATTGGGGCTGACTACTGGTTTTGAATTTTGATTCCTCATTATCAAATATTCTTTTGGTGTAACCTCAGTATCATATTGAAAAAAACAAAGATGATGGTGGGCTGGTTTGTGGATTTATAGAACCGATTAACCGTTATATGGGTTTTGCTGTTAATTAAAAAGCTTCCAAATTCACTACAACGGCTCTTTTAGCCTCCCAACATTAGAAAGAAACTTCATCTTGTTCCAGTAAAACGAAGAACTTCTCTTCTTTCCAAACTTCTCATAATGTCTCAAACTAATCCTCCTCCATATTGGAAGGAGGATGAAGATTTGTACAAGACTTGGATTGAAATTTTGGAAAATGATTTAGCTCGTCATTATCAACGCAAGACTTGGATTGAAATTTTGGAAAATGATTTAGCTCGTCATTATCAACGCACAACTAAATTTTAGAAGTGAATTGGAGTAGTATTTGCTTCTAAATTATGAGAGATGTAACACACACAAACGTGGGCTTGAGTTCCCGATGAAAGACCATCAATCATCAATGTGGGTTGTAGAATTCGTCATCTAAGGAGGGCAATAAACAAACGCTTCCACTTACACTTGAAGCAGTGGCGGATACATGGACCTCTAGGGGTGTCCCGGAACACTCCTAAAATTTAGGAAAACGATTATCCACTCTCAGGTAGTAGTTTTGTATGGATAAAAAAAATTATACTTGGTAATCCAGGACACCCTTAAATTTTGAAAAAATGATTATCATGTTCTCGGTAGTAGTTTGCGTATGATTAAAAATATATAAGTAGTAATCTCTGTGTTATTCAAACCTAGGACTCTACTATTATTAAACATATTCTCTAGGTTGCAACTCATTTGTTGTTCTATTTTAAACACTATGTAATAGTAAAAACACTATTCTTTATTCCCAATTGTTTTCAAAACCTAACAATTAAATTCATTCGATCTATCCTTAATTTGAATTGATTTTATAGGTATATTGCAAGAGTTGAAAGAGTCTTTCAAGTTTGAGTTACATCAGGAACAAGGTTAAAAATCGAATATGCGATCAGTTCGTGAATTATTGTCTAATATGGTATATTTGCACTAGTCAAATATTTTTTTTAATTTAATTTTTGGAAGAAGACACCCCTATAAAAAATTCCTGGATCCGCCACTGACTTGAAGAATACACTTCTTCTTCAACCATTGTTTCTTCTTGCATGGTTACGTTAGTGCCTTAGTGGCAATTAGAGATGACAATACCCAAACCCCTGGGTATTTTCTTATCCAACCTCAATGGGTTGGGTATGAAAGTGAAACCCAATTATAAGGTAAACGAGTTAGAGTTTGATGGGTTTATATCCATATCTATTTATTTGGGTTGGACAATTCTTGAATACCATAATGCAATTACAATTTGGTATCTAAACTTATTTTTTATTTTTTTTAGATTTGGTACATAAAGTTAATTATTTTGCATGCAAGTCCTCAAAATATCAATGAAAAATTACATTTTAGTATATAAAATTTTTTATGTCTTACATTTAAGTTTTACATATAGGTATGGTTTTGTTTGTGTAGTTAAAACAAAATCAAGTGAATAGGTATCGACTATCCGTACCCAACCCATATCCATTTAGAATATAAATTTTATAAAAAACAATATTCATACCCAACCCAAATTCATCTACAAAATCCCAAATTTATAAATACTTCATCAATACCCTACCCAACATAATGAATGAATTTACTTGAATTACTAGATAATTGCCATTCCTAATTGCAGCAAACTATGTTTAGATAGATGAGAACCACCAGGTACATGCACACTTGGACTATGAAGACAAAGTTGGTCCACCATTACAACAAGATGAGAGCCCAATTCATCAAAGATCAACAGCCCATCAATCTTTCTTCTCCATGCTAATTCCCCATCTTTTCTCTCGATCTTTTTTCTTCTTCTTCCTGTTGAAATATTATAAAACGCACAAACATAACCATCTGGCCGAAAGCATCGCTACAGCCATGAAATACTTCCCAACAACACCCCTCCTCCACTTTTTATTATAACAAAAAGAAAAAGAGTAGCTCTACCATATTTTCTTGCCCCAAACTCGCTTTTGGGATTTCATTACTAATCCAGAAAACAAAAAAGGAAGAAGAGATAATTAAGAAGTATATCATTATCTTTGCTTCTCTTTTTTTTTTAAATCTATTTTTGCCCCACACACCCAACAGAAAAAGGAAGGAAGAAAATCAGGATTCTTCTTCCTAATCCCTCCTCGATTCTCCCAAGAAAGTCCCGTCGCCACCGTCAAATTCCTCCGACATGGATCTCCTCCTCTTATCCGTTCGAAGCTGTTAGTCGATTTCACAGTCTCCATCCCTGCTAGGCAGCTCCAGGTACGTTAATTAATCATTTTCGTGATCTTTGTATATATATAGTAATTAATGATAATCAGGGATTAGTTTCATCTTATCTTATCTTGTTCTCTTTGGAGGCTACGAGGGATTCGATTAATTCTGTGAAACCGTGATCGATTTCCTGTATGATATTGAAATATATTTTTTTTTTGGTTAATAAGGGTGCAATTGTGACCTATCGGATTCAATCTCATAAAATTGATTATCTACAATTTTAAGGACCCAAAAATTGTGTCCTATATTCTTCATAAACAAATTACTATAAATCCGTATACGTTGTGATCTCTCTTTCCCTTGTTTCGCTTCCCATGCATGCATGCATGCACGTACGTACGCAGATGGCAGAGGAAGAATAAAAATCCGCCGCCGTTAAAAGAATTTTTTTTCTTCCAGAGATGGATGACCACATCAATGGCAACAAGGTGACCGGGATTCGCCAAATCGTCAGGCTAAGGGAGATCCTCCACAAGTGGCAAGCCGTCACCATCGGCTCGTCGTCGTCGTCGTCAAGATCCAACGGCGGCGGCGGTGCAACATCTCGCGTTAGCCAGCCGGCTCTAGGAGGGATCTCCCCGGCGATCAACAACAGAGTGGCGAACATCATCAAGAGCAGCTGCGACTCCGACGAGGAAGGATGCCCGAGCCCCGACGCCGAGCCGCCGGTCGACGTCCCAAAGGGTTACCTGGCGGTTTACGTCGGGCCGGAGCTCCGGAGGTTCATCATCCCGACGAGCTACCTGAGCCACTCGTTGTTCAAGGTGCTGCTGGAGAAGGCGGAGGAGGAGTTTGGGTTCGACCACAGCGGCGGTCTAACCATCCCTTGTGAGATCGAGACCTTTAAGTTTCTGCTCAAATGCATGGAGCATCATCCCAAGGATCATAATGCAGATGATGATGATGATGATGATGGCACAGGTAATAAGCAATGAACTATCATGAGTATTCATTACTACGAAACCTAGAAATCTGAACGAGGGGGTTGATTTGAATCGTCGTAATTGGGGAGAGGGGTGAAAACTCGTACAAACTTACTCTGTTTATTAAATTTGATACGAATTTTACGTGTATTTTTACTTTTACGTTGAAGGGTAGGGGGTAGCTATAGCCTCCTGTGGGCTTTAACCTTGCTCCGCCACTAGAGATAACTAAAATCTGACGCTACTTGGCCTACCATTAATACTTTTGGAGGGAATTTCTGTATGTAATTTCTGACATGTTATCTCCTCAAGTTAATGATACATGATTTATAATTGAACTTGTTCGAACAACTCGAATTAATAGGATCAACGGAGAGTCTTGATATGATATGTTGTTAGGGAGGTTAAATTATGGTAACCACTTACTAATCAAGTGCTAATTGGGAAATGGTTTCATTTTGTTTGTTTTTGTTGCAGGTGAAGATCACTCATTAACGGTTAAGGAAGGATAGAGTAATGGGGGGCATGCATGCACCTTAATCTGCAGATATATCTTGTTTTCCAAATTTTTACTATCTTACTTTGCCTTTCTTTTAATTGGCTTCTTTTTTCGCCCGATTGACAAACAGTAGGAAAGGAGGGTTTAATTAGATATAGATGGGCTGCAGGGTTGTGTGGGTTTTTTGCGTCTGCTGAAAACTGAGGCTCGGTGGGTTTACATGTTCTTTATTTTTTTTCTTCTTTTTCGTGTGGAGATGTAATGTAACCCAAAATGCTATTTTGTTGAAATACAAGCAAGGATAAGTTAATAATTGTTGGTCAACTATGATGGGATTTTCCCCCAAAAGTATGTGGAGTTACGGAATCTATATGTAACCATGGGCTGTGGCGCATTATGGATCGATGATGTTTTAAACTAGCTGTATAGAGATAGTTAGTAGACTCGAGATTGTGGCCGAATCACTCTTCCTATCTCGGCTAGGTTTGTGTGTTTGTGAGCATGTATAAACGTTTGTTGCATACTGCCAGTTAATGCGGGTGTTGATAGCTTCGGCCGTTGAATAGTCTAGGGCATCAACGTTTCCTAAGACTTAGTGATCAATAATTTCATTTGTGGCATGCCAGATTGGATCATCCCAATTCTAGTGGACTTGTAGCCATGTTTCTGCAAATTTTGTTTGAATCACTTTCGAAAATGGATTGGTTCTCGGATTTTTCTTGCAAAAGTTGCGTGGAAGCTAAAGTTAAACGTATTTCTTTTCCCTTGAGTACTACAGTCATCAATAATCCTTTCCATTTAATCCACACATATGTTTGTGTCCTAGCCCTGTCATGCCTTGATATGGCTACGAGTATTTTGCGATGTTTGTTGATCATGCTACTATACGTGAGTGTATTTTCTACGACTTAAATCTGATCTTTCATCTATTGACACATAACATTTACAAATTATCAAAACTGAATTTGATAGAATCGTTCATGTAGTCCGTTCTGGTCTTGATGGGGAGTTTAGCTCTCATCCTCTTTTGAAACTATACCAGTCTCTTGACATTCTTACCCATAAATCATATCTTGGCATTTCTCAGCAAAATGGTTTGGTCGTGCGTAAAAATTGCCATGTGCTGACAGTAACTCGAGCTCTCCTCTTGGAGTCTCACGTTCCTTCCTCTTTCTAGCCCGAAACAGTCTCGACTGTCATTCGATTAATTAATTATCTTGTTTTCAAGTTTGTGTAGTGGACTTATGGCTGGACAAGATGTTGAACTAAGCGACGTGGCTCTCACAACCCTTATGGATTGGTTCTCTCTAGGTGTCGAACTAACCTTAATGCACATATGGCTGTGGTGGAGCAAGATCAAGAAAAACGTGCTAGATGAGATCAAGAGAGGGTGGAGCAATGAAGAGTTGAAAGGGATCATGCCGAACAAGTCAGAGCTGGACGAACACGTGCCTTACAAGAACGTATAGAGAGGAACCTTCAGCAACATCACCCATTTGTGGGAAGAACGATGTCTCTAAGAAACTTTGTTCATAATCGACATCGAGAAGATCAATAAGAAGAAGAGAGGATCGATGACGACTATGAAGAAGAATAACAAAAGTGATATGAGAGGCATCAATATCACGATTCCAACCTTTCCAGAAAGAAGTAATCGTCGATGCTTACCTCAATTGGGAGAGAAAGATAAAGGTGATATTTGATTTCCACGAGTACACTAAGAGGAGGAAAGTGGCTCTAGTTGCCCTAGAGTTTACTGATTATACTATAGTATAAAGGGATCAATTATGTGCACAAAGGAAACACAATGGAGAAGACCAAATGTCAAGTTGGGGAGACATGAAGAGAACCATGAGGAGTCGATTTGTGTCAACCTATCACCAAAGAGAGACGCATCAAGCTCTTTAAACCCTTTGACAAGGCTCTAAAAGCGTGAAAGACTATTACAAAGATATGCATATGCTAATGATATGTGATGATATTAGGGAAGATTGAGAAGCCACCTTAGCTTGATTTCTCAATGGTCAAAATTGTTATGAGACGTGTAGTGGAAATTCAACCCATTGTTGAACTGGAGGAGCTCGCATAAATGGCGATCAAGGTGGAGAAGCAACAAAAGGGTGGCTGTTAAAGACGAGTTGCTGCATCAACTAGTGGTACATCTAGTGCCTCACATTCTTCCTATGCCAAAAAGGAGGATCCAAAGCCAATTATCAAGCCGATTTCGCAACCATCTTCTGGAGTGGAGAAATCAGCATCCTCAAGCAGCTATAAAGAGCCATAAAGTGCTTCAAGTGCCAAGGGAGGGGGCATTTCACTAGCCAAAGACCTAGCTAACAAACATATTATGGTTCTTCGAAGCAAATGGAGAGTATGAATATGAAGAAGATGAAGAAGAAGTAGTGGAGGTGGTGGAAGAAAAAGGATCTAATGGAGATGTAGTAGCTCCATTGCATGGTGATTATTATTTAGTCACAAAAAAGGTGGTTTTGAAGAAGGAGTCAATTCTTCCTCGATGGAGCAGTTTATGGTTGTATAGAGATCGTTGAATGTGCAACCTATAGTAATTATTCTTTATTTCATACACAATGCATGGTGGTCGGAAATGTGTTTTCTCTAGTATTTGATGGTGAAGCTGCACCATCGTGGTTAGTGCCACTATGATAGACAAATTGGGGATAACAGCAAAGAGACATCCCATATTTACCGGACTTTTTCAGAAATAGCACTGTTCAAAAAAATTTACAAAAATACCACCCAACCCCAAAGAATTTCAAAAATACCAGACTTTTTCGAAAACCGCCACCCCACCCTGCAGTTTACACGAAAACCGCTGGGTGGGGGCGCGGTTTTCGACGAAAATCGCTGGGTGGGGCGGCGGTTTTCATCAACTCCTAACTTCGGTCGAAACTTCAAACGAACGTAACTTTGCACTCGGGTATCCGATCGTAGCGATTTTTTATTTGAATCGGCATAACTTTTCGAGATCTTGCAAGCTGCAAACCGCAAGTCCCGCCTTCGTCTCGAAAACACATCATTTGCTACCCCGAATTAGCCTTTTTTCGATTTCGTCAAACTTTGGGCGGCCATAACTTTGTGCTCCAAAATCGGAACGTCATAAAAAAAAATTCATTTCGCATAACTTTTTAAGATCTACAAATTTTACTAGGATGAAATTTTCAAAACAAGATTTAGTTTTGGATATACGGGACCTTGGGAATAACTTTACCTTTACTTTTTACAAATCCATGTACATTTCGAAATTATAGTTATGTTAAAAGTTGTAGTAATTGAAAAGTTAGGAGTAATAAAAAAAAATTATGACATTCGGATTTTGAAGCACAAAGTTATGGCCGTCCAAAGTTATTGAGGATTTTTAGCGTTTAAGGATTAAAATTTGTTAATATATAATTGTTTCAAAAGAGGATTTGTGGTGGGTGGTTTAGATGTTGGGCTGAATTTAGTTAACTATTCAATGAATCTGGGTTCGTACCACCACAGTTACTTTTTTTAATCTCTCTACTAAATAAAAAGATTTAATAGGAATGATGGTGATTCGAACCTAGGACCTCTTCTACACAAGGAAACAACTAAACAAATTGTGTCAAAACCACTTATGAGATTTATGTGGATAAAAAAATATATATACTGAAAAACGCTGGGTGGGGGTGCGGTTTTCAACAAAATCGTCCGGGCCCCATGCGGTTTTCATCAAAAACCGCACCCCCACCCAGCGGTTTTCGAGAAAGGGTGATAGTTTTGGAATTTTTCGTACATGAATGATAGTTTTGTAAAAAAATTAAATAGTGTTACTTTTGAATTTTTTTCATACTTACCATTTTCAATGGCTCAACAATAGTGGGACATTCAAACTCACAATAAGAACATTGCTGAATTTCGAGATCAACAATTACAAAGATAAAATGCCATAATTATTTGATCAATAGTGCTTATGGAAACTGCTCACATACTTCTTCGATGTCCATGGAAATTTGATCGAAGTGCAATACATGATGGACGCACCAATAAGTACATGATCGAATGCCACAATTATTTGTTTATTTTGACACCCCTTTCACCAAAGGAGGTCTACGAAGACCATATTAAGCTACAAAAACTTCGTGTAAAAGCAGTTGAGAGCAAATCAAAGAGAAAATTCGAGTGTCAATAATATGTGACCCCAATAACTCGAGTTGTTGGGAGAAGTTCAGTTGTGAATTATATATCGTTTATTAACAAAAGACAACCCTTGGCCAATTTTCTAGCTCCGCCACTGGATTTGCATGCTTCATGTTTGTGATGATAGAAATGTTGCTAAAAATGGTAATGTGATCTGACTGAATCACCGCGACTTTATTGTCTATTTAGCATTACTGCTCCTTCAGCCAAGGGACGGTGCAGTACTTAAACATGACCAAGATCAGATAGTTGACGACCCATTGTTTGTAGGTAGGGTTGTTAATGAGCCGAGTCGAGCCGAGCTTTGCCATAGTTCGGGCTCGGCTCGTTAATATATTTTCAGACTCGAGCTCGGCTCGTGTTCGTCACGATCTTTAATATGCAAGGTTGAGCTATGCTCATTTATGAAAACGAAAGCTCGAGCTCGGCTCGTCAAATAAGCTTAACGAGCCCAAATTCGAGTTCAGCTCATAAAATGTTCATGATAGCTCAAGATTGACCTAGAACTACGCATAAAATTACATTCAAACCTGTAGCAAAGTCTAGCAAAGTAAAACACAATATTTAACCCAATTTCAATACATAAAATCTATGAATTCTAATCCTTTTTTTATGCCAAACCATTAAATGAGCTTGTTCGAGAGCTTTCGAGCTGAACATGGTATGACTCGAGTTCGACTCGTTTAGTTAACGAGCTTGTTCGCGGCTTGGTTCATTAACAACCCTATTTGTAGGTAAGCCTGACTGGATCTGCAATAAGCTAGTGCATCATGCACTTGGAATGAACTGCAAGGAAAATTCTGTGTAGACCGAGAATGATGATCAAGGTTATCATCCAATCAAATTCTGCAGAGAATTTCATTGCAGAGACACAAATACGAGCTTAAGTGAACCAGAAAGTGAGCGAGGGAAACTATGTTACTTGAAACACCTGCATCACTTGAGTCGACAATCGTGGAGATCTCGACTTCCCTTAACTATGGCAAAAGACCCCCTCATAACCAAACAGAGTAATAATGATACCGAATGAACACAAAATTCTGGATAACTCAACAGATTGGACACACAAAAGTTGAGAAGTTAACTATTTTTCAAGAACGAAATAGAGAAGAAAAAAAAACACAGGCAGCACAGGGCTTATTAAAAACACAGGAACAATTGCTACATAAAAATTACTAAAATTTTCCCAAGTTGCTTATGCACTTTGCTTGCTGCCGCTCCATAATGCAGGGGAGGTTCCTTTCTTCCTTTCTTCTGCTTCTCAACCATCTCTAGTTGTAGCACGACCATGATCTGCGTATCTGGAGTCTGGAAGCCAGCAGGTTATTGAAGGAACAGAATCGTACTGGACGACGATGAGCCACCAAGCAAAGAGAACATCGTTATTATAGGCCCAGTTTGCCAAGAAGTTCCTGCCATCTAGGGGTCTCCTCGTCGAATATGTAAGTCAGAGGAGAAACCAGAACACCACTGCCTCCAATCTGCAGAAACCCACATACTAAAATGAAGGAAGGAAACACTCAAGAGTACTGATCTCACATGGAATTGGATTATACTCTATAACTGACCGCTCTAAGTTGCTGTACAGACTTGTACAATGCCTTCTTTGGTACACAAATGACTATGGCATAATAGTCGACCACAACTTCTCCATCACGTTTGCAGAAAACTGGACTTACAGTAGGTCCCTGTGCGAAGAGCAAAGAAAATAAAATCATTAGATCAAACTTCTGGCCAAACAAGTAAAACTATGTGAGAAGATTACAGGCATATTCATCTTAAGCTGAAGTTAGTTGCAGAGCTCCTGGTCAGTTATCAGATTCGAGCTGTACTTTGTGTGAAAGAAGTTTCTTCGGTAAATAAATAAATAAATGGAGTGGCAGCAAATTTGCATTTTTGCAAGTCTTCCTTACCTGCAGCCCGGCCAAAGATGGCTGGCTCAGTACCCGCTGTGCCACTTCATCAGCACTATTTCCCCTCATGTTTGCAACCACCTAACATGGAAATAATTGGGAAAAGAAAAACCAATATATTGAGTATTTTTATTCTTCTCTCCTTCCTTTTAAGGTGTTCTGCAAATAGGACCATAAATAACGGACAGTACCGTGAATTGACCAACAGCCCTCAAATGTGCCTCCAATCTTTCAATGATCTCATGTGTTGTGTCCAGCAAGCCTTTCCGGTGCACTAATGATTTCTTGCTTGCAACAAGAACAGCCTAAAGTAACAATTAAATTTTGAGGTGAGATAATATGCAGAGCAACCTAAAATAGGAGACGTGATTGGAAAGATCCTTCCCCGTCTTTAAAGTATCTAGCTTTACCTGACTCTCCAATACAATGCCACCTTCAATTTCTTTGAGGTTATTTTCCCTGAGAGTTGTTCCACTACTGACAAGGTCTAAAATTGCATCAGCTATACCCATCTAGTGTAACAAAGAAAACGAAAATCATCATTATCTGAAAACTAACAGTACAATCTGCAAATGAGTTATGGCACTCACTACTCCATTTATATTACATTGTACTTCTATATTCAAGAAAGGGAGAGAAGTTAATAGAAGCAGAAGTGAAGGGAAACGTTTCTCACCGCTGGTGCGGCTTCTAAGGCTCCATCAGCAGTTGAAAAAACCACATGTTTCAGTCCTTTTTCCCTCATAAATTTAGATCCTAGCTGTTATGAATTTAAACCCCAAGAGGCATAATATGAGGAACATCAAACAACAGATGAGTAAATGGTTCAGCATATACACACAGATACAACAAACCGCCATACAGCAACCTACATAAGTGAATCCAGTTGCAACTCGTAGAGGTTTGTCAGCTGTCCACTGAGGCATTCGGGCCAGCTCCTCCATGGAATTTATGTTTTCAAAGATGCCATATTTTGGTATCTGAGTAACAGTCAGCCAAGGTATGCATTTTAGAATGTCAAACTGGAAATGATGATATAATAATGACCTGGGTGAAGGGAGGTGAATTTGAACTTTCATACCCGCCAAGAAGAAGAAACTTACAGCTATGGATAAATGGCAATCCCCAAAATCAAGAGAATCGTGAACAATGATTAGATCTTCACTTCCCTGCCCACAAGTTTCACATGTGTCATTGATCACTTTACAATGTAACTGAGTTTAGAAATACAACTCCTTAAGACCAAACAAAAACCACAGACAGAGAGAAGCCAAAATTATGCTACTTTCTTAAATCACACATAAGGAACTGAATTGTCCCATTGGAAGTACCAAATTCCTAGGAGCTGTAGCAACACAATAACCTTGTATCTCAACACAAGAAAAATATTAAAAGCCATGACTCAGCAAGTTAAGTATCTGTAATTCAACGATTCAGACAGATGAGCACATACTTTCATTCATATCCATGCATGGAATGCATGCATAGAGAGCCATTACATTATAGACTCAATCCATGATTTTTGAAAATAAGATACTTAAATTGGGCATGGATAATAGAGATCAACAACAAACCAAATGCTGATCAGCATATCAAATGTTACCTGGCCATATTCACTGACTATATCAAGGCCCACAATTCCAAGGTCCAAATCTCCAGATAACAACTTTCTCACAATGTCTTTGGGTCGCTGGAACCAGACTTCCAAGTTGGACAGCTAGAGAACAGAATGACAGATATTCGTAAACAAAGTCGGTATTTTTATCAACTACATGAAACAAACAAAAGACATAGAAACCATTTTGGGAACTATTTAACATAAGGAATCGCCACAGCCTAATGTGTCATAAAGAGAGAAAAGAGACCTGAGGAATGTCCGCGACATATTGTCGAGGATTAACCTTTCTGACAGATAGTTGACAGTCCTTCACACAAAGAAAGAAGACAGAACTAATTATGGATAATGTTTTAGTACAAGAACAAAAAATTACAAGTATAGAGCTTAAAGTTACTAACATAATCCTTCCTTTACTGTTCATTTTCGAATCAATTTCTCAGCAACCAAACGAGCAAGAAAAAAGAAACTAAACCTGTGCAATGAGGCACTAACCTTGAGGAGATCAAGCGTGTCATCGGCCATCCGTCCTTTGCTAGGCAAGCCAAGCCGAAGCTCATTTCGGTCAGAGACTTTAGACGCAGCTCCGGCATTAACGGAGACTTGATCTTGCAATAGGCTGCAACGGACAATTCGCGTAGAGAAGGCGACCGAGAGAGGCAGCCTTGCGCGGAAAGCAGAATGCATACTTGGACATAAGGGGAAAAGAGACCAGGAAGAAGAGGTGGAAGAAGGAGGAGCCCGAAGAGACATTATCATGACTGTGGCAATTCCTTGTTGGACGTTTCACTGTTAAACTGAACCCAATTCGATGAGAACCAAATCAAAATCCCACTTTCTACGAGAGTTGCTATGACTAGCAGTTGAGTAAATAAGTTCTAGTGAGCATATGCAACTTCCTTCATGAAAGTTAAATCAAATGAGCTCTACCTATCATCATTGAATACAACAAAATCAAAGTGGAACTTATACTGTTCAAGCAAGGATGCTTCTCTAATGAATTAGTCACCAAGAACTGCTACAATGGGACAAGGATGGCCAAAAAAAGATGTTTTAATGAGGTAAAGTTTCTATCTTTCTCAATTTGCAGACAAACCAACAATTACCTCCCAATCATTCCTCATCATCAACCATCAATGTATACATTTCAGCAAAATTTGGTGACTTACAGAGGCGCAGCGGCAAATGGGAAGAGGACGGAGGAGAAAACGGCGGCGTAGAAGAGGAGCGAAGAGTGCAGCGGCGAGTTTCGTTCGGCGGCTAGGGTATCCGGCGGGGTTAGGTGACGGCGCAGAGGAGAGAAGGAGGAGACGGCGGCGGCGAGTTTGTGTGCGGCAGCTAGTAAAGGTTTCTCAGTGCGGGAGAAAGCGAGTCTCGACTCTCGAATTAAGAGGGTAAATTTTGTTTGTTCGCAACTTCGCATAGGTGGGTGAAACGGGCGGCTGTAAGAATTTGGGTGAATTCTCAGGGTAAAAGGAAGGTGTAAAATTAGTTGATGTTGGGATTTGAATGGCCTATCTTCTCGATAAATCTTGAAAGTGAAAGATTTTTATAAATGCCTTTATACGGAGAGGCAAATAGTGGATAATATTTTGCTGGGGCATGAACTAATGCATTGCCTCAAGCTAAAAAAGCGGGGGAAGAAAGGGTATATGGCTCTGAAGGTTGACATGGAAAAGGCCTATGATAGAGTCGAGTGACCCTTTCTTCTAGCGGTTTTAGAGAAAATGGGGTTTGGTGAGACTTGGAGGGGGTGGATTTACGAGTGTCTACGTTCGGTGTCTTTTTCAGTCCTCATGAATGGCACACCTGCAGGTTTTTTTACTCCGTCTAGGGGGCTGAGGCAGAGGGACCCGCTTTCTCCCCTGCTGTTTGTGCTTTGTACGGAAGGGTTTGCGGCTTTACTCCGTCAAGCGATTGCCGAGAAGAGGTTGGAAGGGGTTAAGGTTGCTCCGCGCGCTCCCAGGATCTCGCATTTGTTTTTTGCTGATGATTCATATTTATTTCTCCGAGGGTCTCTCGATGAATGCGAAAGGCTGATTGAAGTGTTGAATGAATATGAGGAACTCAGTGGACAACGAGTGAACTTGGGAAAATCGGCGGTGTGCTTTAGTAAGAACATTTTGCCCCAGGACCAGGAATTCTTAGCGCAAATCTTAGGGGTGGGGGCTGTGGGCGTTCAGGATAAGTACCTTGGGCTGCCGTCCCTGATCTCCCGGTCAAAAGTGACAACTTTCCAGTACTTGGAAGAGAAATTGCTGGGACGTCTGCAGGGATGGAAGCGTAGGACGCTTTCCTGGGTTGCGAAAGAAACTTTGATCAAATCGGTAGCGCTGGCCCTCCCGCTCCATGTCATGTCGTGCTTTAAGCTCCCACTCTCTCTCTGCCCGCTCTTGGATAAGCATGTGGCTAGATTTTGGTGGGGAGTGGAGGATGGGCAACCTAAAATTCGTTGGATGTCCTGGAGGAATATGTGTCGTAGCAAGCATGAAGGCGGGATGGGGTTCAGAAGGTTTGAGCAGTTTAATCAAGCTTTGCTGGCAAGATAGGGTGGTGAATCCTTAATGAACCTCAGTCCCTGCTTGCTCAGGTTTACAAAGGGAAATATTTTCCGATGGGATCATTCTTGACAGCTAAGGCTAGATCTCGTCCTTCTTGGGGATGGAAAAGCATTTTATATGGTAGGGAGGTGCTGGTTAAAGGATCCCGCTGGCAGATAGGTAACGGCCGGACTGCTCCGTTGCTTGAATCGAATTGGATCCCTCGAATCCATCCTCAGGTCCCGGTGCATAATCCCCAGGCGCTCCCTGCTGATAGGGTTTTACCTGTGGCGGAAGTAATTTGTCAGGCGGAGGGGCGATGGTGTGACCAGAAGCTTAGCCAATGGTTCGATCCAGGGACGTGTCAGGCCATCAAGGCTATCCCTCTTCCTCGGCAAGAGGTGGAGGATCGTTTGATATGGCATGGGACGGTGGATGGGGTCTTCTCTGTCAAATCGGCCTATCATTTTGCTGTCCTTCTAGACCAGCTCGAAGGTCGGTGGCGGGCCACGGTTAGCTGGATGGATAGGACTAGCTGGATTCGGTTATGGGCAACTAATATTCCGCCCAAGCTAAGGATTTTCATCTGGCAAATTTTCAATTGGATTCTTCCGACAACAGAGGCTCTTCTGGAGAAAAAGGTGGGGGTCCTCCCTCGATGTCCGGTCTGTTGGGCAGAACAGGAGACACTGGAACATTTGTTTTGGTTCTGCCCGGTGGCTAGGGCCATGTGGGACCATTCGGGGCTTGATGATTTGGGTCAAGGATTGCCGCGGCACTCTTTTCCTTTCTTCCTCAAACGGTTGCTGGCTATAGTGTCCCCACCCCAGTGGTGGGCGGTGGTGTGGTGGCTCTCTTGTGGAGAATTTGGAGATCGAGGAATTGGGTGGCGTTTGAGGGCAAGCAGTTCGGGATCCCGGCACTCATGCGTCAGTACCATCAGCAGCATCAAGAGTGGATCCGCCTTCCTATAGATCAAGATGTTCGGCGGGCAGAGGTGCCGGCCCAGGCAGTTCCTGGATCTGGGGATGGCAGGATGGTTTGTAGATGGGATGGGGCCACTAAGTGCGGATCACATTCGGCAGGAGGAATGGTCCTCTTAGACCGGGAAGGCAATACCGTTATAGCACGTGGGATTCAATACCCTGGTATGGAGGACCCTATGGTGGTGGAGTTGCTTGTTCTCCGGGAGGCGATCCTTTGGTGCTTAGGTATGGGCCTTTTGGAGGTCCGCTTTGAGGGGGATGCTAAGGTGGTGATTGGCAAGATTCTGCAAGCAGATAATAAGGATAGCCGAAAGGGTGCGATTCTGGAGGAGGTTATAGGATACCTTTCGGATCATCGTGGGTTAAGGGTGCGATTTGTAGGTCGTAGGAACAATCGGGTGGCCCATTTGGTGGCCAGGAAATCCCTTTTATTGTACCCGGCTGTATTTCGCTGGTTTGATTTCACTAGCTGGCTTCAGGCCAGGATGTAACTCCTTTTTTATCAATATATCTGATTATCTTTTGTCAACAAAAAAAAAAACCGAATACTGCCTGCCTGTGATGGTGGGTATGGTTTTTCGAAGAAGTTAGGTGTTGTTAACTAGTGATGGTAATGGGACGGGTCGGAGTGGGTACCTCAATATTAATGTCTCGTCTCATGTTATTATGGGTCGGGGCAGGGCGAGTCGACCCACTCTGACATATTATTTGATAAAATACACGTAAAATTTCACTTTTTACGATAAAATGAAGGGAAAAACACTTTATGAATGAACAATAGTGATAATTAGAAAAGATAATTGACTCTAACTAGTTGAAAGATCAAACCTAATTAGTTAAACAAAGTCAAAATATGAGAAATATGAATAGATACGGTAAGAAATTGAGATAGAATGGGCCAAGAAAGGGGCGGGGCGGAAGTAGATACCCATGCCCCGCCCCACGCTATTGCGGTTCGGGTAATACCCGCCCATCGCGGGTCAGGTCGGGTAATACCTGGCGAGGCAGGTTCAAATTGCCATCCCTAGTTAACGCTCAAACCGAATAAGCGGAGGGGCACGTTTGTCATTATTAAAAATTATGAGAAATACAAATATTATGAAGCATATCACAAAATACAAACCACAAATACTATAAAACACACCACAAATACCTTAAAAACATACTAGAAAGATTATATAGCTAATCACAACCTCACCAGTCACCACACCACAATCATAAAACATACCAGAAAACTCAAATCAGATCACAAGTTCCCTGAAGCATATCAGAAATCTCATAAAGTATACCACAAATTCTATATAAAAGATATCATAAGTTTCTTAAAGCATACCACAAGTTTCTTGAAGCAGTCCAGAAACCTCATAAAGCAGACCACAAGTTTATTAAAGCATACCACAAGTTTCCTAAAGCAAACTATAAATTATTATAACATATCACGAGTTTGCTAGAAAAGACCACAAATTCCTTAAAGCACACTAGAAAGCTCATAGAGCATACCACTATTACACCACAAGTTTCTTAAAGCATGCCACAAGTTCCATGAAACTTACAAAAAATCTCATAAAACTTATTCATCATTATTCACAAACATCAAAGAAACAAAAACTACTAGGGCGCGAGATTCGCTATGCATACTGCAAACAAGAGTCAAACAGGGTTGACTTTCTGGTTTTGACTATTAAACATATTTGAGACTTTGGATAGAGGTTTGTTTGCAATAAATGTGAATTGTGATGATTAGAATTGTGACTTTGGTTGGTTTTGAATTCTGAGACGACTTTTTTCCTTAACCAAAGGCAAAGCTATGTGATTATACTAATAGATGGTCATCGGTTAACCACTAACCGATTAGTCAGTCGGTAACCAATAAACAAAATACAGCTAACCGAAACCGAACCACAAAGAAATTATTGGTTATAAATTAATCACTAATCACTGTTATCGGTTTAAAACCGATAACCGACTAACCGTTTACCACTCCTAGATTTGAACCCTTGTGTGTGCCCTCCTCTTCAAACAAGTGGACTCTTTAGCCAAATACTTGGAATAAATTGACATTTTAATATATCAAGAACCATAAATTTGGTAGGTTGTTCGTATTTCGACCATCTATTTCTTTACATATCGATTTGTTACGAAAAACATAAGTTATCGGGGGAAAGTTACTGTGATAAATTGACAATTCAGTTTATGAATTAACTTGATCTATCAAATCCGTGAATTCATTGGATCCAATTCATAAATTCATTAAGATCCAATTCACATAATCTTATCCAATTGCCACTTCTACCTAGATAAACCTGTGATGATGGCTGGGCTCGATGGTGAATGGTCTCGGCCAACATTACCACCTTATGCATGGAAGGAACTATAGGCCGACTTGCCTTAAAATTTGTTACTCACTCTACTGCGATAAAAATGGTGGCAATAAAAGGGGAGTGCGAGGCAACAAAATTTAGGATGTCGGTGGAACTATTGATTCAACACTTTGCTGTGTGTGTGAGTTTGTTTTAAAATAGTGAAGTTGGTGCCAAATCCAACCAAGTTTTAAATTCGAAAGTAGCGAACAGTGGTGGTGCAAATTAAAAGGCAATCAAAATGGCAGCTTGGAAACGCGTTGTTGGTAGGAAAATAGAAAACTGATCGATCATTAGAGAGTTTCGTGTTTGCCACTCATCCACCTGTTTTCATGCAAATTAAATTTCTCTCTTTTGTGTGTCTATATCGTATAACATCTGAGAAAAGGTAGAGGTGCCCGACGGTTTAACACGAATTTTTGTTATCAGCAATTGATATTTAACAATATAAAATGGTTGAACTACAATTAAACTACAATTTTAGTATAAAATATTATATCATTGACTTTTCCAGTACAACATTTCACCATCCTTAATACAATACTAGTTTTCATTGCCCGCGCTCCGCGCTGGGACGTGGGATTAATAAGAGGTACATGATTGACCAATGCTTTTTGCATCAAATTACACATCAGAACTTGAGTGTTTGGCTGAAAAAAATGCAGTTCAATAATCATATAAAAATACACATCAAACACCAACGAATAACGTTGGCTAAATACGGGCTACTATATAACCACAATGATCACCTTCAAAACCTTATACGAAAGTGATTTTGATAGACTTAATAGAATGAGCCCAACTTAATTTGATAATTACATAACATAAAAATTGGTATACACATCTATTAAGTTAAAATATAACACTTCTGGTGTATTGATGAAATCATCTTATCTTATGGTTACTGGATATTGGTTGGACTTCTCACATGGCCTTCCTTTACTCTCAACTTACGCTTAACTTCCATTCCATCTGCAAATGAAAATAAGGAAGCATTAATAAAGGAGAAGGTAAACGAACAATACAATTATATATATCATATAAAAGCTTCATAGCTACAGTAAGAGAAGTTCAGAAAAACCATAACTACAGGTTGATTCAATTTTCACGACATATGATTTCATTTATCATGTACTTCATGACCTGCCTGTGGTAACTGAAACTCTGAAAAGACAGAATCATGGCCCAAAATCAGCAAAGCAAAACATCCTACAAAAAACCATTTTAAAATCTGCAGAAGTTGTAAACCATGAGCATATGATAGAACAAAAGAAACATAGTTTGAAAAGTTTGTTAGTGATAATACTAAAATAGTAAAACTTGTACAGATAAGGAACAATTGAGACAACCCGGTGAAGTAATTCTTCATTGTAATGAAGGGATGCAGCATTCATGAAAGCATTGTCTCCACTTTCCACTAATTCCATCAGTAGAAAACACAGAACAATAGCTACAATCTCCTACGGTAAAATATTCAATCAAGAACAATTGGAAAAGTGGTGGAGAGATAAATGACACCCATTAAAGGTGATTCAAATTGGACGAAGAATCAAGACTCAAACTCAACCATACCCTTTAGTGTATTTCTGGTCGACAGCGTGTTGGAACTTCAAATTCAACAATATATTGCCAAAAGACAGCACACTGGCCGTATTCCAGGCCACATCGCAGCAGGTAAGCTCGCAATAACCCCTTTGTCATTGATTTCCTGTGCCACCATTAATCTAATTGATATAACTGCAACATGAGACGACAAAAGTGGAAGAATTAGTTACTATAGAACTATAGAAATCAAATGAAACCCACAAAAGTTAAAGAATCAATGTCCATAGAACATGAGCTATATGCATAGAGCAGAAGATATTAACAGTCTGAAGTGAAAGAAATCTTCTGCAGTCTGGCTGGCTAGCCACTTGGGCGAATCAAAAGTTTAGGCCAATCATCTACCTTCTAAACACAGGCTCGGCCTTAAAAAGAAACAAAAGTCACACATCAAAAGGAGAAAATTGGGCTCGAAAACAGGAGGAGAGTGAGGGATTTGCTCTTCAGACTCCGCCAATAGTGGATTGCTATCGTCGGCTTTAGTTCCTCTAACGACTTCACAACCTGACACAAAAGAAGTGAAAGAGATGAAAAGGAGAACAATTCAATATAAAGACAGCAAAGAGAATATACTGTCCATAGAAAGAAGGGAAAGAAAGCCACCGTTGGGTTACTGCAAATCCGATTCTTCGGAAATGAAGAAAGCAGTGTAGCGGCGGTCCGTCGAACCGAAGTATCTACTGAGTACTAATTTACTTAATTCCAAAATGGTGATCCGTCGAATCGTCGTCTTCACACCGTGGTCTCTCCAAAACATAGGATCACCCTCAAAAGCGTCAATCAACATGGATTAGAAAAGAGAAAAACTGGTTTAGATGATAGGGGTAGAGAGAGGAGAAATAGATAAACAGAGGTACAGAACCATCGCACGCAAGAGAATAAGCGTTGTCTATGTCTCTGGTCTCAGTCTCTCTACCGACGACGTGACGACAATGATCATGTGGACACTCGATAAGTCCGGCAGATCTGCAAGTAGAAGGGGAAAGAGACTGGAATCACAGTGCACAAAGAGCAGAGAAAAATTAAAAGAAGAAGAGATTGAATGCTCACCGAGAACCACAGATCTGGGCAAGAATAAATGGAAAAGAGAAATAGACCGGCGGAATTCCAAGACTCATAGCTTTGGGATTTCAACACCTCACCCAACCTGATTTTCGTGGCCACCATCATCGTTGTCGTTCCAACTGCAACTTAAGCCTACAAAGATGGAAGAATCGACAGAACTGGTGATTAGGGGAGGCAATCGAATTAATATAATGGAAAAACATTCATCAACCAGTTATTTCACCTTCTCTTGTCATATTTGCCGGTTTCGTAGATGCAGTGGCTGCTGTTGGAATCCGCAGAAAGGGTTTCAGAACACCAGGTATTTGCCACTGAAGAGATCTAAAGACGCTGTGTTGGTCACCGAGTTGCTCGACGTTATGTTGAGGAGAATAAGTCGAATCATAGTCGTCGGAGTGCTTGTCAGTTCTCCGATGCCTGGTCGCACCGGTGAGTTGAGAGAAGGGAGGAAGACGTAGAGAGAAAAGAGAGAGAACGGTTTCTGTGGATCACTTTGCAGGTCTAGACTGGGTACCGTCAAGCAAGATGTTAGATGAGGTACGTTTGATGAGTGGACCACAATGAAAGGAGAACGTGGTGTTTAAGACACCAAGCAAAAATGGAATAATATCTCTGTTGCACTCTCTTTTCTCAAGGTGCCCTGTGACCCCTGTCTCCTCAAGCCCTCTGTTTCCTTCAGCAAGCCCACTACCCCCACACTTTAGTCTTTATCTTTTCTCACCAGTGTCAAGTCAAATCAAGTGCCTCATGATGAAAGCAGGAGAGAAAGAAGGTCGCCGCTCCAATCTCTGCAAGCAGTTGCAGAGAGACGCATAACCCGAGGTGGAAACAATCTACCGTGCGATCTACGCGCGTGAGGGCCACTAAGAGGTCTCCCAACCAACCAGACGGTAAACCAACACCAAAATGAAACGAAACTGGATAAATCCCGTCCCGAACAAAATAGCCCTCACCTGCGACCGCCCACACCAGAGTCGCATCCCAGTCGAAACAGTAATTCTGAGTCACTAAGCACAGTAAAAGGTCTCTTGGACTACAGGGAATGGGGATGTTGGGGGTTTTCTTTTTTCAATATATAATATGACAAAGGTGACCAGAAAAGAAATTAATAAGAGCAGAAACACTTTAGCTAACAACCCAATGATTAGAAATGGACGAGAGCCACATACAATGTGTTCATTAAGGAAGCGACGGGCCGGCGGGGAAAAAAATATTCAATGAAAGAAGAAAAAGTGAAAGGAATATTTGTTACCAAATTAAAATCCCTGCTTTCTGTCTACAATTACTTTAATCATATACATATAACATATCCTTCCTTGGCCCTTTGCGGTTCCACCCTAAAAAAAGCTATTTCAGATACATTTTTTTCTGTGATCCCATACTCTCTTTTGGTTGTCTATCTAACCACTTTTATGGCATTCAGATAATCTATGGTTATTACATATACTAGTGTGGCCACGGCCAGTTGGCCGGAGGAATGTGAGGTATGAAATTTGATAATATAATGGGATGTATAGTTTATTGTTGTATAGTTTTTTTTTTTTGGAAAATTTGTGATAAAAATAGTGAATTTTAACAGGAAAAAGACATGAATGATGCAATGAATCAAAAATCGGCCTTATGAACCAAAATCAAGTACATGTTACCTTGTGAAACAATATTGTTTCTGGTAATATGATGAGGTGGAGTAAGTTTTATAGAAACCGAATTACAGAAAATCGAATAAAAAATCGCCTATCCCGTCGGTTTTCGGGAAATGAGCATCTCATAATCGTTGCTAGCTTTAACTCGGCCCGTTGGTCGATTAATTTGCTTTACAAAACTTTCATCTTGTCGTCATTGTGCTTTCTGGTTTTTGTTAGGCCATGATAAAATCTAAGGAAATCAAGAACGAATAACACAATTTGGGATAGGAACCGCCGTTGTCGTATCCTAGAAAATGGTGGTAAACACATACTCACCAGCCAAACTGGTTTGGATTGAGATTTTTATCGGGTATCAGGGAACCATGTGATTAAAAATTAGACTTGATCAAAACGGGTCAAAACTTGAAATTCAGCATGTTTGACCGACCCATGCCAAATTCTAATTATTCTTTACTTTTAAACTTTCTATTTGAAAATAAAAAATAGTGAAAGAAAAGAGATGACTGCAATTCGCCATTTGCACATCACTTATTCGAGAATAAAACCATAAAAATTCAAAAGGAACTGAAAATGTTTAGGATCGTTTTAATGTTTAAAATAACCAAATAGATCGTTCTGTTTAGTTTTTTACTAACAAATACCAAACGATTCTCTATAAAATACACTATAATTTGATCATTATGATATCAAATAATTATATAATATATATTTGAAATTAGGGATGGCAATTTCGACCTGACCCGATTTACCCGACCTGTTTTGGAGCAGGTCAAACCCGCCCCGTAAGCGGGGCGGGGCGGGCATGGGTACCTCTCATCGACCCGACCTGCCCTGACCCGCCCCATTCTCGACCCGTTCTTGCCTATATTACATATAATCTTAGTCAAATTACTTAGGATTTTCCTCTTATTACATTATTTTTTAGCTATAATAAAGTTGTAAATAAGTGAAAACCTAAATTTCTTCAATAATTTAACTACATTTTATCATATTATGGTTTCTTTCTTGACCTTTTAATGAAAATAACGAATGTTTCTAATGTTTTTCGCATAATTACATACCCAACTGGTCGACCTGCCCCTACTCACGCCCCGTGATAAATTGCCCTACTTGCCATGGGGCGGGTATGGGTATCGAGATACCCGCCCCGGACCTGCCCCATTGCCATTCCTATTTGAAATGATAAAAATTGGACTAATTGGGTTGGTCGAGGTTGAACCATTGAATAACTTTAAAATACATTATATTTTAGCCACTATGATATAAAATAATAGCATAATATATATTATGTCAGAGAAAATAGCTTGTTTTAGAATGACAAACCAATGATGTTCATTTGTTTTACTTGATGGCCAAATCTCGTGTAGGTCAGACCCATTCAACTCTTTTATTTTACGGTTAGCCCATTAGATACCATGCATTAGTTTATTGTTAAATTTTTTATTTCTAGCAATAAAAATGAGTATTGTTTTTGCCTTTTCATATATATTTTATCACCAGGGAGAAATAAAAGGGCTTAAAGAAAAAAATTGACACTCCTGGACCTGTTTAAATCCGCATGTGTACGGTAAGTTGGCCCGTTCCACAGAGGAAAGAAAAAAAAAATGGACACTCCCTATTCTACCCTTCTTACAAACGCTCCTGGAGCTGGGAATTTGAAATGGGGGAAGTGTTTTTTCCTCTCTGCTATTATATGTTTTTAATTTAAAAAGATACAACAAATGTAATTAGTGTGATTGGTTATGATCCTTGCTTTTCTTTAAAATGGTCATGGTTCGAATCCCAATACGTTTCTTTTTAATGAATAAAAAAAAGTAATTGTGAATACCAAAATATCCTTCCTACTTTCACTCTCGTTACAGGAAATTTGAAATGAGACTCCTGTTTTCTCTTCGGTGTATTATATTATATGTAGACTTAGTAAAAAAAAAAGTATTTGTTTAAACTTTAAAGTAACGAAAGTTAGGAGTATGGTATAGTATTATACCCTATTCATAACGAGTAAAACATATACCTCGATTTAAAATTTATATATTCCAAGATCAATTTAACTAGAAACAATCATAAATGGTTTTAATTCCTCCATATACATCAAATATTATATGCATCATCTTGGGGTTTAAGGTGTGTGATTTAGAGAATTAGAATATAAAATTTGCTAATGAAAAGTTAGGATATAGCATAATATCACAAAATCTGGTTAATCCAACGTCTAAATAATTTTATTTTTTTACTAAGGATATACGATAACTCTGGTTTTACTAACATGAGCCCCTTACATATAACATTATGGACTTGATTCATGTTATTTTCAGTGCCTTTGTTTAAGCTTCAACTACCCAATTCAATGCATATAGTCTTTGTAATATGCTCGTTTATTTAAGCAATGTTTTTTTTTTCTGTTGTCATAGCGGCATGACATTGTTTTGGCCATTTTCGCTAGAATGGGCAGCACTATATGGATAGAAGGACCAAAACATTAGATGTTGTGACTTGTGAGTATAGTATGTTGATGTCCTTCACATCTTCATTAAGCTTTGTGCATGGTCACTCACTCACTTAATCGATTATCTTTTTTTTTTTTTTGTTTATAATATGTGTAGTCAATTTTACCATTTAGATGTACGAATGTGAAAATCGAGATTGTCGGACATAATCATGATAACAAATGATTTCAAATATACACAATATTCTGACCCCGCGAATTATCTACTAAAAATTACAACAACATAATTCACGGTGCAATTTTCTTGCTACAAGTTTAAAAGAAGACAGTAGTATTGATGCGTTTGATTAAATTAAAAATTAAAAATATACATTACAAAGTGTGTTTCTCAAATTCTGTGGGATCGGGTCGGACAGGATATAAGACCCGGCCCGAAAGAAGTGATTAGCTGGTAATTGATTGGCACTAACCGCAGTAGCCGCACGGTTCAATTAAAGACCAATACATCCTCCTCCTTTGTCTAGAATCTTCCTTTCTAATCTCTTTCTTTCCCTTTTCTTTTCTTCTCGATCTCTGTATGTATGCGGCCTCTTTCTGTTTCTCTCTAACATGACCTTGCTAATCAAATCCACCAATTCAAATTGAACTGATCACACCGTCGATTTACAGCTCCTCCGCCGCCGCCGCCCCTGTACATGGATGACCGCACCGGATCTCACGTCCGCCGGAGTCATGGATTATTGAATTTCTCTTTTCTTCTAAACGAATTTTGAAATTGGAAAATGAGTAAAAACAGAGATATATGTATAATATATTCAGCAGGCGTAGAAATCGGCGAGCTCGTCGACGGACTCCGGCAGGGGATCGGCGTTCTCGAGCATCCAGAGCAAATGCTCGAACATCACGACCTCGCACCCGACTCTTATGTCGTTGTCGGAGCGCTCCGCCAGCTCGCGGAAGAGCGGGTGATCCACAATGTCGGGGCTGAGGAGGTACCGCCTCCTCGATTTCCCGACGTAGACGGGCTGCAGGTCCCCGGCGCTGTCGACGGAGTAGGAGGAGGATGTGGAGGAGGAGTAGGAGTTGGAGTTCGAGTCATCGCCGGCGGCGGCCGCGGCGGCGATCGAGCTTCCTCCTCGGCTGAGCTTGGTGTTGAAGGAGTTGAGCTTCTTGAGGACCGACTTCAGCTTGTAGAGCTTGCTGCCGCTTCTGGCCATGGCGTCGGATTTTTCAGAGAAGGTGAGGGAATGATTAGGAGAGATTGATTGCTGTTGGAGTTGGGAAAAGGAAGAGGGATGTGTTGGTTGTGGGGAGGAAATGAAAGCGAAGCTTCGTTTATAAAGAGGGGAAAGGGGTCAAGACGGTCATTTCGCAGTCAATTTGCTTCTTCTTGTTGCTGCTCGGCTGTTTGCGGTGACGGGTGTGGGAATGTGGGCCCAGGTTTGTGTAAAAGTTGAATGGCGGTAAAAAAAAAAAAAAAATTTGGGTGGAGTATTGTAATATCTCGAACCTTTTTCAATGTAACTTCTCATAAGATCACTCATTCTTGTTGTACTTTATATTGAGCACGTTTAATTTCAAAGTTCTTACAATAACTTTTCCATTTCACCCCAGAACGCGCCTTGTCAGTTAATAGCGGTTTTCTACTTATGAACCATGGATCTCTCCCGTGCTTTGTCGATGTGAGATTTGCCTAAGGTGTTACACACCACCTCCTTGGGACTCAACGCACTCGTTGAGGTTTGCCCCACCATCGTTCAAGAGGGACGCGGAGAGGCCCTGATACCACTTGTAACATCTCGAACCTTTTCCCGACGAAGATATTGTCCGCTTTGGGTCTCGACCCTCGCGGTTTTCGACTTGGGGCGCAATTCAATGTGACTTCCCATAAGTTCACTCATCTTTGTTGTACGTCACACTGAGCACGTTTAAGTTCAGAGTTCTAACAAGAACTTCTCAATTTCACTTTAAAACGCGTCTTGTCAGTTAAAATCGATTTCTTACTTATGAATCATGAATCTTTTCCGTACTTTGTCAATATGGGATATGCCTAAAGTGCTGGCGCTTTTCTTTCCTCTTTTTCTGGAGACCGTTTGCTGACGGGATAATAAAAGGAAATTTGATGAGCATAGGCCATAGGGTCTGTTTGTTACTCATTTATTATGACTGCTGAACTGCTGTCTCTCTCCCTAGCCGCAAATAACACGTTCTATTGTGGGAATTCCAAACAAACACTCAACAGAGAAAGGCTAATACCGCTACATTCAAATTTATTTTTTATAGAACCGCTACATTCATTTCTATTCAGTGGTGGCGATGTTAATCTGTACAAGTCCAGTGGGAGGTCGATAAGGGGCGACCAAATGCTCCGTGAGGTCGGTTGTAGAAATGATCAGGTCGATCGCATATACTTCTATGAAAATGTTGGTGATTAATTATATAAAAGTAATCAACTTGATCACATATGCTTCTCTGAAAATGTTGATGATTAGTTTTTTTTTTAATTGAAAAAAGACGTAGAGTGTCACTATCTCATAACATTAAAACGATGAGAAATGGTTATTCCTAAAACATTATACATAGTTGACATCAAGATCCGCCGGAGGAACAAAATCCATCCCAAACGTGACAAACAAACCCCTATGAGCCAAAAAGTCGACCAAGAAATTACCCTCCCTATCAACGTGGGAGAGTTGAACTTACCAGTCCCGACTAATAAGATCGTGAAATTGAAACACGAGGCTAGCATGTTGATGCCATGACGCCTCTGTCGCTTGCTGAATGGACATTGTCACTGTCAAGTCCATCTGCAAGGCCACCCTCTATGTCCAAGCTATCAGGCCAATTGGAGACCCCTCAATGGCTCCTCGAAGCTCAGCACGAGTTGATCGAGCAACTTCTCAAATTGATAGTGAATGCCCTCGTAGACGGCCTTGCTAATATGGAATCGCGCCTCCTACGAAAGCTAAGCTCTTACTTGAGCAGAGTACGAAAGTTTTAGTGTAGTTGTGTAGCCTTGCCTAAACTAATGAGCCATGCCCTTTATTTATAGGGGAAAAACTCGGCTAAAACTCTCATAAACTGGTTAGGAAAGGGTTTCCTACTCCTTGTAAACTATGTAACTTATTGAAGAAGGCTTCTAGAAGCTTGGGCTTGACCGGCGATAGGGCGATAGTTAGGATTCCCATACATTTTCCTTATGGGTTGAGCTCCTTGGCTCATGGATGACCTCTTCTTATCATTTAGACACATCTTGACCAGATCTCCTCCAACGATGGTTGGATCCGATGCTGGGCCGCCACTGGTTTCTTCTTCAGCTTAGGCCGAGTCTTCCTCTATTGGGCTTGTCTTGCGCTCACATAACGACTTCTAGTAGTCTTCTTTGTCATTAAACCTCTTATTTATCATGAAAACTCCATATTATTCTCTTTATAGCTCGCTCGAGTACTAGACTTCCATAGAGAACTTTTTCAAACCTTTCTCAAGCTAGGATTGATTGAAGACGTCGAGATGGGCGGTGTTTCGGGTGCAACGAGAAGTTTACTTTTTTGCATAAATGTGCCAATTTGGATGTGGTTCTAGTGCTGGGACGACTGGAGGATGAAATGGAGGAGAGGTTCACTTAGAAGGGTGGTTTGATGAAGACATAAATATTTAATTTATGCTTTTGGGTATTAAGTTTGGATTTATCTATTTTATATTTGATAGGGTATGAAGCCAAGACTTAATACTTAGAGAATGCCCTCATGAAGAGTCAAAGAGAAGCCAAGGCATAGGGGCAAAATCCTAGGTGTTGGGATCAACAAAGCGAGAGAGAAAGGAGTCTAAGAAGAAGAAGAACAGGTCAAGAGATAAGCCCACACACCTGACATCAACAAAGGAGGGTTAGGGGAGCGTTCCCTGCAACACAAGAGTACAATGTGCAGTGACAGGGAGTCGTAAGCGCCTGACCACGTCATTTATGACTTGGCAGGAGCCTGGACCACATACCTAACATCTGAACAAATAGGAGTTATCTCCTCATAAATGACAATCTATCTACATTCATTACTACTTCTCTCTATTTTCTCTCTCTAACCTCCCCTCTTCTCATATTCTTCGAGAGGGGGGCGCCTGCTCCCTTGAGTTCATGCCTGACCCCCCAAAATCTTTGGACCCGAGCGATCCTTTATCGTTTGGGCTCAAACAATATTTTTGAAGATGTTTTGGGATTAGGAGACGATTAAGTGATAAGGCTAAAGGCACAAACCCCTAATTCTCTTCATCCTCTTTTAGTGCCGCGTCACTCCTCTCTTCCTTTCACTCTTGATATTTCTGAATTCTGACCTAGTATTCTTCCATTCCATCTCATTCCATTCCATTCCATATTCTTGTTCTCTTTTCTGTGTGGGCATGATTCGTCTCTATGTTTGAATGAACCAAAGATATATAACTTTTCAAGTCGGATTATCATTAAATATGATTTCATAAACACTAATAAATAGTGTGAATTTTTGAACTAAGCAAGCATGACTTCGGTTCAAAAATGAAATGTTAGAAAATTCATTTTAGGAAAATGAAGTTTCCGCCGTTCGTTGTTACAAAACTACATATAAATTGGGAGGGAGGAAAGGTAATTTAATTTAATTAAAGAAAAGAATGGGCAGTGTTGTCGCTTTCGAGGGTCTAATATTTATTGGAGTTACCAACTGGATCAAGAAGGTTGTTGTTGTTGCTGCTTCTGGAAAGGGAATATAATGCGCCAATACAACTCCTTGCATAAATTAACGCCCGAACCCTAATTCCACACCGATTTTATTTATATACGCCGCTGCTGCTGTTGCTTCGAATATTTTTATCTTGTTTCTCTTCAGAATATTTTTATTAATTTGGTTATGGTATAATTCAAGAAAAAATGGTCATCGAAAGCGACAGACATGTGAGACACAAACAACAACTGCCCACTCTGCGCCGTATGTAATTTGTTTAATTCCTCAATTTTAAAAGCCCATACAAAATTACAATGCAGCAATGTTGACGGTCCTAAAAGAATATTGCTCTCCTCGATCAAATATCATAATGTTTAATATAATAATCAATTCATCCCCCTCTATCCATCGCCCACATATATGTTATTAAAGCACCGAAAATCCAAATTAATTTATGGACATAAAAAGCAGGTACAAGATGGTGGAAATGCGTTTCATAAATCGCGATACCATTACAGGAGTTAGTATCATACTAATTATGAGTTGTAGTAGTCTGTAGTAGAGTTGTAATCTTGCAAGGCTACCAGTAGCGTAGCCAGGATTTCATTCAAGGTGGGTCCGACGTGAAAAATAAAAATATATATGATAAATATAATTAATATTTACATGATCCACGATGTGTTTTTATAGTTTGTCGATCGATTTTCGTTTGAGGATGGAGAAATTTACCCTAAATTATAAATTAAAAAACTAAGAATAAACCATTAGAGATGTAGTTTTATGTAAAAATCTAGAGTTAATTACATAATATATAAGGTTAATATGTGCTATAAAGTTCTCTACAATATGTTAGTAGAAAAGTAGTGAACATGAGGGGTTTGATTTTAACCTTAGGGGTTTCGTACAAATACTGTTATTTTGTGTCTTAGGGGTCGTTTTAAAGTTGCGATTGTTTACGTGAGATTGTTACTTGTATTGTGAGATTGGATTTCGTATAAATACATATATTTAACAATCGCAACTTCCAAACAAGCATTTAATCTCGAGCCAAGGTGGGGCCGGGGACCCACCCTCTTCCAAGCTAGCTCCGCCACTGAAGGCTACAACTGCAAAAGAAATAACGACTGCAATTGTAAAAAATTATGATTGCCCGGAGTATTTAGTAGACTCTTAAAATTTGAAGAAAAAATTAACTAACCCCATAGCAGTTTGAGTATGGGAAAAAAGGTACTAGTATAAGTGATTCAAGCATGCGATATCGTAGTTATTAGTGAACAATTTTCTATGAGATTATATAATTCATTTTGTTATGAAACTAATGAAAATATAAACAACTACAAGAGAAGATTAGAGAGGGAAAGACACAAAGAAGATAGGGGGAAGTGAGCTTTCTTCTTCATTCTTCATTTTTGATACAATGGTGTGCTATATTTATAGACACACTTTGGTAACCACTACATCCTTATATCAATGCATATGAATGAGAGATAATGATGTAGAAATATGAGTTACATGTAACTCCCAAGTGA